TTAGTTATATATATATATATATATATATATATATATATAGGACATAGGATAACCTTTTTTGACTTTGAACTTTGTTTCTATAACCGCTGCACACCAAATATCACAGATTTCGCTGCATACAGACAATCAACAAATGCACAAAAAGCCCGCTGCAATTAGATCGGGAAAAGCCAGGGGGGACATTAATTGATTTATAACATTGACCTACATACAGACCCACACCACAGCCAAACCGAATGCATACTCTTTTAACGAAGGCAATAAACATATAGAGACTCCTATACCTTTCATGTCATACTGTCTTGACAGTAAGTCGTTTCCATATTTTTTTTCAATCAATCAATCAATCAATCAATCAATCAATCAATCAATCAATCATCAATCTATTGCGGCGACTCAAAACAACCATACAGTAGCAGCTTTTTAGCTGAATTATAGTATGGCATTACAAAGAGATAATATTTACAATAATATTTACTATTAATACTTATATATATACTCAATACAACTTAAAATTCCTTACGTTAGGACTGCACATATTAAAACCATTTCATTAATGTGTTAAAACGTTTAAATACATCAATCTAGCAGGTAATCATGGTAGATTGACAACGCCTGTACGTGTCATGTCTCGTTAAGTAGATCAACCAGGAAAGGCAGCGTAGTCTTGCGATACCTCTCAGTTCTACATTTTAACGCAGGTATTTGGCTCACCGTAGATCGACCCCTATACCCCAGATGTTTTGCATTACAGTATCAGTATAACCTCACTACGATTTAATACAACTCTCGTGCTAGCGTATAACTTAGGAGGGTCTTGAGGGGGGGTCCTGGCAAATTCAGGCTAGGAAGGCTGGCAACGCTTAAAGTTTAACAAACGGTAAATTGATTAAATTGTAAATATGATCATGTGTAAGGCTTTGGGAAAGACTTCATTGGATTGTTAATTGTTTCATATTCACGTGGGTGGCTGGCAAAACTTGATCTCCAAGCAGATCCCTCTCGGTGGCAAAAAGACAGTATCAAATTGGCCAGACAGTATCCATTAGCCAGAGAGGGTCCGCAGCCACCGACGGGGGTCAGGACAAAAAAAAAAAACCGGCCATATATAAAAAGGTAACGATCATTCCCCCACAACCTCTGCTTGGAGAGTAGGCATAACTAGTCTGTGTGGACGCGCGGACGTTACGTTGTGATTTTGGGGGGCAATCTGGCGTTCGCGATCGACTACGTATGCGAAGGATTTTTCAATAACGCTTTATAGCGACGAATTCAGAGGAATGAATAACGTGCTATGCGGCCAATTACTAGTACCTTCACGAAGAATTTCCCGAATTCCCGAATTATTAAACCGGCCGGCTAATATCAACAGTGACTCAAATAGCTCGCTACGCGCCTCACGGAAAAGGCATGCAGACCCTCACCTATCGTGAGCTTTATGTAATCTCCTCGGTACTAGGTGCCTTGCCCACCCGCCAAGGTATACAAGCGCAGTCCGGGGATTTTTACGGGCTGGGATTCAGTTTAAACCATGCTCACGGCTAGCCTCCGTAGCATGCCAAAAAAACTGGGGTTTTGGGGGTCTTCAGGATCTTTGGGAGCTTTTATCATGTGCTATTTTCTGATTGCATAGAGACAACATAGCCGGCCTGGTTGAATTACCCCCGTTTTTTGAAATAAGAAAACAGCCGAAGACCACCAAACCCTCACAAATAGCTCACGGCTATATAGAACGGCAGCCTGCATGGAAACCATCGGGCGCTCTCCGCGAAGTCTACGGTGTATGGCTTGTGTCCGCCCGTCCAGACCCATTAGCGAACGTCGGAGAATTTTTACGGGCCTGGCTTCAAAGAAAAAAGACCTATGCATAGTAGGACAGGGGCCCGTAAAACATCCTTATTTAATGCTAGGGTCACATTTCGAAGCCTGGGCTGGGCCGGTCTAAACGAAAAGTATGATATAACTTGAAGACAACAAAACGACCAAACGTTTAGATGACAGTCAGAAGCATAATTCATGCATATTCTTGATATGCGTTTCTTTTTCTAATTTTTCGTTCATTCAAACAGCCGGCTTAGAATTGTGGCCAGTCAGGAGAAATTGTTACCAGACTGCTGTATAATAGACTGATTGACATAAAAAGAAGCAATGTTTATACATATTGGGACTTGGCCAGTCAAAACAACCTTTTGCCGGGCCCAATCAACTTTCCCTCCGAAATTTGAAGTCATATTTTATGACACATTGGTATTTCACTTCGCCTTGCCGCCCTCGTCACACATGCGTGTTCTGACAGCGTATTTAAATCAAGCTATAAAATTCCCTATTCAAGTTATAACGCAGTTAGGCACAGCTGGCAGGGGACCGAATAGGACAACAGTGATCTGTGTTCCCAGAAAATAAAAAAGGTCACATAGACAGAACAACACTGTTTAAAACTGGAAGCAAACGCTTTTGCACCTATAACAGTATGTTGTATTCAACAACGGTGTCAAAATATACCAAACGACGCAAATGTAGAAAAAAAAAACGAAATCACAAAATTTGTTGAGGTTTTCCTTTTTCTTCTTTACGTTAGAATCAAACAACAAATTATAGAACCATCCACTAAGCTTGTTTTGGGACTGAAAAGATGGCAGAAATTCAATCGGACAAAATAGACTATAAATAATTTACGTAGGAGCTGGTCTATTATCACATTAACTGACGGAATATATTTTTTTTCTATCCAATTGTGGCAAATTTCCTACTCATTCACGCACAGATGAATCCTAAGCGTAGCCAGATTATACATTTGAAATCCTACCTATATTTCCACAAACAAAGCGCCTGCCCAGCCTTTGTGCCATGGATCCAAACGCCTGCCAGCGATTATCACATTAACTGACGGAGTATTTTATATTTACCCAATTGCGGCAAATTTCCTACTCATTCGCCCACAGATGAATCCTTAGCGTAGCCAGAGTATACATGTGAAGTCCTGCCTATATTTCCACAGACAAAGCGCCAGCCCAGCCTTTGTGCCATGGATCCAAACGCCTGCCAGCGATTATCACATTATGCCAAAAAACAGTTACTCAAGCAACTGGATATGATTTTGAAAACGTCGTTTTCAAAATCATATCCAGTTGCTTGAGTAACTGTTTTTTGGCATATCGTATTACCTGGATGTCTAACCTTCATCGACGATTATCACATTAACTGGCGGAATATATTTTTTTCTATCCAATTGCGGCAAATATTCTACTCAGTCACCCACAGATAAATCCTAAGAGTATAAAGTACATCAGAAATGTGAAATACTGCCTATATTTCCACAGACAAAGCGCCTGCCCAGCCTTTGTGCCATGGATCCAAACGCCTAGCCTCTACCAGGCACCGCGGATCGTTGGAAAAATAGTAGAAATTGGCCGAAATAAAGGGATAGTATGCCAGAGAAGATCCAGGGCCATAGAAGCAAATTGGAGCTTCTATGGCCCTGGATCTTCTCTGGCATACTATCCCTTTATTTCGCCCAATTTCTACTATTTTTCCAGCGATCCGCGGTGCCTGGTAGAGGCTACCAAACGCCTGCCAGCGACGCGAACGAGAGTATTGACTTTGATGTTGCCCAATGACCCAATTTCTCCAGCGCTGCAAAACAACACGCCCCAGTTCCCTTAATATATACACCGCCGCCATCACCACACGAACACTGGCAACCGCGCAAAATAAGCATCTTACACTCCCATCCGCACACAGGGCCACAGCTAGACTTATCAATCCTTCACGGGGATTTTTTAAAAACATAATAGCGGCGCGATTTGAAGGTAATTTCCTGCGGCATCCGCGGCAGTGTGTGTGTGTGCGTGTGTGCTGTATCTCATGCGAAAGAGAGAAGGGAGGGGAGGGGGGCGATGGACTGCCGATTTTCCACGGTTCACATTCATGACACATTAACCCACAAAACCCACGGCACACATCTCGCATTATCTTAAACTCAAGACGATATCAAGGTGCCGAAAACACCCGCAATAAAAACATATCGTTTTAGAGCGCCGGCATATTTTTGTATAAACAATGGCATATACATTCCCACATGGTCGTCTCTAGAACAACGTAGCTAACGCATCGTATATTAGGGAGTATATTTAAACATGTAGGTACTTAAATAGATATCGATGTCATAATGTGTATTCTTAAATCTTACCTTGACATGTGTCGCCACCCCGCGATCTTGGCACCGACTGTCAGAGGAGCCGTATATATACCTGACACCGTAACAGCCTTTCCCTAGGCCCTGGACAACAAAAAAACCCGCAGCTGTAAGCTTCGTCTCGGCCAAATGACAGCTGGACAGATGTCTTCGATTTAAGAGGCCTTACAGATGCAGATAGCGGAGACAACCGTGAGAGTTTTCAGCAGATAGCGACGTCTGCTGCACAGACACACGGTCGGCACAGATAGCAGCGCCGTGGGGTTAGTGTGTTTGACGGACGACCACGCAAAATCACGCCGCCTCTTCGGCGTATTCAGAAGACTGGCGATCTGTTCCCCCCTCCACCCGAGTGGACGCTCCCAGGCCGCTGCCTCCCAGCTGGTCCGGATGGACTGCAAGAGTTCTCCGGATGATCGAAAATTAATCTTCATCTGATATCTTTCCGGATAACGGAAAAATCTTCATCTGATTTTTCCGGAAAACGGAAAATCTTCATCTGATTTTTTCCGGAAAACGGAAAAATCTTCATCTGATATTTCCAGAAAATGGAAAAATCTTCATTTGATTTTTCCGGAAAATGGAAAAATCTTCATCTGATGTTTCCGGAAGACGGAAAAATCTTCATCTGATTTTTCCGGAAAACGGAAATAATATAGGAAAACACACAGATTAAAACACACACAATAACAATAGTTAAAATATGGCTATGAGTACAGCTATTGCGGAAGAATCTGTTGCGGAAGATCACATCGGATTTGAGAACAGATTGGATAATGTTGAGGAGATGTACAGACGGGATAAGAAAGAATAGCGGATCTGCTTGGAGATTAGGCACAACTGTTTCTATATCTGTAATGCAGGTATAACCGCCCTTCGGCTCATTTGCATCCTCCGCCTGAAGGCTGTGCATATCGAGTCGCCACCGCATTTCTTTGAAGTTATAACTTGAAAGAAATTATAAATACATACTCTCACAGTAAAGTGTCACGAATTGTAGGCCAGTTGCCGCTACCAAAGAAGAGGTCAATGATCTCAGCCAGCAAGAGATGTGTAAATACAGAGCTTGAGTTATTTATCCAATTTTTTCACTGATTAACACTATCCTCTGTAGCAGGCTTATAGAACAGGGGGTTTGGTGGTCTTCGGCTGTTTTCTGATTAGCCCAGTTCTACGGGGGTACTTCAACCAGGCTGGCTATGTTGTCTAGATGCAATCAGAAAATAGCACAAAAAAGATCCCAAAGACCTCCAAAACCCCCAGTTTTTGGCATGCTATGGAGGCTACATTAACACAATTTTTTTCCTACAATAAAATGAAATACTAAATAAATGTACTAAACCACTAAGTCTACAGTGTATATTGCACATACATTGACGTTGTTTTTTTTTTTTGTCACAGATACAATAGCATTTCTTTGAAGTAATAAATTAAAAGAAATTATAAATATGAACTCTAATAACAGCAAAGTGTCACAAATTGTAGGCCGGTTTACCAGAGGTGATTATGTATAAAGATTATATAAAAAGAGGAGTTCAATAACCCCAGCCAGCGAGAGATCTCAATGTGAAGGTAACTCTTGACTAACAGGTTTGACGCCTTTCCTGCCTTAACTGTTAATTTTGAGGGAACTCGAGTCTGCATAATTTGAATACTAGTAGCTATGAGGACTTAACAAATTTCGTCTTTAACGTTTTTTAAGAACCTTTCGATAAATTACTCTTTTAAGATATTTCAATATTTGTAATAATAGTATGATGTATTTAAGATTTTAAACAATTGTTAAATTTTATCCCTATGTGTGTAAACAGCTGTACAGCCCATTTGTAATTGTAATAATGTTGTATTTTGTAACCAGACCCAACAATTTAGCCAAATGCTGCCAGTGGGTCCTGGGATTTATTTGTTCATCAACAATAAACCAGTCTATATCTAGAGTGTGTAAATTCAGGCTACATGTATATTGTTAATACATCGATGGTGTTTTTTCCTCACAGATACAATAGTCTATACCTAGATTGTGTAAATTCAGGCTACATGTATATTGTTATATATCGATGGTGTTTTTTTTCTCACAGATACAATAGCAAAGCCAAAGGATTACAGTTTCGGATTGCCCCTAGGCTAACTAATCACTGGGCACGGCGGGAAGGTAGACTCCTGGCAGAGTCCTTAATTCAATCTCTCAAAGTGATCACCCATCCAGTCAATAGCCTCCCGAGCACCCAATTGCAATATCGGACCAGTTACTATAGCGATAGTCCTGATAGTATGTGAGGGAAATATTTCACTTAGTGCAGAATTGAAAAGGTGTGACGCAAACAGTGGCTAGCAAATTGCTCAGTGCTAATGAATAGTCGAATTCAATATCGTTGGCCTGCTACTACTTTTAGGAATCCCGAAATTGTTGCTATGTGAATTAATTTGATGATAAACGCAAGAGTTCGACGGCCGCATATTTTCTCCAAGCAATCAGTGGAATATTGGAGTTTTCTTTTTACACAACCTGCTTGATTATAAGTTTCTTCTAATAGCCTGTGTAGATATATCCTCTGAGTCTCAGTGTCAGTGGCTGTGTGGTAATCTCCAAGCAGATCCTAGGGTGGCAAAAGACAGTGTCGAATTGGCCAGGCTGTATCCATTAGCCAGAGAGGGTCCATACGCCACCCAATGGATTCTGCCTGGCCAATTTGATACTGGATTTTGCCACCCTATCATCTGCTTGGAGATTTCTGTATTGTGACCGCTGCTACGCACCCTCTCCCGATTGTCGGTCCCGCCGCTAGGGGGCGTGATTTTAGTAAGGACATTATATCCCTGTGTACTGTCCTTGGTCCTTTATTTCACAACCACAATAAACCATAAACCATTGCGTGCGACTGTCGGCTTTGTCCAGCTTCGACATTGTGGATAATAAATTGGATTACGACTTACCAGACTACCAGAGAACGCTGCCTGAAGAGGACAAACGGACCACTAGGTCGCAGCATTTACTGAGGAGACGATCACTTGGCACTGTGCTGCGTTTTTGTCCAAGCTTGTCTCCAGCAATGAGGCTAGACGGACCATTGAAGGGTGTGCCTGTGATGTCAGTGTTACTCGTGTTTTTTCTGACCACCTTGCACAGTGTAACAGGTATGTTATGTTATGTTATGTTAGTCCCTATCTGCGTTCTTTGATGCTTTGAACCTTCGATTCGTAAAACCCTACTCGGCGTACTTTCCATTTGTGGTTAAAGCACTTTGTAGTTGGACTAGTTGGACAGACAGGTTGTTAGGATAACTACATGTATGGCGCGGTCACATCCATGCACGACTGTCCTTTCAGTTTGCGATCGTGCGCCAGTCGGGGCCCTAAACAAGGGGCATCCATGGCCATATTTTCCTTTCCAACAGGTGGTTCTATACTATAGACACTTGTTCAACCGTGACAACATATATACCTTTTAGCCTCCATAGCATGCCGACAACTTGGGGTTTTGGGGGTCTTCATGGTCTTTGGGAGCATTTATGTGCTATTTTTTTAATTGCATATAGACAACATAGCCGGCCTGGTTGAATTATCCCCGTTAGAACTGGGCTAATCAGAAAACAGCCGAAGTCCATCAACCCAGTTCTATATAAAGCCTGCTACGGAGGCTATATACCTTTACTCATCTTGTGTACGGCTACAAAGCCTTGTTTATCTATTTATTTATTTATTTGTTTGTTTGTTTGTTTAGGTTCCGATGAAGTCCGTAATCTCTACAACGCGATGATGACGAACTACAGCTCCCATGTCAGACCCGCGAGAAACTTCACCAAACCGACCGCCGTCTACATGGACATTGCGCTGAACAAGATCATCGGACTGGTAATAAAACACGCAGACATACTTCTTTTCCAACTCATTAGACATTATAAGGATCATCATTATATATGACTCACCGCCCTATGGCTATAAATAATGCTACCGAATGTTTCATACTTTGTCGTGCCTTGTAATTTTTATTACGTACCTTCTTTAAAATGAGTCACAATGTCTTGAGTAGTATATAGTAGTCCTTCATAAAGAAAGAAAACGATATAATGATTCTTCAATTTTTGTTTTAATTTTGCAAACGTTGAACAAGATCATCGGACTGGTAACTTGAACACGCAGACATACCTCTTTTCCAACTCATTACATTTATGACGGTCAGCAGTTATTTATGATCGATGACTCATTGCCCTATGATAAAAAATGCTACCGAATTTTCCGTATGTTGTGGCGTCTTTCTTTTATGTACATTCCTCAGAATAAGTCAAATTTACTGATAAGGGTGTCGGATTAACACCAGAAACGTTTGCTGTTACTACTGTTGAAATCTTACTGTTACTATGCGCCCTGGATGAGTAATCTTCACAAACGTAATGTCAGGAATAGTACTAGAAGTCCTTTAATTTATATACTGGATGCCACCATAGTCCCGGCCCTCAGACATGAGGATAGGATCGACTAGGTAAAGGTAATTTACATACAAAGACCTTTACCTGTAGTTTTAATTCTGGTGTCCTTTTAGATGATCAAAGATCATACAACAATGAATGGTGTTAGAAATGGGGCAGCAAATCGCATTGTAAGTAAAATGAGTCTCCTTATTAATAATGCATATCCTCTTTCCGCTAGAACGATCGTGCCCAAGTCTTGACGACTCTGTTGTCTGTACACATGGTGAGCGAAACATGTTATGATCAATTATACCACGGTAACGCCCCGGACATAGCCTCCATAGCATGCCAAAAACTGGGGGTTTTGGGGGTCTTTGGGATCTTTTATGTGCTATTTTCTGATTGCATATAGACAACATAGCCAGCCTGGTTGAATTACCCCCGTTTTTTTGGCTAATCAGAAAACAGCCGAAGACCACCAAACCCCCAGTTCTATAAGCCTGCTACGGAGGCTAACCCGGCCCGGTGTTAATTATTGATGTAGCTGCGTGTTACAACGCACATTAAGACACATTAGCGACGTTTGTGACAGGCTCTTTTTTCTTCATTCAAAATGTAGGTCCTTTATTCATAGACCCGGAGTCATAATAAAGGAGTAATAAGAGGGATGTGTAAAAGTGTATGTAGGTCACAATTATGCATTTTAATTCATTACATTTTCTTCGCTTCCTTTAATTAAAAACGTACAAGAATTATCGCACCGTGCATTGATTTTTTCCACAACATTTCATGTATTCAACCTTTAAAACCCAGGTACTAGTATCTTGTTTTTCGAAGGCCGATCTTGTTTTCTTTGGTCCTTTCACTCACAACCTGTGTCTTTAGGGGATATCATCCATATGCATGTAGTAACGCCAGTGTGATCTAATGTTGATGGTGCGTGATAATAATAATGAGCCATGGTTGATAGTTGAGTCTGTTCTGTCGGCTTATTGTGTTTGATAAAAGGGCTATATGGCATTTAGGCCCTGTGCAGTGATAAGAATGTACGCATAAATATGTACGTTTAAATGTACACGCGTGACTTAACAACGTGTAACGGTACATTGTTCGGTCCTAGAGAGAATACATTCTTTCCCATTGATGGCAATGTACCCGCTCAATACATCGATAAGCCCTGTGCTTTTGATATTTTGAGATATGCATAAATAATATACCCTTGAGAATATTGAGTACTTGCAATGTGATGAGGAACTGTGGTTACAGCAAAACATAATAGACAGACGTCTACTTAGTACTAGTATAACTAGAAAGGTAAAATTTGCAAAGCAAATGCATAATGTTTACCTCGCACATGGTCTGCTCTGTTAATTCGTACTCAAATAGTCATATATATGGTCAGACAGGAGTTTAAATATCTCCTACTATAAAACTGCAACATTATGTAACCCAACACCAGTTACCATGGTGACAGACGTCAACAAATCATTGGCCAGATCAGAGGTTAGTGTTTGGAGAAGAAGAGGAAGAGGAAACTGAGCAAAAACAATATGTTTTCCTTCGGTAAACATAATGATTTTGAATGGGCTACTTAATTTTTTCCGCCCCAGCACTGGAAAGACGACTATATGACGTGGGACCCCGCAGACTTTGGTGGGATGACGTCAGCTAACTTTCCCTCCGAGGCCTTATGGACGCCGAAAATAAACCTGCAAAACAAGTGATTATATATATATATTATATGTCAGTTTGTTAATCAAATTTGTAAGTAGTTAAGTCATATAGCGCTTGAAACGGAAGTTTCGTCTACAGTGGTCACATTCATTCCTTCAAGGTACATGGAAAGCCATGTTGATCTGATTCTATCAATCTATGGATTTTTTTGGCAAATTTTTTTTTATTCGCAAGCTCGCATGTTCCCATAGGATGCCATACATATAAACAAATCAGCATTGCCTAAGGGACTGTACGATATTTACCGGGGGGGGAGGGCTGGTGCACTGGGGGGGAGGGCCATTGAAAAATTTTTTGGCCTGGGGGGAGGGCCATGGAAAAAAATTTTGAGCCGGGGGGAGGGCCATCGAAAAAAAAAATTGGCCTGGTGGGGAGGGCCACCGAAAAACTTTTGTAAAATATGGCGTCGCGTAGTACCGAATTACAAGAAATACGCCGTAAATTCCCGAATATAGTACGCACTTTTTACATTTTTCAAAATCCCAGAAGTGTCTCGCGGGCCGTCGCCAAAGTCGCGGTGCGTACTTTATTTGAGTTTTCCGCCGACAAATCCGTGGACGACCCAGGAATATAGCGGAACACCGGCACGGGAGCATGGAACATCGATCGTCTATAGCATGTTTAGATAAGAATATTGACGAGTGGAAATAAAGTTAAACTTCAATAAATGAACATATTTCCTGTGACTATCGTCGATATTGACAACAAGTTGCGGTAAAAGAAGAAGTCAAGTCACCCACGGTAAGAAAATGTAGGTCTCTGGCAATTGCAATGACGCCCGGCGCTTTGTCATGCCGACAGGATCGTTCCCCAGCTAGCCGGCGCCGATCTCAGTGGAACCCCGGCAAAAATATAACCTCCCGTAAGTACACATACAATTGTAGGGTTTATGAGTAATATTTGAAATGGTCCGCAAGCCGTGAACGTTCTTGATCGTCGTAACGTAACATGTGATAACATAACAGTTGTGCCTCGACTGACGGTCATCATTTNACAGAGCCGGCGATACCGACGGTTCCCTGGAGCCGCTGGACGATCTGAAGGTGTTCTGGGATGGGCGAGTCGTCTCCGTCCACCCGGGAACCCTCTACAGCTCCTGCCGCCTGCGCCTGCAACACTTCCCGTTCGACACGCAGACATGCACGTGAGTTGTATTGAGTTGATTCATTTGTTATTTAATGTAGCGATTTTTCATTTACTTACTTGTACTTGTTGAGGTCTCCTCGAGTCAGTCGTTCGAGTGGCCTGCGCACAGAACTCGTCTCTTCCTCAACAGTCTCCTCCACTTCTTCCTATCTCTTGCTAATTCCATTTTTCATTTACGAAAGGGTAAATAATCCACAATTGGTTGGAATTGTGGTGTCGTGTAGCGTAGCGCGAGCGGCAGAGTGCTCGACTCGGAACCAAGAGGTGCCTGGTTCGAGTCCTGGCATCCGCCGATCTCGTACCCTTGATTGGGAAAGGCACTTTACACGACTTTCCTCACTTCGCTCAGGTGAAAATTAGTACTGTCCTGTCATGTATTTGTCCCCTATGTTGGTGACGGCATTAATATAAGTTGAAAAAAAACTTGACTGTGCCGTCACCACGTCTTGTGACTACATGTTGGAATATAAGAAAATAAAGTTATCTATATCCTCCCACAGACTCCTCTTCGGGCCGTGGAACCACGACGACACGGAGTTACTCCTGGTGAACCAGTCGGACACCCTGGTCAACCCCGACCATTACACAGAGAGCGTGGAGTGGGCCCTGATAGAGGACAGCATCCGCCCACAACTCACACACCATACCTACAACCCTCACGGGTACAGCAGGCTGGAATGTACCATTACAATCAGAAGGTAAGATTAAAAAAAAAACAAAAACAGAGGGGTGTATCTTCTCAAGAACAATAACAAGATTAGTATCAAATTTCCCATGTATATCTGTATCTGTATCGGTATAGCCGGTGTAACCGCCCTTCGGCGTAACACAGCAACTTCGCAGGCACGCGGTGCGACGGCAGCTGGCTACATCACACTGAACGACTTGTTACACTCAACCTTTGCACATTTCATTGCAGGAGTTGTTTAAAGCTTTCTAGTGATGATGACCCAACTGTGCTTGGTGGCAGCGAGTTCCACTCTACGATAGTTCTTGGGAAATACGAGTTTTTGAACACCTCAATTCTTGGCTGATAACTCTGATATTTGAAGGCATGACTGAATATCATACCAATCTCCACAGGAAGTTCGGGCACTACCTGTTCGCCCTGTTCCTGCCATGCGCACTGCTGCTGACCATGGTGCTGTCCGGCTATCTACTGCCTCCCAGCGCCCCCGTGCGGCTGCAGATGAGTATTACAATGCTGCTGGCGCTGGTCGTGCTGCAACTCACCATCATCAACTCTCTGCCGGCGTCGGGAGATCTCACTCTCATCAGTAGGTCTTTTTTTTAACGGTGTCGCTCAATGCAAGGCCAATTATTTTTGGCCACTTCTAGGCATAGAGCTAGAGGTACTTTAGTGAGTATAATGTAGTTATGTCAGGAGATGGCGGTGGACCTTTGTTTTGAAGCTTTGTGGATTGTAGTCGGACGGAAAACATCTGTTTGGAAGAGAGTTCCATAATTTTGCAGTCCGGGGAAAGAAGCCGTTGTTGTAAAATGACTTGGAGACAGGTATGTTAACGGTGTATTGATGAGAACTGGAAGAGAAGAAGAAGTGCAAGTTCTCCTGAACTTTTTTCTTTGCCAACTCCTGTGCCTGTATCTACATGTAATCTCCAAGCAGATCTCGTGGTGGGATAAGACAGTATCAAATTGGCCAGTCTGTAACCATTTCCCCACAGACTTCGGGAGATCTCACTCTCATCAGTACGTCTTTTTTCTTTGCCAATTCCTGTACCTGTATCTACATGTATATTCTGTATAGCCCTTATAATTATGGCCTTCGTCTGCCTAACACACCAGTTTCTGTATCTGTACAGTCGGTATGAACCGCCCTTCGGTGTAACACACCAGCTTCTGTATCTATATAGCCGGTATAACCGCCCTTGTTTGCCTATGTTATGCGCTTTCTTACATTATTCTACCCATACGAATTAACTACAAGTCATAATATTACAAACAGTAAATCACTAACAGAAACCGGACGGCGCTGTTTTCATTATCAGCCCAGTACTACGTGGTGGTTATCGTCATCACAAGTCTGTCCGTCATCAACGCCGGCATACTCACTCACATCATCAACAGGAGGAAACCTATGGGGCCTTGGGTTGAGAAGGTAGAAGACCCTTTTTGTCGTTTGTTCAATCATTACTAGGAAACAAACCCTACTTTTGACATTTGCAAAGCAAATACATTGTACATGTTTACCTTCACATGGTCTAGCCTAATACTATCCTGCCACTTGCTACATAATGTAATCCAATTGAACACCACAGGGTGTCTGCTACAGCACCTGTTACCATGGTGATAGTCCTCTGGTCCAGGTCCCCTGCCTGCCTACCCTGCCTAAGTGCCCAGTGCCAGGTCGTTGACCTTAATTGTTTGGAACGGAAGAAGATAGTTCAAACGATTTCTTTCTGCGAAGATAAACAAAAAGAAAATCGTAACCAAGAATTTCTTGTCCATGACTGTCTGTCTGTACAGATAATCCTGGTCTATCTGGCGTACGTCATGTGTGAAGTCGAGAACCGGCCTGAACCGGTTTGTGAGAACGACAAAGCGCCGAAGCAACCCGATAATGACCAGGATCAGGAGAACAGCGTTGAAGTTGCGAGTTTAGGTATGTTTAATTCTAAGTTCTCTTGTTTTTGTATACAAATCAAAAGAAGATTAAGATTCATGTGTTTTGGTCCAACACAAAAAAATTCTCTCACCTAGAGCTTTCGACCAGTCACTGGTCTTCCTCGGTAGATTAAGATTCGTTGTCAACTTCAAAGAGAAGAAGGCAATATCTTCTGCAGGAAAAGAGCTTTGGGAAAATGTGTGTTTTAACCATGCAAATGAGCTTCACCACAGAAGTCTTCAGTCTGCATTTTATTCTGTTTTTATGCCCAGCAATATCAAGCCACCCGAAACAATACACCAGCCACAGGAGCCAACATTTCAGAGGCCCTTCCTCTCTACAACTTTCCTTACAATGGAAATCTCTTGTTCTTCTATCAGCTGGTGACGAGGCCCACCAACAGACAGGAGTTCCTAAAGACATCCAGATCCTTCTGCAGAACATCTCCACTGACCTACACCTTCTGACGGAGGACAAGAAGAACTCCCGCAGGAGTAACGACACAGTCAGGAAGCAGGCGAAGGCGGCCAGGATTCTAAACAAACTGGCCTTCATCGTTTTGGGGATTACTTCGTTTGCTTTCACTGTTAATTTCCTTCTGTGGCCCTTCCACAGTGCTGCATAGTTTAGCTGGGCATGCTAGACTTTCTGTTTTAATAATAGAAGTAGATCTTGCGTGGAGGAAGTGTTAAATAAGATGGTAATTAATATATACAAGTCAAAGAATTGGTAACACTTACTAACATATTCAACTCATAAGGAGCATAGCTTGATTGATTAATATCTGCATGTAAATAGTTCACATTCCTTACCCCCACCCTGCTAACACGTATAACATTATATACCATCCTTTCATTTTGTATTCTGTAGTTCATTTTAAACATTACAGGAGTGCCTCAATGATTTCAAAGCATTCAGTCATTATGGAATGTCATGTATCTAATGAAATAGCACAATAAAGGTTTATCTGAAATGCAATACTGATAATTTCAGTCATCTTGTGGTTTCTATGTGTGGTTTCTATCTTTGTTCTGAATATCTTTGTTGATATTAAGAAAAAGAAAGAAACAAAAAAAAAGAGATGAGAATTGTGGCATTCAGGGAAAATGCCAGGTTATTTGCCAAATAAGCCATTCCATTTCAACATATACAAATGTGCATTACCTGAAATTCAAATGAAACTTTCTAACACATGTGAGTTATAAGGAACAACACATAGCTGTTTGTTAAAAGGCTTGGCCCACAGGAACAAAGGAGATTGAAACTGTTACAAAATTAATCATTTCCTAAAGTTCAGGGTGTAAAATAATCATCCATTTTGCTGGACATATCAGGGCAAATAACAGTTATGTATGTATAAACAGTAGGTCAGTCTTTCAATGAACTAATTTGTCATCTAATACACAATGGGATATGTACAAAAGCCAGACATGCAACATGGCAAATACATTTAGGTAATGTATGAACAACTATTGTATCCTGAAAACATACACTTGCGGCCGTAATATTTTTCTACTCAAACAAAATGATCACACAAGAATACTTTGGTAAATATCATGTTGATTTACAACTTACAATCAAAACCTATATCTCAACTCTGACTCTACAATATAATAGCAACTGACGAAAAGAAGTGGATGCTACTTAAAATGTCTGACAGTTTTCAAAATCTATTGAGTAACAGTTTTGTGTAACTTGTGTAACTTGTGTATCTAAAAAAACCCTGCTAAACAGTTGTTTGAGTAGCGATAGTTTCGTATAATGATATCTAATTATCTAGATGCTCAACATTTGTGTACATGTCTGATTCTAAAACAATCTGATGAGACAAAAATTATCATTTGGACAAGGCAACAATCTTATTACAGTTTTTTCTACAAAAAGGAAGACCAGTAAAAAATATGATTTTTACAATGAGAAGACTATGAGGCACCAGGTACGATGCCTGTAGCTGCAGGCTGTGTTGAGGCGCCAGCGTCTGTAGGTGTGGTGTCATAACCAAGCTTCTTCATGTCCTTGGTGACGACATTGAAGGACACTCGGACTTTTCCCTGACTTCTCACTCTCGTTACTGTTTGAAAACAAAAACAACTGTTTATATTTTTGGAGTACTTGTGTCAAGGCTTGAAATGACGAGTAAGAAAAATATGGCTTTTTAAAGTGTTTAAAACATGGATTTTTACACTGTTTTAACGGTATAAACAATGTTTTAGAGAGAAGACTCTTTGTTGTTACTGTTTGAAAACAAAGCAACAGAATGGAGGGAGTACTTGTTTATGTTGTTGAGATAGCTGAAATAGGAAAAACACTAGGATTTCTACACTGTTTCCACAGTATTCAAGTTTTAGGGAGAAGAAATTGGATGTCATACCTTCTCTTCCCTCCCCCTGTGCAACCACTTTGGGGTCAACGTACTCAGGTCTCCTTCCCAAGAACCAACTATCAAGAGACAAAAATCTAGTAAACAACTGTGTTTATGTACTTTCAAGTTTTTAATAAAATTCGAAGCTCACCCAGTTGCATTTGAGAGTAAGACATTGGTATGTTCTGGCAAGAAATGTGCTTCACATGTCTACTTTCTAAGACCCTGAACTAAGCAACTACAAAGCACACATACATGTTGTATTAAATGACCTTTATCATCATAAGTCCTTTGAACAGGCATATCAAGTGTGCATTTGATGTGTTTTAGCAGACATGGATCTTATATGTTATACCAATAGAGTCAGTGCATACATGTATTACTAGTACATAACCATTTGTTGACAGAATTTTTGTACATACTACTTGTGGCGACTAAACTTTCTGATCATTCACATCTGTCTTTTTAGAAAGTTAGAAGAGATTTAGTGTGGAACATACTTACCTAACAAACTTCTGTAGCTTTGAAGTAGACTCTGGCACAAACATTGGTAACGTCCTGGTGTGTCTGAGAAGTGAAGATTACGATTTTTAAAAATGCAAATCATCTTCGAAAGTCTTCCTGCCACATATATACCACAATAACAGACATACACTTCACTCAGATAAGCCATAAGACAGCAGTACTGTAAAGTACAGTACTGTACTGATTTGTTTCTTTGTTAGGGTATACTGGATACTTACTGTCCAGGTGTGACAGGTATGTGAACAGCGCTGTATCCACGCACCACGTCCCGACCAAAGGCATCCTGACCGTACGCACTCACCACCAACTGTGGCCCTGGGGAAGGCAACAGTCAAAATCAATTATACTGAACATTTTTACTCCAAAAACAAGGCATTTTTGCAGTTTTCTTACATTTGTAATCTTTATATACAGCACATATCCCAAACTACATAGCCTATAGCTATAAGCATAACACAAGGAAATCTAAATAGCTTGGATTGGAGAACTAGTAATGTTATAATGCTGCAAGGGCCAAAAGCAGGAACAACAGCAGTACTGACGATGGACCACCAATGTCCGAAGTGTGGATGACTGTACATGTGTGCCTCAAGCTTTGGACTTAGAAGCCACATGAGGTCACCCCCGCCCCCTGAAAACGAGGACGCTAACAGTAACCCTTGACTCTGAAAGACTACCAAGAAAGATAAGAAAGAGGTGAATCTTCATAGCCCAAGGGTCAGTGGGGAGTGAACGAAAGCTAAAAAAGCTGAAACTCAAGCTAGAATCTCTAACTTCTACTAAGTAGATGTTTGACTTCTGCTTGTTTTTATGTGCTCTTAACACTGTTTTTTTGGAGTAAGTGCATCATGTCAATGTTATAACTTAACTTAAGGAAACTTACACCCATGTGGGTTGGTGCTCTTGAAGGTCACCTCCAAGGGGAAGTTCCACACAAAGAGTTTCCTGTCATCGTGACTTTTCTTAGTCACCTGTGTGATGCCTTCCTCCAAACCCTGTCACAGGGGAGGGTTTCAAAGAAAGTCAGTGTAATAACAGCAACTACATTTGCTGGCAGTACATAGTACATACGTAGCTAAAAAAATATATTCTCATTATAATGTGGTTATTACAAAAAACTTATTACAAATCCACAATCACCAAGAAAGTAAAAGTATATACTAGTACCTATGTCATCTGCTTACATTATTTGCTGACACAAGATAATGATGTTAAATTATGTAATATAAATTATAATATAATAGAGACGGTTACACTACCCCCTAAAATTTTGCTTTTGCAACATTCAGTTTCTCAACAGAATATCAGATTTTGGGTTTCAATGCTACTTGATGAAAAATAAAGTTTTGTAAATTATCACTAGTGACATTTCATAGTCAAAGACGAAGTAACTTACAGAAGTGATGACCCAGTCCTGGCCGTACACCCAGCAGTACCGGCAGTAGATGTCGTCAAACTCGGGAAACTGGAGCGGGAATAAGTCATCAGCCAAAAAGGCACAACATCTCATAGTCATATTATTTTGAACTGAACTTCTGAAGGACGATATATTGTCTTTTTGAAAACACAGTAATTGTAATAAAAATAAGTCGAAAAAGCAAAGTCCTTGTGACACCAAACTCGCACAGCTATATCTTTACAACTTGTTTTATATCACACGTCAATCTTGGCGCCAAAAATCGTTCATAAATACCTCTGCGCTCTCAATCTGCCCACTGACCATCAACAAAAACACGGTTGGGTTGCCCGCCATGTTGATGTTTCCGAAAATATGTCCCACTATGCTTTGCGACCGACCAATCAGCGCACAGCGTTTCCCGGTCAGAGGTCACACCTCTGAATCCGTGACGTCACGACAAGAGCACGGTTTCCGTGACGTAGTGCACATTGGCATGACCAAAGGACGAAAATATACGATGAGGAAGCTCGTCTGGAGGAGAAGGTAATACGAAGTCTCTTCCTTTTTTTGTTTCTTAAGGTGCCCTTAAGAACCATCTACCCCCTTAAGAACGTTAAGGGTTGTTCTTTGACGTTATTTCGAAGAAGAAACGTGTGTTATAGTCGTTGTTATTGCCTGAGGAAGTGTTGTTATGCAAGGTAGAATGTTGTTGTTTTGATTCGTGTCCCGTTGAGTTGCAATTATTTTCTACCGATGCAGCCGCGGGTCTGTATTATACAGGGTCGCAGGTGCGGGGACGTGCGAAACTGCACACGTACATGTACATGGCATTGTGAGCGATGCTGGGGCAATTAGTTAATATTTATAGATGGGCAGTTGAAGCTATTTGGTCAGAATTTTCTACACTTCCAAATTTATTTTTATTTTTAGACCTTAGACTTTGGATTGGATACTAGTATTTATTTTGGTCAAGAGTAAAATGTGTACCTGTCTGCGTGATCATGAGCAAAGTACCGTGAAAGAAACCGTCCATAGATTGATCACAGCCCTTTTTTATAAGCCATAAATGCTCTAGTATAACATTTGAATAACATTACAGGTACATGTATAAAAAACTAGACATGTTGTTGCCTAAACCACCAGGATACACATGACCCTTATGATGTTTGTGTTAGGCAACTGCAAAGGTCACAGGCTTATTACAGGTGTCTCTGTTTTCACGTCAAAGATTAAGCTACTGCTTAGGTGTTAAATCCTACTAACCGTCAATCAGTGGACTTTCAGGGTAAGGATGGTGGAAATATAGGTCAATACAAATATGTACAATTGAAATTAGAAATCCTTCTTTTTGTCATGCTTACTCTTCTGCAACTGTTGGATGTTAGATTTGATGTATGGTACTGTGTTTATACTATCATGAAAGTTCATCTGTGTTGGTAGTTACATGTTTAAAGTTAAGACTTTTGGTCCAACACAAAAAGTTCTCTCACTTAAAGCTTTCGACCAGTCACTCTGGTCTTCCTCAGTAGACTGACCACTGGTACTGTGTTTATATATTTTTTTTTTAGTATTTGCAACTGTATTGCAATATTGTGAAACAAACATGTATTATTTTTAACAACGAATTACTTATGCTTGGTTCTGTACTGTTTCAGGATTTGAGGACAGATAGGACAAAAGAGAGAGTGTCTTACAATACAAGAGAAAGAGATGGGAAGAGTGCTGCAGTCGGTTTAAAGAGAAGACAATGCGTTGGTTCAGAAGTGCCTAGCCAGTCTTCAGTAGTACAAACTGGATGATCTTGGGCTGGTCTCTACTTGAAGTGGTGTTGATCGTACCAACACTTTGCACGGTCGCGCTTGGAACGTTCCTGTACTTCGGCGACAGAATGTCGTTCTGTATACGAGGAGACAAGGCGAACAAAGTTTCTGCGGAGATAGACACGAGTAACGTGTACCACGAGAAGCAGCAGAGAGAACTGTGCGCACTGCACGCCCTAAACAATCTGTTCCAGGATGAAAACGCTTACTCCAAACAGACGCTGGACGAAATTTGTCAAAGGTTAGTGATGTTGAGCATTATCGTATTTGATTTTCACGATAATTTTGCGTTTAAGTAAACAGAGCTCGAGGGGAATGGAATCGTTCTCCATGCCTTTTTTTCGAGATGGACATGCAAAATGCATTACTTTTGAGTGTTTGTGATATGATAATTTTGCAGTCGTGAGGTCAACACAAAAATGGTGAATATTTCACCAAGTACGGTACATTGTACTATGCAAGATATCTCATAAATTCTCTTTGTAGCTAAAATGTACAGTAATAAAAAAACTAAAATGACAGAGAAGTCGAGAAGGATGGCAGTAACCATCTCTGGATCCCTGCTTCCTAAAAATCTTAATCTAGCAGGGAGTGCAAGTTGATCTAATTAATCACAAAACCATTATGCAGTTGGTTAACTCTCTATTGAAATGCACGACCTTTGACCGATAGTAGCCTGGGTACCATCTGGATTTTCGCTACGCAACGCTCGAAAAAATCATGATTTTTTTTAGCGTTGCGTAGCGAAAATCCGGATGGTACCCAGGCTAGACCGATAGTGCATGTAGCAATATCACCTCCAGCCCTCTTCAACCACACAAGTGAGCCACAAACAGTATTTTAATCATATCATGTACAGTTGTAAGCTTGTTCAGTGGTTGGCTATTGTAATCTCCAAGCAGATCCCTCTCGGTGGCAAAAAGACAGTATCAAATTGGCCAGGCAGTATCCATTAGCCAGAGAAGCTCCATGGCCACCGACGGGGATCAAGACAAAAAAAATGGCCATATATAAAAAGGTAACGATCATTCCCCCACAACCTCTGCTTGGAGAGTAGGCTATCGACCATACACACCAGATGGCCAATGTTGTGTTCAGGCAACCGTGACCAAGGCCACCTTGTCAAGTGCTTCCTTGCTTTAATGATTAATATTTTGTTGTGTACTGTTCAGCATACACATGTAGTTATATAGTAATAGTATATGGAGATCTTTATTAGTTTAGTACACACATGTATGTGCATAAATGTTGGGTTTCATATCTCCCAGCTGCTGCATATTCTAGCTATCTATCTTACTATCTATGGCAATCACTTGATATCTTAATTTGCAATCAGATACAGATTCGAATTCATGTACAGATACATATATTCATGCACAGATACAGATTCATGTACAGATATACAGATACAGATTTTTCCGAGTAGGCTGCCTATATTATTTATACTAGTAATTGTACTTTTATACTGTTATAACCAATACAAAATTTGGTACCAAGTGGCTATCACATCATTAGCATGATGATTAGGTTATTTATTTGACTTGAAGTTGAACAGACCACCTGTGCACCATACAGTCTTGACAATGGAGACCTGCGAGCATTGTTGAGTTTCAGACATACTACCTTCTACTACTAGTTCTACTGTTCTAGGATTATACATAAGTTATGATCAATACAAATTTGGTACCAAGTGGCTATATACCTTACTAGTAGCAGGATTTGGAAATTGATGATGATGATGATGATTTGGAAATTGAACAGACCACCTGCGCACCCTTCAGTCTTGACAATGGATACCTGTGAGCATTGTTGAGTTTCAGACATCTTCTACTAGGTCTAGGGATATACATAAGTTATGATCAATACAAAATTTGGAACCAAGTGGCTACCTTATCATTAAGCTGGATGAAGGTAAAGACATTTATTTGAATATGAGAAGACCACCAGACACCTGTCACCATATATTCTTGACAATGGATACCTGTGAGCATTGTTGAGTTTCAGACATCCCTGCTGCCTTCTAGGGATAAGTACATAAGTTATGATCAATACAAATTTGGTACCAAGTGGCTACCTTCGCAGGATATTTAGGTTAAATACTCATTTATTTGAATTGAACAGACCACCTGTGCACCCTTCAGTCTTGACAATGGAGACCTGTGAGCATTGTTGAGTTTCAGACATACTACCTTCTACTAGTCTAGAGGGATATACAAAGTACATGTACATAAGTTATGATCAATACAAATTTGGTACCAAGTGGCTACCTTTAATAGCAGCATAAAGGTTAGACTCATTTATTTCAACAGACCACCTGTGTACCCTTCAGTCTTGACAATGTAGATCGACCTAGTACTAGTACATACATGGGGGCCTGCAAGCCCTTTTCCGTAGAGCGTAATCAGCCGTTTTAATTCTACGTAGAGCGTAGACGGACCGCTCTTCGCATTTTGCGTAGAGGGTATTTGCCGTTTTAATTCTACGTAATGCGTTGTAGCCACTTGGAATTTATCGTAAAGCGTAATCGAGAGGTTTCCGCATTCAACGTAGACTGTTGTCGGGACCCCCCCTTGCAGGCCCTCATACATTGGTGAGAGCCATGTACAATACAGGTAGGACAAAGGAACATCAATCATACTATTCCAACAAAGCAGCCTGAGGGAAACAGGCATGTGCAAGGGCCTTACTAATCTTCTCAGCTCTGGCACCATGCCATCTGTGGCCCTGCCCCTGGCCATATGGATCAGATTGGGTGGAACCAGAGGTTGAGGGTTCAAACCACAGACACGTGTTCAAATCCCTGACAAGTGATAAACGTTCTGTTATGGGTTACAGTCATCTTTTTTGGAGGGTTTAATGTCTGTGTATGGTGGGGCCTCAGTCATCAAGTGTCTACATGTAATTAAGGAACTTAAAACACAATTAAGAGTAGGCTCTGATGTGTTTGGTTAAAAAATGCAAGCAGCATTGCACCAGGTCTACCAGCTATAAAAATTGTTTATGATATTGCTTCCGATAAAATATTTTCCCTTCATCTTTGTACCATGTATCTTCTTACTAATCTTTTGATATTAAGTCCAATAGAGAATTAGAAATATCATGCAAATATCAAGCAATCCACTTACAATACAAGACTGTGACTTACATAAAGTACGAGTAACAGAAGGTTTCTGTATTTTCTGAAAGATAAAGCCCAAGTTTATGAGCTTTTAATGTTTTTAGCCTAACTGTAAAATTGTTTAGTGTAATATACTTTAACCTATTTGTAAGTTGTGCGTTTCACTTGATTCATCCAAGGATGGTTCCAAACTTCCAATCATAATGCTTTTAACTACAATTTGTATTTGATGGCTGACAGTAAAATTGTGTTGTTCAGTGTAATACATTGTACATGTACATGTATTCTATAACCTATTTGGCAGGTTCCAATCATAATGCTTTTAACATGTAACAATTATTACAATTTTATAACAATTTAACAATTTGATGTCAGATCCAGATGTTTCCACCACTGTTTTTGTCTCCCAGGGAAATGATTATGATTGGCATATTGTTACCATGGCAACACGATTAACAGGTTGATTGACTTCATCAGAAACAGGAAGTCAGTAATTGTGGAATTAAAATGCGACATCACGTCAAGTCACATCATGTAATAGCTTCCATTTGTTCATCATGCTACTGTGAATCCGTTCATGTTTGCTAAATTTCAGTAAAAAGACATTGTTGAGTTTGTGGTTGAAGCTGAAAGAAAACAGCTGTTGCAGTAACAAAATGGAAATACTAGGGCCTGTTTGTGTGTATAATGATTTCATGGCAGACCTTGAAATGTGCAAACTTAAAGACACAGCGAATATTATGACATTTACAGTTTTTGTTATGCTGGTACTGCAGTAGTACAAGAAGTAGTGCCAAATTCACTCTTGGTAATGACATGGTACATGTTCATGTTGTTGTTGTTGAAATGGAAGAATTTCCCATGGCTACTTTGAGAGTATAACAAGATTTTACACAACTACATGGGATAAAAAAGACCAAGTACAAATGTATATCATAATTGTATCATGAGTGAAATTCACCAAATCATTTTTTATCATTTATGTAACCCAAACAAGACTTATTTCTAAATTAAAAGTCATGGAGTTTTATTTAAAATCTGTCCATTTCTTCCACCCCATGAAGACTATCAAATGTACTAGTACATGTATTTTGTATGAGTCCACTATGACATAAGCTTTTTGCTTGAACTACATGATGATATTTCATTATTTTTACTATTTGATTGCTCACCATACAGACTGTCACCTGATTCCATGGTGAACCCCCACAAGAGCATGCTGGGACTTGGGAACTACGATGTGAACGTGGTGATGGCGGCCCTTCAGGAGAAAGACTGCGAGGCCATCTGGTGGGACAAACGGAGGTGGGTGCACAGGTCTTTAACCCTCACACTGCCGGGGTACAGCATATATGTAGTTATTACCTTTGTGCTGGTTATGTTTTTGATGGTATTCATGTGTGTTTGTTTGTTTGTTTGTAAACACAATAACTCAAGAGGGCCTTGATGGATCGTCTTCATTGATATTTGGTAGCTCAAAATGATTAGATTTTAGGTAGCTCAAAATGATTAGATTTTGGGTAATTTGGCGACTTGTTATAGTACTGTAGTGGAACTTCCTCCGGTTTTGCTATCTCATGATCTGGACATGCTAGGCTGGGAAGGTTAAACTGGGAAGCTAATGGACACTGAACTGGATTATTTCATGAGGGGAGTAAAAGAAACTACAGGGTTGGACAAGATTTCAAAAATCTATTTGCCGTCATTTCCACTTGCCCGAACCAACTTTTCACTTCCCCAAAATATACACGAGTTACATGACATTTTTATATGCATTTTTAATACCAGCAAGGAAATCATTTTGCATACTTCATTTATCAAAATAGGGTGTTCCATAGATTAATGGTGCGGTAGAGAAATGTTGAACTTCGCTTTTTGCTGTTTATGGTTTATTACATGGTTGGTCCTTACAGAAACGTGGATGTGATCAACCTGGCCAACGTGAAGGGCTTTATCCTGAACATCCCGTCGGACCTGAAGTGGGGCCCGGTCACCCTGCCGCTGAAGCGCAAACACTGGATCTGTGTGCGCCAGATCGACGGCATCTACTACAACCTGGACTCCAAGCTCAACGTGCCTGAGATGATTGGGGAGGCAGAGGAACTAAGGTAAAATCCAACAGTAGTGTACTATCTGCTCCACCCCAGGGGTGTTACCAAAATTTCATTTAGGCTAGTTTAATTAGGACACAGAGATGCTGAGATGATAGGGGATATCCTCTAACAGTTTTCTTACTGCGGACCAACACTACTGGCATATCATTGTCTATTAAGCCTATTTTCAGCTGCTTTCCAAAGCCTGGTAGAGGCTAGGTAGGGGAGGCAGAGGAACTAAGGTAAGATCTGCAGGGAAAAATACAATAGTATTTGCACTGCCCCTTTGGTGTTACTAAACTTCTGTTTAGTACACAATGTGCCTGAGACATCGATGATAGATTGGAGAGGCAGAGGAACTAAGGTAAGATCCAACAGTACTGTACTATTTGGTCGACCCCTGGGGTGTTGCCAAAATTTGTTATGTTAAAGGCTGGTTAGTTCAGAAAGTGCCTGAGATGATAGGGGAGGTAGAGGAACTAAGGTAAAATAAAGGAAAGTGATATCAATCCAGTTTTAGCTCACTGAAATGCTAATCTCCTACTGGTCATGACAGAATAGACAGACATGTATGTATGTACATTATTTACAGGTTCATTGTACCAGGGCAATTCCCCTAACTCTTTTTAACAAGCACAATGAACAGTGGACCACAGCCTAACATCTTTTCCGTGCATGTAGCTTGCATGTTGGGTGAGCAACAACAGCTGGGATCCAAACTCCCAACCTCTTATTTCAGAGGCAGTGTTGCTAACCACTGGATTGCCAACTACAACTGACAACTGTTTTGGTGATGCCTCAGAGGAGTTTGATGTTTATATGACTGTCTTTTTCTCCTCTTTCCAGAACGTTTTTGAGGAAAGAGTTAGCAGCGAAGGACAGGGAAATGTTACTGGTGGTGGCAGGAGACGTGGAGAGAGACCAGACGTGGCGTCTGCCCAGCGAAGCCAGAATATGAAGGAACAGACATGCGAAATCTACTATTGTGTACAGCTTACAGCCATATATTTGGCTGTTTTCTTATCTTATGTTGTCATTTTGCATCAATGTTGATATGTAAAGTCACTTATGGTGAGATTAACATGTATAAGCTATCCTCTATATATAGACTGACTCTTGCTTCATATGTACTTAGACTGCTTCTTGGATACAAAAAAACAGCATATATGTTAGTGTCAGTGCTAGATGCATTGAAGGGTGCTTTTTATGGTACTTGTAGTGATCAGTAAGTGATGCCATTCTGCAATATTTTAACTAATCCCCTCTGTATTGATCTATACACTTTCTATATTTTGTCTTTGCTTTTCTTGTTTGTATTCGGTTGCTGGCAAAAGAAAACGAACTTTGGCTGTATCTGCGATTCTGAAATGGGAATGAGAGTGCCCCCTTGTGTAAAGTTGTGGTACTGCACCACACTTAAGACTTTGTAGGTTGTTACTTATGATAGCATTTATATACAAACTTGTCTAGGTCATGATTGTGCATTGATTTTTAAACAAAACTACACCGCATCTTTTAGTGAAAGCATTCATCCAGAGTGGGCAAAGCTGTCCCGAATATGCAGATACATGTGTATGACTCTCATATGAATGAATATTGCATATATACATGACACTTTCATACTTCACAGATGACAAATCTGTTTCTTTTTTTCATTCAGGCTTTTTAATCAGCAGCATATTCTGATGAACCGCTCTACTATATGTCAAAACATGTAAAAAAAGTTATGTTTGTTTCATATGATGTCTCGAAACTTCTGAAGTGCATCGTGGCCAGAACACTGTATTTCATTGCTGCTTACGTGTCTATATGTAAACATGCCTTTTCTGTTTTATCCACATATTATTCTTCACCAAGGCTAGTGGCTAACAACATGTACAAACCTCAGGTCCCTGTATGGAACAGGCACAGGGAGAAACAGAGAAAAAAGTCACTTTCTTTAAGTATTTACGATTTAATGCTGAAATTTGCATGAAATGCACTAAAAAGTTAAAACTAACCCTTGACATCAAATGTAGAGTATAGAAGTTGTTAAGGAGGACAATCAAGCATATACAGAAAATTGCAAGATAGTGGAAGGTCAAACAAAAATAAAAACAAAAGACAGCACCTGTTTCAGGTGTTAGAAGACAGCTGTATCAGGTGTTAGAAGACAGTTGTATCAGGTGCTGAAATTTGCCAGCTCAACAGCTGTTAGGTCAAGATTTCACCTGAGGGAATACATCATTATGCCACACCAATTTAATTTGTTGGTTCTCGGATTTTTTCAGAAAAAATATGAAGCGACAGGGCGGAAAAAAGATAGAAATAAAAACAGGTCTAGGCATCTTATCATAGCCCCAAATGATAAGAAAATGAAAACGTGAATCCGAGAAACAACAAATTAAATTGGTGTGGCCATATTTTGAATATAGTGCTGGATATATCATGGAAAGTTTTATGATTGCCTAGTTGGAAGAAAATAGTTGTTTAAGGTCCACATGTCTGACACTTTTGGTCAATTATTTGTGTTTCAAAATCAAACAGATTGAAGTCTCTTGAATCCCCAATTCAGTTTTTTTTTTGTAAAATGCACAAGGTACACCCTGGCTGTTGCAATACATATTTAGAGCTTTTCAGAATCATGTTAAAGTTCCTTTGCCAACTCCTTAAGTAATGTTTGTTAATGTTCTTGTTTCAATTTTGCTAAAAGATAACTGTTTTGGTGTTGTGTTGTAGTGTTGTTTCAGAGGCTGGTAGAATAAGATTGGAGATTCAGGTTTGAATTTTAAAGCTCAAACTGACACAGTCAACGTCTTGAAGTTTGGTTTAAGAAAACATTGATACCATGACAAACTCCTGACAGTGTGTTTTACTACATATCTGTATGTGATTTTCCATAACTGCAGTTCCGTTTCAATTTCATAGGTGTCCTCATTATGCTGTATGAAGACTATATACGATGTCATGTAGTATTGCCTTGACATGCAATTATAATATTGTCATCAAATTTTGCCAAACAGTTTAAGATACAGTCATTGTAATTTTGCTTCTAGTGAGCAAAGTATTAGTGCAAACAATGTAATAAGTAGAAAGAGTACCGGTATTGCACCTTGCAATCTAATGATACATAGTAGTTTCTCTTGGAACATTTATGGTTTGATAGAAAGGTTGCAAAGTCACTCATGTACTGAAACAAGCCAACTTCACTTGAAATGTGTCTCAGCAATGCTTGTAACAGATTATTTAAGGCCACACTACCTTCATTTTAGGGATGACATTTTAAAAGTCTAACAGTAGATTGAAACATACTTCATTCATTTTGAATCCGAATATCTTGTACCACCATTAATATTACTGTTTTGAAGTTCCATGCAATCATTATGATACATTCTCTCAATTCATGGTAAACTCACAGCTTCTCACTACACGGTAGCATTGTCTCATGTCACAGCCATTTTGCAAAAGTTTTTTTAAAGAAATATTTTTTTTCAAACCCTTGTGTGTGTCAATACAACTTATGATGTCATCCACAGAATCCAATATTTGTGGCCTATGATAATAGCCAAAATAAAACAAAGCCAACATAATCATGTATCATTATTATTATGTAATATACTGCCCCAGCTTAGTGGGCATATGTTATGTTAGATGCATGACTGTTATTCATGAATTGTCATGTTCCTCAAAAGTATGGTATTTTGTTACTACAATGTATTTTATGATAGTTGTTGATTTTTCCTGTTACTGTGTTGCACTATTTCTGGTAAGGTTCTCACATTACCGGGGAACAGTATTATTTGGTAATGGTATTTGTACTTCAGTAATTGAAGAATGGTAAATGTTGACAATTTGATTCAAATGAAAATGAGTAAAGAATAGTTATCACTGTAACCGAATAATGTTTTCTTCTTCCTTTTATGTAAACAAAGAAAGTTAATTTCCGAAAATAGTTTCATCAGGTTGGTAAAACTTAAGAGATAGGGGAATTCTTTTTTACACAACCAAAGAGTCTCACCTCGCTGACGTTTCGGTGTCTGTCAGACACCTTCTTCAGAGCTTCTGACTGGAGTACTTCATCTCGCCGCTATATGTAGCCGATGTAGGTGTCGCTATTGCGGCGAGAACACTATCCCAAACGTGGCTTAGTTTGACAGACACCGAAACGTCAGCGAGGTGAGACTCTTTGGTTGTGTAAAAAAGAATTCCCCTATCTCTAAAGAAAGTTAATATGCTGAAAGTCTAGACGTCTAAAGACAGTGTGCAGCTACGTATAGTTTCCTCTATACATGTAGGTATCAGTTTGGAAATCCATGCTTTCATCCATCTATTTGCCCAGGTCTCAATTTTGGTAGCCTGGAGTCCAGTCTATCCCCAAGATCCGCTCCCCAGCAGACCACACTTAAATGTTACCTAGCAATTCAAATGAAAACTGTAGTACCAGTGGTAGGCAGCCAGAATCGCTAACTTCTACACATTATGTTATTTCATAAGGTACATAAGTTGTCCTGGTTAATTGATAAAACACACATGCACATGTTTGTATACAGTATGCCATTTTATTGCAGTTAATTGTACATATACTTTATCAAAATACCAACTTGACATCATTTATTAATAATGGAAAGCCATGAATTGCTGAATTATCACCTCTCTATAACTTTTAGCACACAGTTGTGACTAATAAGCAAAAAATCTAAATAACACAAAATACACCAAAGTTAATGCAACAATAACAATTAAAGAAACAGCTTATTAATTAGACCCTCATCAGACAACAAAAATATGAGTGAGAAAAAATCCCAACTTCTACATAATGATACCTGTACTCTGTAATAACCTAAGAGAAGTAAGGCTTCCAAAGTCAGTATTTTCCATTGGACAAACCCACCAAAGAAGCAATACAACGTAACTAAAGCTCATGTTCGTGAGCATTTTGCTGGTACAAGTGGAGTGGTAGCTACATACAATGTTTTACAAGTACACTGCACAAATTGTCTCTTTAGGCCACAACAATTTAATTTCTTGGTTAACGGATTCGCCCGCTTGATTTTTTTCTGATTTGCAAAAAAAAAATTCAGAATCAACTGCAAAATGCTCATATTTTGCCCTGAACAGTTGAAAACAGTCGTTTTCTCCCTAGTTGTTACAGTTATTCCATCTTTCAATGCAATGGTATCATTAAAAGTTCAAAATTCGTTGCTTGAATTTTGAACCAGCCTGGTGTGTTGACTTGGCTCCTATCGTACCATTTTGGGCCATAATAGGATGCCTAGGCCTGTTTTTATCTTTTTATTTTCGCCCGTCCGCTCCATTATTTTTCTAGAAAAATCCGTTAACCAAAAAATTAAATTGGTGTGGCCTAAGTTAAAAATTAACTCAAAGTAGTGCAGCTAAGAAGGAAATACATGTAATACTAAAATGAACCTAATACACATATAGCTTTAATCTTCTATGCACCGAGGTAGGTAATATTGTATTCTGCTACTGGCGTAGCCAGCAGGGAGAAGGTTAACATCTAGAAATAGAAGCATTAGAAAAATTCTTCTGGCTGTTAATGCCAATCATTATCATATATAACATCACATATTGGCGCCCTAGGTTTTATACTTTAAAGGTACATGTATATAATTGTTGGGTGAAATCATGCACCCTGCAGTGAAAATGTGTAAAATGATTATTGTACATTCATCAGTTCTATATTGAAGAAAATCAGTACAAACATGTATTTGCATGTCTTTGCCAGTATATCAGTTTTCTGCCCATTTTTGACACATACATGTAAAGATAAATTCAATCTCATATCAATTGTTCATTTATAATAATCACAATGTCAGTTGATATACATGTTAGTCAATGTAGAAAGGTGATTTTACATGTATGAGTGCATCTATTTCCAAATATTACAAACGAAATATGCTATTCACATATTAACTTTACAGCTATATATCATTAATATCATGTTATTTTGTAATATGTACATTGGCGTGATATTACAGTTTTATAAATTTCAAGAATCCATGACCAAATGACCAATACATATAGGACAAACTGCAAATATACCAATAGTCAATTCTAATTTTACATGTAGTTCTTTCAGACTGATAGTAGAGCATTATAAACAGCAAAACATGACAATTGTGCTCTTGCAGTTTTGGCAGATATACATGTATGTAGACTAGTATTTCATTGCTGGCAAGTTTGAGTATTATTGGAGGTAAGCAAAGTGCCAGTTGTTTGGCATTGGTCAGAACTAAATATTATGTTGCACTTTAGAACTAAAGATCCCTCTGAAACATTTTTGAACTTTAACTTATATTCCAACACAAAAATTGGACTTACCCCAAATTTCAACAGTTTTTTTCCACTGCTTCGAATTTAATTCTGTGACTGCATTCCTTGACAAAACAGTCAAAGATTTGGGTAAGTATAAAATTTACAGTTCAAACCTGTTTCAGAATGTCCTCTACCAACACAGGATGATGAACTTTCAAGATAACCTAAGATCCCCATAATTTATGGCAGGGCTCTAGCCAGCTCTATCATGTAATTGATGGAAAAACGGGTGCTGGCTAGAGTCCCGGTTTGTAGAGGTTCCACAGTCCTGCTCCTGACAGTGTTCCACCTAGACACCTGAGTCTGTCTATGCCTGTTCAGCGAGAACCTCGTCCACGGCGTTCAGCACCATTTCTGCATGATGCGGCTGGAAGATGAGCGCAGGTCTGCACCGGATGGTCCTCTCCCCACAGCCGCCTGACTGGATACCTGGGGCAGAGGGACGATAAAATCAACATATGGCAAACAGCTAATGGTGATAATAATATGTTTCTGATGTCCTATACAAGAGACTGTAGCAGTTTTTTTATAATACATCTTAATGTGGATGTTCTTTGGAATATTAAATAGATATCATACAGGTAAGTCTTGTAGCTCATCAAGCTGTTCCGCCAAGCAACAAAATGTAATTTGATCGATGAAGTTGAGATCTGTCTAACAAACAAACAAACAAAAGGAAGACCAGAGTGACCGGTCGAAAGCTCTAGGTGAGAGAACTTTTTGGGGTTGGATCTAAACATGTAACTACCAACACAGATGAACTTTCATGATAAACAGACCTTTCCTCTTGAGGTCTGCCACGATCTTGTTCCTCTGAGCCTCGCCCCCCACACAGTCGATGGCGATGAAGGTCCCCAGCCCACGGGCATTCTCCAACTGTGTCGGGTACTTTGTCTGTGCACAAAATAGATAAATGTTATTGTTGTGATAATATCAAAAATAAAATAAAATAAAATAGATAAATATTATTGTTGTGGTTAACTTCAAGCTATTACCTTTTCTCAAAGTCAAAACACTACATCAAATTTGACCAGATAAAGTCCAATTCTTTTCTAGTCATTTCATCATTCCTTTCTTCCACCAGATGAGCACTATAATTTCATAGTACTGTAGCTTACAAATGTCCTTTCTTCCCTCCTTCATTCCTTCATCTTTCATGTTTTGTGACATACGGTACATGTACAATTGCTATCCGATAGTAAAAAGGAGAAAAAGACATGAAAATACAGCAGAATATAATGATAAGTTTAATCATATTCATGAAATTGTTGTTGCACTGTATATACTTAAGATACTACCTGTATGCTCAATTATTACAAGGACTTACCTGAAGGTGTTTCAGACCGTCCAATAGGACAGCCCCGGCCTGTCGAACGTTCTCCAGCAGGTTTTCCTCCTGTACTGTCTTCACCACAGCTTCACACAGCGCCAGCTTGGACGGTTCTCCAAGCCACGTGTTGAAGATTCGGTAACCCTGGTAACACAAAAAGTAAACAGTAAACAAACAACATAAATCTTCACACAGCGCCAGCTTGGAAGGCTCTCCCAGCCACGTGTTGAAGATACGGTAACCCTGGTAACACAAACAGTAAACAAACAACATAAACAAACAAACCTCCTACAGCCTAGTGTTAATAGTATGGGCTCTTGAATTTATGTTGGACCCCAATTTGGCAATACAAACTTATACAGATATATAAAATGCCAAATAGAGCGTTTAAAGTAAGACTAATAATAGTTACCGGTAATCAAACAATACCAAAAAAGGCCATTATTGCTATCACTGTGAATAGCCAGTGTTTTTCTTAGCAGAAACAACAATTTACTTATCTAAAAATTATTCAATATTCATTTACATTGATGAATGACTGACTGAATGAATGGTTTATTTGATCAGTTTGATGGATATGAAAAATATATGAACTAATTCGATGAAGGTTTAGTCATTTATTGGTAACAGCTTTGAATGATATTCCCTTACAGAGGTTGCCCTGAACTCCTCGGTGTGGAAGTACCCTCCTCCCAGCATCTTCTTGGCGAAGGTGACGACGTCAGGCGGGTCGTCCAGTCCCCACAGGTCATGAGCCCACCAACTGCCGGTCACTCCCACTCCTGTCTGGACCTCGTCTACCAGGAACGCTGCATCGTACTGTAAAACAAAAGTCTGTATCTGTACATGTATAGCCGGTATAACCACCCCTCGGTGTAACACACCAACTGCCGGTCACTCCCACTCCTGTCTGGACCTCGTCTACCAGGAACGCTGCATCGTACTGTAAAACAAAAGTCTGTATCTGTACATGTATAGCCGGTATAACCACCCCTAGGTGTAACACACCAGCTCCCCGTCACTCCCACACCTGTCTGGACCTCGTCTACCAGGAACGCTGCATCGTACTGTAAAACAAAAGTCTGTATCTGTACATGTATATCGGGTATAAGCACCCCTCGGTGTAACACACCAGCTTCTGTATCTGTATAGCCGGTATAACCGCCCTTCGGCGTAACACACCAGCTTCTGTATCTGTATAGCCGGTATAACCACCCTTCGGCGTAACACACCAGCTTCTGTATCTGTATAGCTGGTATAACCGCCCTTCGGTGTAACACACCAGCTTCTGTATCTGTATAGCTGGTATAACCACCCCTTACTAAAAAATCACTAACAGATGCTACCAACACGATTCATCAGCAGAAAACAAAAAGGCTTCTACAGACCCAACTTCTGTTCTTGGTGCTGAAATACTTATCTATGACCTGAAAACCAGTTTTCTTCACCCTTTTTGGTTTTCTGATCCTCTTCATGTTTCATAAACAGTGAAATATAGGCAGGCTAATGGTTTGCTACAGAGGAAATTTGCATTAAGTAACATTGTGACACAGACACAGACCTAGCAATGGCCCTGAGTGTTTCAAACAGATGATAACAACATGATCCAACAACAGAAAACAGGCTACAGACCGGGTCTCTGTCCTTGGTGCTGAAAAGCAGGCTACAGTTTTGTTTCGTTTTGTCTTGATCTACAGTGCAAATTTGCATGCTGTAACAGTCCCTGTGACAAAGAAACTGACCTCCCTAGCGATGGCCCTAACCTGTCCTTGGTGCTGAAATACACCCTGTGTAATCTACAGAGCAAATTTGCATGGTTTAACGCAGTGACAGAGACACAGACCTCACAATCCAACACAAAACAGAAAACAAGGCCTCTACCAGCCCAACCTCTGTCCTTGGTGCTGAAAAGCAAGTTACGGTTTTGTTTTGTAATCTGTAGAGCAAATTTGCCTGAAGTGATGCAGTGACAGAGAAACTGACCTCCCTAGCAATGGCCCTGAGTTCCCTGAAGAACTGTGGCGAGGCGTGGTTGTCTCCTCCCTCTGCCTGGACTGGCTCCACCACCACTCCGCACACAGGCCGCCCGCGAGAGTTGTACTCACGGAACAGGGCATGGACCTGACGGGAAAATGAAGAAAACTTGTATTCTTTAACATTCAAGTTACATTCCTTAGGGCCTAACTGGATTCTGCTTGAAGGTTGTGTCCACTTGTGTGTAAAAGAATTTTCCAACAACCTACCAATGCCTAAATACATCACACCTTAGCAGCCCTTTTACTAGTCAGGCCCCCAGAAGCTTGATGACCACACCTCTAAGTCAGGAGAATTGGGAACATCTTCATCCTGTTGATTTATGCATACATTCTAACATGGACCAATTATTGTTAGACTGGAAACTGTGATGACTGGTTTCCATAGTGGCAAAAAAAAATCCTGAGCTCCTATTGGTAGTTCTGGACATGGGATTGGTTCTCTCAAAGTAGAGGGTGTATAACCACAACCTCTTGGGAAGGAGACCCTGGTAGCCCCTAATAGCAAGAGATTGTGAAACATAGGCTACTGCCAACATAATGAAGCTACTCTATTTTGACAACACAAACAATCCACAAACATTTCTGACAGACCTGATCGAGACATCGTCTCTCCTCAGCCCTGTTCTCAGCCTCGTGTTCCTCCAGCGGGTACTTGAGCTGAGGGAAAGGAGCAATGGGCCAGTCCATGGATGGGATGTCCAACTTGTGGATGGCCTTGGAGTGAGTCGTGGCCAGACAGCCTGGAAAAAAATGGCAATCAGTCAGGCTTGTGAACAGTCTCAGAGTTAAAAAACTTCCAACCCTGTAACAATTCATGTCATGTTTTTTAAACATAGAAGTACAGTAAAACCCGCATTAGTAACCATCTCAGCATCAGGACCACCTGACCGCCATGGCTAGTTTTTGATTGCCCCTTAGATTACTTTTTTACATTGTTCTAGACATTGAGAAAATCTATATTGACTACCTGCCTACTGTGACTGTTTTCACAGTCTATAGACTGTCCAACAACAGAAAACAAGACGGCCTCTTCACTCTACATCTGTCCTTGGTGCTGAAGTTGAATCTTCATCTATTTGCAGTTTTCTTGTCTTAGATTTTTTAAGTTTTTAAACGTAACATTCTGCCTGCCAAAGTAGTCATTTGGCATCAAATTTGTTAAAACTGGTTATGGCATCAGGCAGCGGATTGAGTGAACTGGTTATTTCAATGTAGTTTGTCCGAGTGTATTTGTGTAAGTACATGTAGGTGGGTAGGTTTGTGTGACGTTCGTTACCTAAAGTCCTCCCGTGGAAGGCACCTGTGAAGGACATCAGGGTGAGGTCTGGGGCACCTGGAGACTGGGGGAAGGGAGTAACAACAAGGTGAGGTGGCTGGTAACACGAGTGAAGAATTTAAAAAAATCTGATACATGAAATATATATTGATCTGTATATTTTACTTGTACTCACATTTGCTTGTATTTATTGTGATTTTCTCTTGTATCAGCCAAGGTAGTCATTGTTACATTGGCAGAGTATTGGGATACTTTCTTGAGAACATAAAGCTGTGAACAGACGAAATGTTGCAGACAGAAATGACTTATTCATGAGACTCCATACCTTATTGAACATGCAGGTTTCCAACTCTTCTGGGGAGGGGGGTGCTCCACCTCGCTGCTTTGTCTAATAAGAAAAAAGTAAGTTGACTTGTCAAAAATCAATGGAAACTTAAGCAAAAGTCTCCATCAAACCAAGGATTCATTTGCAAGTTGTTAAATGTTAAAATTTCAAAATTACATTCAACTGTTGCCAGGAAGTTTTGAAGCAAAAAAATCCTGTTAAAATGTTACACGACAAGAAGGCCAACCTACCATATACCACATGAAAATGGCCTTATAGGCATTCTCATTGGAGCAGGAGCCACAAGCCATGGTTTTCACATTAGTCAGGCCTTTGGGGGCCACCTGGACATGGGATAAAACATCAGATATGATAGCACACATGTATCTCATTTGTGCAACAATATCGTATTCACTCACGGCCTGTAACGCTTGTAACACGATATGTATGTATGTATGTTAAGGTTGACATCACTTCACCCTTATTCATTGTTTAGTCCTTTTTTTTTTAAATGAGGTATAGCTTGAGGAAGACAATTTGGAACATCAGCAGTATCCACAGAATTGCAAACTTGAGACATTCATTGACAGGCATTCCAAACCTTGTTTAGAAAGCTGTTTAGAAATCACATGCAATCAAAGACAAAATTTTTTAATCCCTTTTAGAACAGGATGACCAAACTAAGAAAAAGACCCTGTACTTACCGCCATGAGAGAGTTCTGTACCCTCTGTGGGAAGTCAGCTGGGGGGAGGTTTCCCAGGGCGGGCCTGTTTACAAGTGTGCTCTGTAAATAAAAACAACAACAAAACATGTCTGAAATATAGAATATTAATGCCAACCAATGACCAATACGATACAATGTAGTCGTAAATACAATTTCTTTAGAATAATATTACGTGTATTACGACAAGTCAGGTGGCAAATTGACTGACAAGAAGCCATGATAAGAAAGAAGTTGAGAAATTTTTCGTACCAAGTTTGCAGGATCATTTAGCACCTTCAACAAGGCTGGATGGTTATATCCTGTAAATAATAAATAATAAACAATTGTGTTTAGGAACAGTGAAACAATGTAGCACAGATCAGTATCAAGGTAATCACAAGAAAACTATAGATACAGCACCATCTACACAATGTAACATCAGTGTCCATAATATCACCAGGGTCCATAATATTGCCACCTTCAGAAACAGTGTGCTTAAAGATATTTTTACTGCAACATACTTTTGGTATGCACTCCTGCACACCTCAAATGTACAATGTACATACCTAGGGTGTGTTGCAGTAAAAATATCTTCAAGCACACTTTTTCTCAAGGTGGAGATATTATGAACCCTGGTGATATTATGGACACAGATATCCCGTATAAGATATTTTTACTGCAACATACCCTAGGTATGTACATTTGATGTGTGAAGGAGTGCATACCAAAAGTATGTTGCAGTAAAAATATCTTTAAGCACACTTTTTCTCAAGGTGGCGATATTATGGACTATGGTGATATTATGGACACAGATGTTACATGTAATCACAAGAAAACTCTATAGATACAGCACCATCTACACAAAGTAAGCACGTCAGCAGAGCGTACTGCACCTGCGCGAAACCCGTAATGTATTGTACATACTAGTATTTCGGTAGAATGTTGTATTCGCTCATATAAGGTTAGCATTTCGGCAGTAGTTTCCAAATTTTATGCCGGAAAGAATATCCTCTGCAACAGGCAAAATTCTGATGCAATGTTGACCAAAAACCCAACGAAAAACGCGAAAATACGGGGTTCTGCGCAGGTGCAGTACGTTCTGCCGACATGCTCACAATGTACTGTAACTATGTACTGTATGTACTGTATGTACTGTATGTACTGTATGTACTGTATGTACTGTATGTACTGTATGTACTGTATGTACTGTATGTACTGTATGTACTGTATGTACTGTATGTACTGTATGTACTGTATGTACTGTATGTACTGTATGTACTGTATGTACTGTATGTACTATATGTACTGTAGAGAAGCCCCACCTAGTGGCAAGGATGAGATCTGCATGTAGATGTCGAGGAAGATATTTCCGTCCACGTCCACCAGGTAGTTACCCTTACTCTCCTCGTAGTTACAGAAAAATTGCACCTCATGAGCTGTTGTCAATGCAGTGAGTTCCCTCAGCAGTTCCTGTAAATTATACAGTGAATATGAAACATACAGTGAATATGAAACATAAGCATTCCATGCTTCTCCCCTCCTCCTGCACCTGTTTTATCGTTGTTTTGTATTATTATTGTCTGTTTTGTTCAATGTGCAAGCTAATAAAAATCAAATCAAAATATTAATACTTACTTACTTACTAGTAGTGACACATACAGTGGTTTAAAACCATTTCATTTCATTCAATATACAGATATATATTGATACATTATGAGTTGAGAGGGTCTAGTAAGATCTGTGGTAAGGTAAAATATGCTCCTATTAGGGGGGGGGGTATAGCTTGTTGCCACATCTTTTCTTTAGTGTAACACTGTCTTTAATACATTTTGGAAGGGTGCCTTGGAAATATTTTGTTTTGCTTGTTTTGTTTTCTTCATGTACTGAGTAATTTTGACCATCAAATCAGGTAAGTAAAAGACAGAGACAAACTTTAAAAGTAATTATTAATTGATAACTCCTTCCAATAATGTAAAGATCATCATGAATATCTTCTCCTACACGTACCTGGGATTTTGGTCCAGGAATGTCTGTCTTGATACACGGTCCATCAAACTCCTCGAGTGACAGCTTCTTGGGGGCTGCCAAGACATGGCGTACTGGTGGGGAATGAGAAGGAAGATTGTTCTTAAACTACATGTACAATAATGACAAAGCTAATAGTTTGCAATCCATACAAAAGGAACGTGTGTGTATGCACTGATGAATGTTTATAGTCAAAATACTTTCGAAGATCTTTTGTACGTGTGGCTAACAATGATAACAGTCTCAATTATATTGTTTTTGTATTTTCTGTCGAATAAATTTTCTTCATGAACATCTGTCAATCATCACATACACTTTTGCCCCTCCCTGCACAATACCAAACAAGGAACCTTGACCTGGTATACTGGTTCAGCTTTGGGTTCATTGTCCTTTGTTTATTTCACCATAGTTGCGTGACATTTTCATGAATGGTAATTTGTTCCACTTCAAAAACGTCTTGTTTGGGTGAATTGACCTTCATTAGATTCTAATTTGTGGGGCAAGGTTGTTTTCGTGCAATTACTAGCTTACTTCCAGTCTAAAGACTTTTACAATGTATCAGTTTTACTGGTTTGAACTGGATCAACCTTGAAAAAGCCAAACAAAAGAGACAAACTGAAAAACCCTATTAATCAGGACTTGTACATGTACAGTATGTTCATGTACCCTTTTTGAAATTCTAAATTCAAGACAGTTGTACAAATGGTCAGCATAATATTCATTTTAAGAAAATGCTTTGTATTTATACTTACTACGTCTAGTATATGGTAATAAGTTATGAACCTTTTTTTGTACGTTGAAATTTGAATAAATTGTACATTAGGAAAATATTCCGTTTTGCTGTCTAAAACGTTTTGTGCTGTTCATTTACTTAAGGAACATGTTTTGTATTAATATACATAAGGGCAGATGAAGAAAAAAGATTCCATAAGAATTTATTTTGATGTACAAGTACAGTAATGGAATTCTTGGTGTTCAGGATTATTACTTGTCCAAAAAAATCAATAAAACAAAAACTTATAAATCCTCCACAATATCCCAAATCCCCAGAGCCAATATTTCAACTCCTCCCTGGAGAAAACGCAATAAATCAATGTCACTTCCTGCATACACTGTAAACCTTAAAATGTTCACATTTATGTAAAAGAAAACTCCTGTATCCTATGCTTTACCAGCCTGATGAAACTATTTTCGGAATGTTCACGCTGTTATATTTTTGTGGGGACCTCTAACTGTAAAATCATATTATAACAGTCAGCGACTACATATATAAGTGTGTGTGTGTGTGTGTGTTTGTGTGTTTGTGTGTGTGTGTGTGTGTCTGTGTGTCTGTGTGTTTTATAATTTATTTCAATCAAAATCTACTAGTACTGCACTTCAGACTTCTTTCCATTATGATAATGATTGCAAATTTCAGTTTTCAATTTCAAACAACACGAAAATCTCCTTATTATAAGTTTTTCCTCCTGCTGTGAATTAAAACCATTCGAAAAGTAAATGCGTCTACTGTACAACATGATCAAAGCTCCAGGAATAGAACACTGACACTACTGTGGAGTTAAAAGGACGGACTGCCTCCCTTATTTTCCAGTCCGGTGGCATTTGCGATGGGAAGTAAAGTGAAAATACCAGCGAACACCTGGGACCAAGACTCATCAGCCATGGAACGGTATCAACTCATCAGGGTCTGCCTGACATTCTCTCTCTGTTGCCGGATAATTGCCTTCACGTTAAATCACGGCAAGCCGTCGTGAAGCCCTCTTCATATCATACAGAATGAGTTAGTGTCAAGAACTCAAGCAATAATAGCAGTAATCCATAGTTAGGCCACACCAATTTAATTTCTTGGTTAACGGATTCGCCGCTTCATTTTTTTCTGATTTGCAAATAAAAATAAAAATCCAGAATCAACTGCAAAATGCTCATACTAGTATTTTGCCCTGAATAGTTGTAAACAGACCTTTTCATCCTAGTTGTTACAGTTATTCCATCTTTCAATGCAATGGTATCATAAAAAGGTCAAAATTCATTGTTTAAATTTTGAACCAGCCTGGTGTGTTGACTTCATGGCTCCTATCGTACCATTTTGGGCCATAATACAATGCCTAGGCCTGTTTTTATTTATTTTTTTTTTCGCCCGCCCAATCCATTATTTTTCTAGAAAAATCCGTTAACCAAGAAATTAAATTGGTGTGGCCTAATGCAGCAATTTGAAAACACTCTATTTTCTTTGAGCTTATCAATTTTTCCAAGTGCATTCTTATTCAATCATGCCCATATTTTTATTATTTTATGATATGATAATATGGCATATTTTGGAGGATAGCCAAAAATCATTGTAAATTGAATCCACAATGTCATATACAAAGCTTTATTTTTTGAAAATGTTACTAAAACAACTAACTTTAACATGGTCTGTCATTGCATTGATCATACAGGAAGAGCACAGCACCTGAGTTATCCTAAACCAGGGATAGTCGGTCGTGTAATAATGGTCGTAGGATTTCCCGTCTATCCCATCCCATTACCCCCTCCTCCGATATTACAGTAATCCTTCAGCGAGAGACAGCTATAAAACTGTAATAAGGCTTGTGGATGATAACTGGGCTGTCAAAGTGTATCGCTCGGGCGATCTGTTATTTCTTACACCAGGAATTGGAGTCCTGGGTGTACCTTAGCCTCCTGTGCAGGCCTCCGGGCAGGTGGTAGTTTTGATACTGCGTTTTGTAGAATTTTTATCGTGTTCTTTTGCCGGCCATCCTACAACCAGCCACGGTTTAATAATAATAATAATTGTTTATTGATTGATTGATCGATGAGTACAATCGCTAGCACGTGGCAGCGCAACTAAAAAAGTAGCTCTGAATTGCATGCTAGTGTTTAAAAACAGAGAGACAAATATTGCACAGTTACGAGTAACAAATAGACAACTAAACAAAAGAGTTAACATATAGGCAACTAAAAAAGTGCGTAAAATGAACTTAACAATATTCACAATATCAACCAATAAGTAATCAATATCATTAGTGTAAAAAATAATAATTTTATAGTATGTTGCATAAAAACTAATCTTGATAGGATTGGTCATGGGAGATTTACTATGTGCCATATTTGTTTGTACCTGTCACGGCTGGTTGTAGGATTGCCAGCAAAAGAACACAATCAAAATTCTACAAAACGCAGTATAAAAACTTCCACCCACCCGAAGGCCTGCATAGGAGGCTAGGTGTACCCAGGTGGGGAATTGGAGCTCGGGCTGTACCCTCAGTGCTGTATATAATCTTATAATGTGCAGCCTGTGGAATAGCCTAGAGGGCAGAGCGCTGACATTTTGCATTTGAGAATGAAAGTTGTAGTTTCAATTCAGGTATCTGATATGAATGGAGTAGATTTGGTTACTGTAGATTGCCCTTAAGGTCAAGTTAGAAGTCTAAATATTCTCCTTAGCAGGTTCCATGAGTCAAGCTCTTTTGGAGGTCATATTACATTCTCAGTACTTTTTATTTTGTTGGCCGCCCCTGCTTGTCGCGAGCCTTCCAACTTGACCTTAAATTCAATCTACAGTAACCAAAACTGCCTCCTTCCCCTTTCTGAAACTCTACCACATTCAAATATGAGGTATTCATGGGCAATATACAAGTACAGTTCACTGTATATACTTGTAGTTACTAGTTGGTAGGCTAAAAGTCCTTGGTAACAGTAAATCATTTACGAAATGTCAATTCAAAGCCAATTTCCAAATTGCAGCTTCTGCCTAATGTTCCCCTGTAGTTTCGGATCACCAAATTGCCCTGAACAGTGGTTTTAGGTCCGGGCTGAACCCCAATAAGCTGGTGTAATTACCTGCATTTAGGCTGAGTGATTGCTCCCTAACCACCCTGTCCAACTGTTATAGATGCACCAGTGTGATGTATGCTGCTGTTGGGAATTCACTGAGCACAGGGGCTGTATGTCAAAGGCCACTTCAAAATACATGCATGGTTCACACCTCTAAAAAGGTTTTAAGAAGCTTGAATCCATGACTAGTTTCATCAGGTTGGTAAGACACTGAGTAAAGAGACTCTTTTTACACAACCAAGTCTTTTATTCAGCCAACGTTTTGGTGACCGTCTGTCACCAGTCAGAATTGCCCTGAGGAAGGTGACAGACGGTACGGAAACGACGGCTGAATAATGGTTGTGTAAAGAGAGTCTAAGAAGCTTGTATGTTTGTTCTTGACACTTTTCATTCATTACTTGAAGTACGGACTTCTGAATCATCAATTTATTTCTGATGCCATTTATTCAGTTATACACTTAATTAGTTAGTTGGTGATCAACTATCATACAATTCAAAATACATGCACGGTTCACACTTTCTGAGGGGCCTGCATGCCCTTTTTCGTAAGGCGTAATCAGGCCATTTTAGTCTTCATAATCCGTAGGCAGCCTCCCAAAAATCAACGTTATTTATAATCAGCACATTAGCCGCAAAGCGTAAACTCGTAATCAGCTCTGAGACTTTAACGTAATTCATAATTAGCAGCAAAAAGTTTGCGTAATTTAATTGTAATCACTTCATAGCATCGGAACTACCAAAATTGACCTTAACCTAAAATGCTTGAAATTTTGGTGAAACAGTGGAGAGAGAGAGAGAGACAGAGAGTCGACACACACAATTGAAACTGCATAAAAATCTTATTAAAATAATATCTACAATACCTTACAAATATTTATAGGGGGGCAACTGTTTCAAATTCTTGCGTAATACACTCCAACAAAAGCAAAACAAGAGTTCCGAGATGTCATACCTCCATGAAATATGGGCTTGACATGTAAATTTATTCTTTAATTATGCAAATGCATGTCCAGGACAAAAGATACAAAAAAGGAAGTTTTTCTGCAGTACCAAGGTTAGCTACCTGGAGGTCCAAAATTGACCTTGACCTTTGCCTACCCAACACCTACACACATACCAAATATCATCACAATCCATCCAAAGGTTCAAAAGTTATGCTGGCTACAGATGTGTGGAAACACAAACACACAGACAGACAGACAGACAGACACACACACACACAGACAAGCCAAAAACAATACCTCCGTTTTTCATGAAGGTAACAACTCATTGTCTATTCTGTATTCTAGCCACCCTCCCAGCATGTAAAACAGGCTACAGTCTATCCCAGGGCGGTGTCCCCATGGGCCACCTGTGTAATTGGATTCTTACAACATAATTTGTCTGTATCCCCAGAACACTGCCTCTGTCAGGAGGTATTCATCATACGCAAGTTATGGGAACCCAGGGAGCACGAAATTCAACTTTCACAAAACAATCCCCTTCAATATTCCTATTGTAAGTAAAACAATAGAATTCCGCGATCTCATACTTTTGCGCAACGATGTTAACCTTTACAACTGATGAATTATAAATAATTCTTCTCAATACCTCGTTGATTATGCAAATAAGAGCCTCATTTGTACAGATCATTTTTGTTTGACTTTGAGGTCTCATCACCTGGTCCTACCCACCTACCAAGTTTCATGAAAATATATCCATCCATACTAGTAGTTTCTTTCTTTCTTTCTTTCTTTCTTCAGTTATCCAGCTACATGTATTCAGGTGTTCAAAATATTCTTTCAATTCATAACACTGTTTTTGGTTGACAATATTTCATATAACTTTTAGTCTACTTTTTATCATGCTATTTATCAAATCAACGTAATATCAGTTTGAGGAGGGCAAACTAGATCTGCAATGTGATATGAAGATACCTTGGGCCATGCAAGACAAATAGCTAATATTAAACAGGGTTTTTTGTCTCATGTATGCAAAGCCACACGGATAACATTTCATCTCAATGGCTGATCCTGAAAAATAGTTCTGAACTCTTCCACAGACACAAGGTCGTTCGTATTCCCGGGGAATCTGACCCTGGTCTCCATGGAGATGACCTTAGGGAATGGGGCTGCCCAGAGGTACATGTATCACATTCCATCACTGCTCAGGTGTTACAGGTGTCCTTTGGGTAAAATATTACTTTTAGGATATTATTATGGACAATTGCACATTGCAGCCATAACCAAGCTGATTTCGGTTGTTAGGATTTTGCAGGAGAATATTAGGCAAACTAAAACTTTGAAAGAAAACAAGCTGCCAGGGGGCCCAAAATCTAATCATCTTGAGGTCAAGACCTACCCACATACTAAATATCAAGACAATCCATCTAAGCTTGAGTTATCGTACAAACAGACACAGAAACACGTACATGTAGGAACATGTAGTTATGGCATAAGGAATACATTTTTAGGACAACTTTTGGTGCCAAAATATGAGAATTTGGGGGTTGATTCATCCAAAGCATGATATTTTTATTTTTGGACAACGAGAATAATTGAAAGAACTGAGAAATCAAAGTAGTGCTGCTATATATAAGGCCACACCAATTTAATTTCTTGGTTAACGTATTTGCCTGCTTCATTTTTTTCTGATTTGCAAATAAAACTAAAAATACAGAATCAACTGCAAAATGCTCATATTTTGCCCTGAACAGTTGAAAACAGTCCTTTTCTTCCTAGAAATTAAATTGGTGTGGCCTAAGGGTAGAAAAAAAAAACCTATCCAGCAGCATATATGCTTTTGTCCCTTTGGGGGATTTGCTATAAGCACCATCTTAGTTTAAAACCTGTCATTATACTAGACAAGTCAAGAGTAGAAGTCTAGACAGCCCCCAACAATAGATGGACTCTCGTGTTGACCCAGTGACAAAGTTGTGATGCAATTTCACCCATCACAGATGAGTTATACTATATCACTGGTCATTAGATCAGTCATCCACCCATAAAATGTGTAAATCAATCTCTCTAATGAAAGAGCTGTCTTTCATTAGTAACAGGTACAAATGTAGACTGATCACATGATAGGCTCATAGCTATAATTTACTGCAGTCTATCATTCACTCAACATGACATCATTTGCAAGTGTTCTGATATCCTGATTCACAGTAAATTGACAACATAGGAGTAACAGTCAAATTTTTTCTGTTAATTGTAAGTTTTTCTGATTTTGTAAGTTGTAACAATCACCATGATGTATAAACAAAGGACAAGCTTAAGGCATTTCTTCAAGTTGCAATTGTAAGTTCTTCAAATTCACCATGTGTAAAGTAAAGATAATAGGGCATATATACATGTAGCATGATCTACATGTAGGAATTTTCTTTTACACAACCTGAATACTTCTCTCACCTTGCTTACGTTTCGATGTCTGTCAGACACCTGAAACTATTTTTAGAAGCATAATCTACTGGCTATATGGTGATATGAAATAAATAGCAGCTGAACAGACAACTTTTTTACAGTTTCATCGCAACAATTTCAGCAACATTAACGTAGACTTACCCTGCTTCAGAGATGACAATGATGACTGCAGAGTTTTCCTGAGAAGAGACATGGCGACGACTTGGCCTCCGGATCCGCCGCGACCGAAACACGAGAAACGACAGCACAGCTCCTTCACCCGCTGTGGCTCTCACCGAACTGTTCCGCACTCCTTACAACAGAGACTGTCGCGCGGTGATCACGCCTATCACCTGACTGGAATAACAATGATCAATAATTTTCATAATAGGGTCCCAATATGCCAGACAGTCCCTTGGGCGACTCAGGCTGTTACATGGCAGGTTTTACCGGTCTCTTATTATTAAGGAGCGACTTTGGATCAATTGAAGCAAACTTAATTAAGGGGAATATGTGATATGTTTTCTCACCTAAGAGAACCATTCTTTCTTGCTGAGGGTTAGGTCAGTGTTACCTAACACAGTTACAGGCTATAGCCTCCATAGCATGCCAAAAACTGGGGGTTTTGGGGGTCTTCAGGGTCTTTGGAAGCTTTTATGTGCTATTTTCTGATTGCATATAGACAATATAGCCGGCCTGGTTGAATTACCCCCGTTAGAACTGGGCTAATCAGAAAACAGCCGAAGACCACCAAACCCCCAGTTCTAATACAGCGAAGTTTTATACCAATCCAGCAATCTTTGACAAAGGAGGTTGTCAGTATGAGGGTTGTAATGCCTGCCAACTGAAGATGACCTACATTTGTGCTTTCAAAATCCTTGAAGCGTTTTAGCCCCATTGACCCTAGCTGCTGACAGTAAACAAGGCTAGCTGTAAATGTTATAAAGAGTTACATTATTAGGAAGCTAAAGAATTATGCATCAGCTCATACTCATACTCAGTATTTTCTTTTCTGCTTCTTTTTTTCTTTTTACAAATTTAGGTCACACTGACTTATCTTATGTAATGTTATCTAATGAGCATCCATAAAAATCAAGTTAGTGTGACAGTTATCAATTCATATAACGTTACAATTAAAAAAATATATATATGATGGAAAGTGCACAACTTGGTCCAAAGTTTTAAAACTGCTCGGAAACTACATTGTAAGTTTACCTTTACGTACACCCTTTAAAATGTGACTCAAGAGGACTAGTACTATTTATATCTCTCTTACGTTATCTAAGATCGTGACTGCCCCAGATGTTTCAGTGGCCTGGCTAATGACCTCACTCAGCAAACTGGCTCGAACCAGATTCTGCCAAACCAAAAATTTCCCCTGAAATGCACTAAACAATAGAGAGCTCTTTTCTCACTAGCTTGGCTAGCATTATACTTCCTATGATACTTCCTACTTCCTTCCTACACTACAGACAGTGAGAGGGTAGTAGTTCCCTTTGCCGGGTTGTCAACAGCTACTAACGGTGTGCGGTATCAAAACAACTTGACAGGCACGACAAAAATACGTGCTATACTGCTATAAGACACCAAAACGTCGACTTACCTCGTCCTGACTATCGTTAGTACGTACCTTAGCGTGGGAACAGGGAAGAATTTCGACGTTCTCTGAGCAACAAATGTTCTGAAGTAGTCTGAGAGGAATACTATTATTAAAAGACCGGTGGGTCCTATTAGACCGCCCGTATTCTAGCTTCTGTAGCAGTGGGGTATTTGTTTACCAGCCACATGTGACCTTCGACCGATTAGGCACGATCAAAACAATACTCTGTAGTTCGGTCACTCTTAAGTAGCCTCTACCAGACACCGCGGATCGCTGGAAAAATAGTACAAATTGGCCGAAATAAAGGGATAGTATACCAGAGAAGATCCCGGGACATAGAAGATCCAATGCATTCGCGACCCACGGCTAATTTCTAACTATTTTTTCAGCGATCCGCGGTGCCTGGTAGAGGCTACCTGTTAAGTCTTCAAGCAGATGTCTGGGAGAGACGATCGTATTACATTCTCTGAGCTAGTAGCTTTTTCATCAATAGAAAACGGAAGAAGCAAATAGTTTTAAGTGCAATTTCGCTTCCCGAATATCTGAGTGTTTGGTAATATTATTACAATACATCCTTGGTTAGCCGTGGCGACTCTTGATTCGGGCTTACGTGTAGCCAAGGACGTTTTAATACGAGTAAAATGTCCTTGGTGTAGCTTAATACCTGGGGCAAATCATTCGTTTTCTGTGAGACATTAAATAGTATGGGCCTAGTATCCAGAACTGGCAATGTATGCCCTCAGGGTTAGAAAACAGGCACACTAATATAATAGTAATAAGCCCTGCCCCCTCCAAAAAAAGCCAGACTCGTAGAGGCGTTTATATTATTGATTATCCACTTTGAAAGCTCAGACCCTTAATTATATAATCCTATTGTATTTGTAGGTCATTGACCTCACAGTGCAGCTGTGTAGACAAGGCCGCTATTTTGTGGTCTGATATCTACTGTACGTGACAAGTGGTCTTTTCTTATCTTCTTACTATGACCATAGGTCAATTAGAGAAACTTCCCGCAAGAAAGCGTCCACTCATTCAACTGGACTTTGCTCACAAGTTGTCCTATACTTGTCAATAAAGACAGAAGTCACCCAGAGGACACTTAAGTTCAGTAAGTTCAGGACACCTGGAGGTTTTATTATGGTGCGATTTTATCATATCTAAAATGTCAATACTACAACATCGTTTTCCCGGAGATATAACGTTATAATGTTACCTGTAGACCATACCAAAAATGAGATACATACCTTGCGCCGCCGGTGTCCAATAGCCAAGGCTTGGGTGTCGGGGCGGAAAAATTCTTGTTTGTGTCCACAACAGGACAGACAAATGTCACACGAATGTCAAGTCAGGAAAACTCCCAGGTGAAGCTCAATCAACAAAAGAATATGTCAATTTGACCTTTCGAAAAGTGCTTGTTGTTTGGTCCGAGTGGAAAAGTTTAAGGCCACACCCACCTTACGGACGCAGACTAGCCAGCGTATTAGTTCTGCAAAGTCAGCACAAAGTCGGTCAACCAGAGGCCCCAAGGGTTTCTCGCTCAGATTTCTCTTCCTGTAGTCTCTCTTGTCCAGTCTCTGTTCTTCAGGTACGATTCAGATGCTACACGAGTTTGGACCGACGAAGGAACTCTGGTCGATTAGTGCTATTCCAAAGAACAAGTTCGATAGGAACCTGGAACATGTGCAGGTTCTAGCGTGTCCTCTCTCTGTAGCTCAGCTAGCTCGCACAAACAACTCTTTCAGGCTGTGGAGTTAATATTGTATTCAGCTCGAGTCTTTTGGCAAACAACACCGGCTAGAACTGGTTTTGCAATGGACCTTCGCACCACGTGTTTTGTCGCTCTGGGCGCCAAACGTCCTGTTTATACTGGCAAAAAGCCAAGAGGTGTACTACATGTATGGGGACAGGGTCAAGACGTGTTTTAATGGTTTTCAAGTACAATGTTTGTTTGTACAAATAATTGCTCTATAAATAGCACCACATACTAGGATTCCACACGAAATGAAAAATCTCTTATGCCACTTATCAAGGTAAAAGCTGTACTATTAAAAGTTTTTCAAACAGAAGTAAACTTTAGTTCATTAACGTTAGGAACACGAAAACAGGTAGTAGGAAACCTGAGCAGTGTTTTGGCTCGTGCTTTTGTTGTGGTGAGTCATGTGACAGTGACAAAAGAGGCGTGACGTGGGCGTGACCCGAATGGGCGTTGCTGATTGGCTAATACGAGTCTTCTGTTTCTATAGTAACAGTTCTGCGTTTGGAAGGGCTTATAGATGTTTTGATGGAATAAAAAAAATGCAAATTCGATGAAATGATACTATTTTATGTAACAAAACATGAATATGCAGTTCTTTGCCTATAATTCTGTAAAGATATTCCAAGATTTAGCATTAGACCAATTCTCACAACCTAGGAACTTCAAATTTAAAGCTAAAGCCTCAAATTTGAAGCTCATTGACACAATACAATAGAGATTGACCAAAAAGACTACTAAAAGTATCTTCAACTTTTTATTTCAGAGCCTTAAAGCTGGTGCTCAACTTTTAATCACTCAAATAATCTGTGTTTACAAAAAATATACACTCCGTGCACACAGGCTAGGATCAGGCAATCTTTTGTAACTTTGTTACTCAAATATAATTTCTCACCTACTCTTTTGACAATCATTTAATATATAGGTGGTGACAGACAATACCACTATATACAATACCATTCATAATTTCATCAAACATTTTTTCGGAGTGTTCACTATATAGTTATCGATGTTACCACCGTTTACACCTATTTTGAAATATGACAATGGAGGGCACAAGTAAAGATATAAACTTTATCATGCTATATTCAGCAGCTACTATTGTGCAAAACTCAATAACAAAGTTATGTACATGTTTTACATACTTATGTACATTTTCTAACTTGCTTCTTTTGTTACAGTAGATAATCTTAGGAGAAGTACACTTGGGGATTACTGTGAACAATGGGGAAACTAACTATTGCCAAAAACTAAAACATCTAGACTTCACACCTCTGGTGACACCTACTTTACCTTCTATTATCTCATCCTAGGATGAAAGGAATGTCAAAAGTATTGGAAGTAAAACTCTCTTTGTTATTGTTGCTTTCATCTTTCCTTAAAGTTAACTGAACATATAGAAAAAAGAAGAGTCAAAGAGCAAAGAGCCAGTGGACTTAGCATCATCACCAATAGGAGTATAGAAAAAAAAGACCTCTAAAATATTCAGAAAATCACAGAAAATTTGGGTAAGCCCAATTTTTTGTGCTGAAAATTACAGCTCAAATCTGTTACAGAATGACAGCTACTAAGTTAACACAGATGAAATTTCTTTCAAGCTAAGAGAAGAAGTAGTTAGACTTGGTCATGATAGTAAGAGTAGAACTAGTTAGCGTTCTACATGACCTCTTCAAGTAGCCTGGGTGCCAGACGCTGGCGTTCATAAGCAATAGATTTTTTTTGTGGGAAGAAGCCCTAATGTCCGCTACAGTATCTGCCGCCCAACCCCAGGCTGCCCCAAACCCTTTATCTTTCACGTCAGACGCGAAGAGATAATTAGAGCCAGGGCGCCAAATCGGGGTTGGCAGGGCGTATGGCTTTCCTGGCCGAAGGGGTTATCTCTCATTCGCGGTAGGGGCTGGCACCCAGGCTACTCTTCAAGAACTACCAGTGGAGCTAGTCAGAGATCTACTAATCAAGCTAGAGTAGAACTAGTTAGACTTGGTCATCATAGTAATGATTCAAGTTGTGCAGCGGGTTCAAAAAGATCTATTAGAACTAGTCAGAGATCTACTCATAAAAGTTAAACTTGATCATCATAGTCCTCAGCCACATCTTCCTCCACCTCCTCCCCCTCGTCTTCCTCCATGCTCTCCGCCCGCATGTTTTTCTCGGCGCCCATGCCGCGGCCCAGCGGTATGTCCAGCGCGCGGTGGACGGCCTCAATGGTGCGCATGTTGACGTAGTACGCCATGTTGACGGTCGGGATGCGCTGCCTCATCTCCTCCATCAGCTGGTAGGCCTGGACAAGGGAGTTATTTAGATTTAAGAACAAGAAACAGTCATGCCTTTAAATATCAGAGTTATACCTGCACACTTCCTATTTGGGTATATCATTTACCTTATGCAGTATTTCCTATGCTTATCGCTAGGTGGCGCACGTGTACAAAGCTTTAATCGCAAATCATCACGGGATATCATGACGTAATGACTATGTTCGCCGCCATTTTCCTTGTGCGAACGCGAGGGGTGCACGTTGTTTCCCTACTCCTTATTTTTTCGGATTTTCTTTCGGCGTTATGCCCAAAAAGAAGGATAAAACGAAGTCTTCTGCCCACGGGGGCGATTCAGGTAGCCTTTCGGAGGACCAGACAGGTCGGAATGGCAAGAGAAGTGGTCAGTTTCCCAACGCTAGGCAGGCAAAGTTCCTTGCCGTGGAAAAGACAGGCGTGCCTGTACTTGCCTCCGGACAGGAGGAAGAGGAGTCGGGTGAACGAAAAGTCCCCGCTCCTACAGCTGGAGGTTCGGAGGGAAAAGAGAAGAACCCCAACCTCATTCCGCCGCTAGTGGAGCGAAATGCCCCTTCGGCGTTGGCACTGGGAAAATCGGCCAAGGAAGGAGACGGCGCGGAGCTGCCCCGGCCCAAAATTCCTCCGGGCTCGGAGGAGTTGGGCTCCCCGACCATGCCGAAGCTTGGTCGGGAAAAGTCTCCTCCACCCCCACCCCCACCAGGAACACCCTTCCCGCCTGGATTCGACGCTGCCTCTTTTCTTCAGTGGGTCAGTTCCAGCCTGGGACTTCCTCAGGCGTCCAGTTCATCCCGCCAACCTCGGGACGTTGACGGGGCGGTAGCGTCGACCAGCTGAGCCGGCGTAGTCGGTTCCGGGCGCAAGCATCCAGGTTCGGAAGTGGAAGAGTGTTCGGAGGAGGGGGAAATCGCCATTTCGGACTCTGAAGAGTCTGATGAAGGTACTAGTAACTCCTTGTCATTCGATAATCCTTACGATAAGAAAGGGAAAGAATCTGAACTTCCCGAGCAAGTCGCTACATTTTTGACCGAGGTCTTTACTCATAAATTAACATATGCGGAGTTCAAGGAGAGGAAGGAAGCTTTTCCAACTCCACCTAGCGTGGAGTTAGCGCTTCGGGCACCCATTCTAGACCCAGTAGTGGCGAATATGATTAAGAACGACACCGTCAACACGGATAAGAATTTTAGTGATTGTCAGGATAGGATGCTCATGGCTGCTAACCCTCTGGTGGATCTTTTAGCGGCATTTAAGGGTTCGGACCATCCCCTGAACCCAAATGCTGTGTGCAAAGCGATAGAATCTTCCTTGGTATTTTTGGGTTCAGCTTCCTCTACTATGACTCAGTACAGACGGGAATTGTGCGGTAGGGACATGAAACAGGATATGAAGCATGTTTTCAAGACCGACTTGCCCACTGGTTCTTCCAAATACTTGTTTGGAGACACCTTTTTGGAGAAGGTTAATACAGCCGATCAGGCTAGACGCACCTTGAGTAAGGCTTATAAGCCAGCCCCTTCGAGCACTTCTAGGGCTAGGGACAGGTTTCAGTCCAACCGCTCAAAGTTTAACTATAACTACAACAAGTACTCCTCAAACTCAAAGGGTTACAATTTTCGTCCCTACTATAACAACAACAACAACAACTACAACAATGCTAGACCATGGTCAAATGCCGGGGGTAAGAAAACCTCGGGGTTTCGTTCAGCGCAGGGCACAAAAGGCCCAAACAAACAGTAGCTCTTCCTCGTCATCGGACTCTGCTCTGTTCTCCGGTTCAGCACGCAGGGCGAACAGCTTTTTTCATGAAAAACTGGGAAAGGATTTCAACAGACAGATGGCTTTTGCAAACAGTTCGGGGTTACCGTATAGAATGGGAGTCCACTCCAGTTCAGTTCGTTCAGCCGGTCACAAATATATCTGGGGAGGACAGAGCAAAGGTTGTAGACGAGGAAGTGCACAGTATGTTGGAGAAAGGTGCAGTGGTCCAGGCGGAGCCCTGCGAGGGCCAATATGTTTCTACGATTTTCCTAGTCCCGAAAGCTCGGGGAGGCTGGAGACCGGTTATAAACCTAAAGTCTTTAAACAAGTTTGTTCTGAAACGTACTTGCAAGTTCGAAGGGATAAACCTAGTCAAAGAGTTGTGGAAAAAAGGAGATTTTCTAGCAACTATAGATCTAAAGGATGCGTACTTTACCATCCCAATAGCTCAGAGCGATCGAAAATTCCTTCGTTTTTCGTGGAGAGGAGTTCTTTGGGAATTTCAGTGTCTTCCCTTCGGTCTGACGTCGGCGCCGAGGGTATTTACCAAGGTTTTGCGGCCGATTGTGGCCATTCTAAGGAGACAAGGATTGTTAATAGTAATTTTCCTAGACGACTTACTGATCATTGCAAGGTCGAGGGAACAGTGCTTAGAGCACATTGCTATAGCCAGAGAGCTTCTAGAGCAACTCGGTTTTGTTCTCAACCTGGAAAAGTCGCAGTTGATACCGTCTCAGGTAGCGACCTTCCTAGGCCTTGTTCTCGATTCTCGTACTTTGACAATTTACCTACCAGAAGACAAGTTAGACAAGGTAGTGAGTTCTTGCCAATCACTTCTAGAACAGGAGGTGATAGGAACCAGGCAGCTAGCCAGCGTGGTGGGGCTGTTAGAGTCCACCAAGCAAGCCATTCTTCCCGGGCCCTTACATTTCCGGGCTCTGCAACAGCTTCTCAATTTCGGCATAAAGAAGCCGGGAAAATTCGACTCTTCAGTCAGTCTAACCCCAGATGCAGTAAAAGATCTACAGTGGTGGATCAGTCATGTGCGCGAAGTAAACGGTCGCCGAGTCTTTGTTCCGTCAGACCTGACAATTTGCACAGATGCCTCACTGGAGGGATGGGGCGCGCATTGCAATGGTCAGGAGACAGGCGGGCGCTGGTCACAGACAGAAGCGCGCATGCACATCAATTGGCTAGAGTTGAAAGCGGCCTTCCTGGCGCTAAGAAGCTTTGTGAGCGCGGATACTCAGCATGTTCTGCTAAGGCTGGACAACACAACAGCCGTTGCGTATGTGAATCACATGGGGGGAACAAGGTCGCCGGATCTGGCAGCCTTGGCCCTGGAGATGTGGTCGTGGGCCTTGGAAAGAGGCCTGATGTTGTCTGCAACTCACGTTCCCGGATTGACAAACACCCTAGCGGACAGGTGTTCGCGGGTTTTTCTGGACAAGGTCGAGTGGCAACTGAACCGCTCAGTTTTCCTGTCATTGAACAATTGGACAGGCAATGCATTGACAGTGGATCTGTTTGCGTCTCGTCTGAATGCTCAGCTGGAGGAGTATGTCTCTTGGCACCCAGAACCAGAGGCCATGGCAGTGGATGCTCTAAACATTCACTGGGGCAACCTGGGGCTAGCGTATGCCTTTCCCCCCTTCAGCCTAGTGTTCAAGGTACTGAGAAAAGTCCAGTCAGACGTAGCAACAGTGATTTTGATAGCTCCAGTCTGGAAGTCTCAGGCTTGGTACCCCAAGGTGTTGAACATGTTGTTCGAGAGTCCGGTTCTCCTACCACAGAGCTGGGATCTGCTGTTCCTGCCACACAACAGGAGACCCCATCCGCTGTTGCCAGATCTGATGCTTGCCGCGTGGCCAATATCAGGCGACAGTTGCAGGGTCGGGGCCTTTCGGCAGGGGCTTCAGACCTCATCCTCTCGGCTTGGAGAGAAAGTACTTCTAGACAGTATCAGTCAGCATGGGCTCAGTGGGCCAGCTGGTGTGATAGAAGGGAGATTGATCCAGTTTGCGGCTCTATAGAGAGCGTAGTAGAATATCTGGAATGGATGTTTCGACAGAACTACAGCTATATGTCAATTGGGGTGGCTCGTTCTGCGATCTCGTCTGTTCACTTACCAGTAGACCATTGTAATGTGGGTAGTCACCCTCTAGTGTCCAAACTGATGAGAGGTGTGTTTCACAAACGTCCTCCTTGTCCAAGATATGTTTCAACATGGGACGTCAGTCGGGTCCTAGAGTACCTTCTGCATTGTTGCCCAGCTAATAGTCTTAGTTTGAAACAATTGTCTCATAAGTTGGTAACACTAGCGGCATTGGTATCAGCCGACAGAGGTCAAACTATAGCGGCTCTCGACTTGAGATTCATGAAAAAATGTAGAAACGGTGTTTCTTGGACTATTCCTACCCTGCTAAAAACTTCTAGACCAGGAAAACCTGCCAGAAGGTGTTTTTGGGCGGCCTTCCCGCAGGACAGGCGCTTGTGTGCCTTCACATACCTGAAAGAATATCTAAGGCGGACTTCTTCCCTTCGGAAAGAAGGGGGGGGGGAGGCAGAAGTTGTACATATCGTACAGGAGACCACACAGGCCAGTGGGTTCTGCAACCCTGGCCAGGTGGGTTAAGTCAGTGTTAGGCACGGCAGGTGTTGACACAGCAACTTTCTCAGCTCACTCCACTCGGGGAGCGTCCACTTCAGCTGCTGCAGCTGCCGGGGTGTCTCTACATAGCATCATGAAGGCAGCGGACTGGTCAAGAGAGTCTACCTTCCTGAAGTACTACAGGAGGGACAACAACCAACACACGTTTGGCCAGGCTGTGCTGTCCACGGCTCTGAAGTCTGCATAAGGTAAATGATATACCCAAATAGGAAGTGTGCAGGTTATAATTGAGGATTAGGCAAATTGTACTTACCATGAAGGATAATCCCAATTATACCTCACACGAACTATTTGGGTATATCTTCCCACCCTTGCTGTTCTTCAGCTTCCAAGTAGCTGAGAATGCCCACCCATGGTGAACAGCACAGACTCTTTCTCGCACGTCGTCAAATGGCGGCGAACATAGTCATTACGTCATGATATCCCGTGATGCTTTGCGATTAAAGCTTTGTACACGTGCGCCACCTAGCGATAAGCATAGGAAATACTGCATAAGGTAAATGATATACCCAAATAGTTCGTGTGAGGTATAATTGGGATTATCCTTCATGGTAAGTACAATTTGCCTAATCCTCAATTATCAACCAAGAATTGAGGTATTTAAAAACTCGTATTTCCCCAGAACCATCGAAGACTGGAACTCCTTGCCACCAAGCACAGTTGGGGCATCATCACTAGAAAGCTTTAAACAACTCCTACAATCAAATGTGCAAAGATTAAGTGTAACAAGCCGTTCCACTTAATCAATCATATTATCTGTATCTTTGTTTTATTCCTATTTCCCTGAAGGCTGTTGTCAGACTAAGTTGCAGCTACCTACAGTCTACATTGAACAACTTGTCAAATGCTTGGCTATCCACTCCAGGTATTGTTTAATGCTATCCAATATGAGGATGCCCTTTCTGTAAGAAGGCCAGCCAGGGCACTGAAGTAAAGTACAGGTAGTCTTCTTGGACAGGTCATTTCAAGATTGCACCTATGGAAGAAAAAACTTGGGACCAGGAAAAGCTGCTTGCTATGTCCAGTTGGCCAGCTTTCAAACCACCGGGGAAGGTTTGACTGTACAATGTACATATAGATACATTCTTCTTGTTTATGTCGTGTTCTGGTGACTCAGTTATCAATAGTTGATAGAAGCAAATTCGAAGTAATGTGGTCGTACCTTTGGGTAGTTCTCCTGCCGTGCGTAGTGTTCGATCATGAGTCCGTAGACGTCCCCGATCCTGACGGCAGAGTCCAGGTCTGACTCCTCGAGTAACACCTGACACTGCTTCATGGTTTCCTCTGGGTCATCCTCATACACCCTGGAAATAATACAACAGTTATAGCAACTCAGCAGCCCCACCTAGCTGATGATGATCAAATTGCAGTTAAGTTCCCGATCCTGACAGCAGAGTCCAGTAGGACCTGGCACTGCTTCATGGTCTCCTCTGGGTCATCCTCATACACCCTAGACAATAACAACATTGAACAGTTTAGGCAACTCAGCAGCTCCACCTATCTTATGATGATCAAACTGCAGTTCTTGAGGTAAATCTGGCAATGATACACAACTGTGCTACATGTATCTGAACTGATAATATATTTGGATTTCGTTATAGCACAAAAGCAGCTGATGTAAGTTGTTGCTTTGCTAGCAATTTTAAAATAAAGCATTCATTTTGGAACAGTCATCCTTAGCCCTACACAGTCTTTCAGCAACAGGAAAACATGTAGAAAATGCCAAACCGATAAACAGATAAATCCATAAAATGCCAATCCATTCTGTATCCAAAAATTCTAAATCGAATCCTTATCCATGTAGAAAATGACACAGTTTTCCACTCACTTCCTGGCCTGAAGGAATTTCTTGATGAGAGCGACCCTGTGTTTGATGTTGGCCACCTTCTCCTCCTGCTCGGAGGCATTCTTCATCCTGGCCTTGGTCATGCACTTGTACGCCTCGCTCAGAGCGCCCAGCGCCTTCTCGTAGTTCTGGTACTCGTCTATTTCAACCTGCCAACACGAGTAGGACACACAGTTAGGCAAAAGACTAATCTCCAAGTACAAATGTAGAAGAAACACAACATAGACTGGGACAGGGTTAAAGTACTGGATCAAAATTCCGATTAGTTTGCAAGGGGTGACCGGGAGGCAATCCAGATCCACTGACAACGCAGTACCTAAGACAAGGACAGGGGGCGTCACTACCTAAAACCTGTATATGACTGTCTCTTGTCATGTGATTATCCCATCAAGTCACGTGACAAGAGAACTCCAAGACGAGATCTGAATCGGGTTGATGAAGAGACAGAGTATGTCTCGAAAGCTCCCCAGCATAGCTGAACTTAAGTTGTGTGTATATGTATAAATTTTTTGTCAAAAACAAATGTAGATCTTTTAGTGGCCACAAAAGACAGTATCGAATTGGCCAGGCAGTATCCATTAGCCAGACAGTACTCATTGTTTTCAGTGGCTAATGGACACTCCTCATCAGCACCTAGAGTCTATATAGAGGTTAACTACAAAGGTAACAGCTGCAAGGTAGATGCAAAATGTTTACCTTCACATGGTCTAACCAAACAAACTGCATGTTGTACTGCTCTGTTTATTCTTAGATAAAACATGTTCATACATATGGTGACAGGCTCCTTCAACTCTGTCCTGCCACTTGCTACATAATGTAAACCCAAGACCACTGGGTGTCTAAGGTCCAGGGCAATGATCTCATTTGTTTGGAGAAGAAGAAGAAGAACAAGAAGAAACAGAGCAAAAACAATATGGTTGTTTACTTTCCATGAAGGTTGCAACAAAAGTGGTGTCCATGAGACAAAAATCAGCTGCTGCAACAATCACACATCAGAATCTCCCACCACAGTTCTTGAGCAGAGCTGCAATGTACACGCCTGTGAAGTGTGAACTAAGAAACAGCAGTGTGAGACTGTTTACCTGAGCACATGCGTCATAGAACCCTGCCAGTGAGTCCAGCGCCCGGCCCTTGGTGTAGAACCCGATGATGCTCTTCATGATCTCCGGGTCTTTCCGCCAGTCCAGCGACTGGAGGTAGTTAGCAGCCATCACGTAGATTTCCTTCTGTCTGGAGACGCCAGCGAAGAAAATGATCTTCTCTGTGTCGCCTGACTTTAGGAGAGCCCGCATGGCCTGGAAACAGGGAAAATATGTGTAAGTACCTTGGGTGAGATGGACTGGGGGTTCAGAAAACATGGCATTGCAGAGATACACAGGAACAGACACATACACCTATGCAGAGAGACATCACATACATATGTTATACACACACACACACACAACATGCACTCATGCACATGCACATACACACACATCAAAAACAAATACACATGCACTCACGCAGAGACACAACACATACATACACACACACACACACATGCACTCATGCAAACACACACACAAACACACAGTCACACACACACACATGAACTCATGCAAGGACACAACGCATGTACAAGCAACCAGAGACACACACTTATGTGATCAAACAAACAAACAAACAAACAAACAGACAGACAGACAGACAGACAAACAAACAAACAAACATCAGACCTTGATCTTGTTGCCCGCCTGTGTGTACTTCTTGGTGGCGAGGTGATACGACCCCTGCTTCATGCAGCAGTCTGCCAGCCTCTCCAGTAGTACACACACACACACACACACACACACACACACACACACACACACAGGCATACATGTACTAACACACACACACACACAGGCATACATGTACTAACACACACGCACACACACACAGGCATACATGTACTAACACACACACACACAGGCATACATGTACTAACACACACACACACACACACACACACACACACATGCTCACACAAACACACAAGCATGTACTGATACAGACACAGCTCACATACATACACATACAGGTTACAACTTATGTGATCAAACAAACAAACAAACAAACAAACAACATACCTTGATCTTGTTGCCCGCCTGTGTGTACTTCTTGGTGGCGAGGTGATACGACCCTTGTTTCATGCAGCAGTCTGCCAGCCTCTCCAGCAGCTGTGTCCGGTACTCCGCATCAAACTCCGTAGAGTCCTTCGGGATGGTCATCTTCTCGGCTAGAGGCTCTGTGATGGTCACGTTATGCTGCATGCACAGCTCCAGGGCATCAACGTACTGGGAATACAACAAGGCATGATGATCATCAATAAACTGAACATTATTTAGCTATATAGTCAATCAACTACAAGAGCTGGTGCTCTTATAAAAGCTTTGAATGCCATTTATTTATAATGGAGTCCTTACAATTTGTTAGCATTACAAAAAGATATCAACAGACTTTGGTAAAAATGTAACCTCCTAGGCAAGGCAAAAATGCAAAATTTTTGCAATGGTTTTACTTTCAAGTCTTTCACGGTAACCTCTCCACCACAAAGTAACCACACTGTGATTAGGGCTCCCTTGTTTGACGGCAGTACCAGCTAGAGACATGTAATTCTAAACATTCCGACAACCTCCTTTCCCTACTACCATAAAATAAAATCACAGCAAAAGCAGATTAAGTATATGTGACTACAGTATCGGAAACTTTCAATCTAGTAAGTGATCATCACCTACAAGCTGTTTTTTTCTTTTTAAATAAACCATTTGAAAAGCTTCTCGGCACACCTTTCTGGCAACCACCAACAGTTCCACAGCCTTGTCAAACTGCCCGTGCTCCATGAAGAAGTCGGCACACTTGTTCAGCAGGACAGGGTCTGTCTTCTCATCCAGGTCTTCTGCAATCAGCTGCAGCGCAGCAAACTGCTGGGTCCTGAAGGCCAGCTCCAGGGCCTTGGAGAAGTGACCTCCCTGGGAACCAAGGTAAGAATGTGTTATTGAATGTTACCTCCCCGTACAGACCCTACACGTACAGAGCCTATAACATAATCACATTCAACAAGTATTAAAATCTATTGTACTTCTTAAGACAACAAGAAATCAAATGTGATTTCACATCTACTGAACATTTTTTTGTGTGTTATTCACTGCAAATGTCTCTGTTAAAACCTATAGAATTTTTTGGTGAGTTTCTTGTTTCATTCATTGAAAATTTCTCTATTTGCAATTATTTATGTCTAAACATACACAACATTACATCTGACACAGATGGTCTTAAAATAATTGCCCAGTCTTCCAAGGGTATAACTGTAGTTACTAAATATGTTGCCATGTGTCACTGTCAAGAAACAGGAACCCTCACCTTGTGGTATAACATAACAGCCTTGTCCTCCATTCCTGATCTTTTCTCATAGTACCTGTCAACAACAAATACATCTGTGGTCAGTTTTTTTAGCTATACAAAAATATAGCCAGTAAATCATGACAGTCATGATACCTGTAACTTGAACTTGAAAAAAAATTTAGAGACTAGAGAAGTAACATTTGAAAAGGAAATGCATAAAGTTTAGCTTCGGACATGGTGTGCCCTGTTATTTTTACTCATTATTGACAAACACATTCACAAACATGTACTACTACTATATGGTGACAGGAGCAGAGCAGACCATGAAATGGCAACATTATGTAACCCAACACCAGTCACCATGGTGACAGACGTCAACAAATCATGTCATTGGCCAGGTCAGAAGTGTTTGGAACAGAAGACGAGGAAGAAACTGAGTAAAAACATTACTGTACCCACCTGGCGGCTTCTAACATGTCCTGAGGTGTACTCAGTAATGCAAGGTTCATCAGCTGGTCTTCATATCCATGCTCCTGGAAAGGACAACTATCTTAAGTTAGGACAAAAAGCAGTTACTCAAGCAACTGAATATGATTTTGGAAACGGTCAGACGTTTCAGCTAGTATCCACTAGCTTTCGTCAGTGACTGAGAGACCAGAGGAAAAATGCAGGTTTATAAGCACAAACTATTGAGTAATCTTAAGTTAGCTTCAACCATAAACAGTAAGGAAATGATTGCCCCAAACAATAAGTAATAAGGAAATGGATACCTAATGGCTACTTCAGTGCGATAAATGTTAATCAGACTGATTCATAGAAAAAAGTAATCATATAACAACAGCAAGAAATTCACATTATTTTGTTGCAACTTGTAAAAAACAACATTCTCCCCCTGAAACAGTGTATGGTACATTGGTGAAGGTTAGACATCCAGGTAATAAGATTCGCCAAAACATAGTTACTCAAGCAACTGGATATGATTTTGGAAACGGTCAGACGTTTCAGCTAGTATCCACTAGCTTTCATCAGTGACTGAGAGACCAGAGGAGAAATGCAGGTTTATAAGCACAACCTGTTGAGTAATCTTAAGTTAGCTTCAACCATAAACAATAAGGAAATGATTGCCCAAAACAATGAATAAGTAATAAGGAAATGGATGCCAAATGGCTAAATCAGTGTGATAAAAGTTAAACAGGCTGATTCACCGAAAAAACAATCACGCAACAACAGCAAAAAATTCAGATTATTTTGTTTCAACATTCTCCCCCAAACAGTATGTGGTACATCAGTGAAGGTTAGACATCCAGGTAATAAGATACGCCAAAACACAGTTACTTGAGCAACTGGATATGATTTTGAAAAGTCAGACGTTTCAGATACCATCCACTACCTTTCATCAGTGACACTGGAGAGTTGTCAGAAAAGCAGGTTTATATTAAAAATTAAGTACGAACTATTGATTGATATGCAAGTAAGTAAAGACAAATTTTTTGTTAGCTTCCAAACAAACAATTGGAACTGCAGTACCACCTTGCAGAGCTTGATGGCGCTGCCGTACGCCCCCGCCCGTGTGAAGAAGTGGATGGCATCCTTGATGCGGTCCTGGGTTTCACTCTGCCGGCCCAGGTGGTAACACGCTGCCCTGTCACCCGTCTCATTCGCTATCTCAGCTGCCTGGAGTCAGAAAATTCATTGGAAAATCTTCAAAATGTCAAATTCTACTCTGTATGGGGACTGACACACCCCACTCACATTCAAGAACCCAGCACACCTTCCAAACAAGAATAGGGACATGCCCAGGTGTTCAATTGTCAAAATACTACCACTGCAGGACTCAAAATTCATTTTTGGGAGTAGGTGCACACACCGGTGCACCAAACATAGAAAATTGGGTGCACACCAAAAATTTTGGGTGCACCATATATAAGATAAACTAGGTAGAATGTCAGTAAAAACTGATATCTAATTTCTAAAGAAAGGTACTAATAACAATGATCTTAATTTTCTGACACTTAGATGTTAAGAATATGCTGTATACATTTAACATCTTTACATAGCATTACATAGACCTACAAAAATATTTGAGTGGAAACCTGTCTCGTATTAGCTACACGGTGATTAACATCATCACCCCTATATACATGTATTATGCAAGCAGTAGCAAAGATACATCGCACAAGTATAGCTACTAGAAAAAGCATCATGCTTCACTTCTGTTGAGGATGACTGATGATGACATCTATACTGAAAGCTGATAAAATGCTCACCATATAACATTGCTTTGCAGTAGAGCAACTATTCTTTTGGATTGTGAAAGAACTTTAAAATTTGCTGGTTAATTCAATGGACATTCTTCAAAAAATTCTACACCACTTCTTTGAAGGATGACTGTAGAACAATGGTTGTTTAGGATTGTTAAAGAACTTTGAGGACGGTCCCCAGTGTTTACCTTGTCCATGTTGCCGCAGTAACAGTAGACTCTGACCAATGAGAGGTAGTCTCCAGCTGCCTCGTAGAACTGTAGCCCCGCCTCCATCTCCCCTGTACTCTCCATGTACTGAGCCCACCACTTACGCAATGCTCTGTGGAAAAAATCAAACACACAAGAAACCTTGTAAGGCCAAAGAAACATAAAACGCTACTGCAAGTCATTTTTATATTCTGAGAAAAATGGAGGTGTTCACAGAACTTTCTGTCCAATGTGGCGGCAGGTGCAATAAAAACAAAGTCAGTGATTTATTTTTTAATAGTTTGCGGTACAGATAGAAGTGACCGTAAAACCATGAATGTAAAAGTACCAGGAAAAAATCAAGAATTACAGTATTTGCCTGATTTCTCAGTCACAAAAGGAGTACTGAATGAAAATGTACAAGTTTGTTAAGCTTGAAAGGATCTATAACTTTACTGTAAGTAAACTTTAAATCATCTGACTCACTTGTCTTTAGTTTTCATGATGTAGGCCTCCAGCGACTGGGGGTCATCAAACAGCATTCGTGGCACCTCGAATCTGTGGGTGTCTGACTTTTCATAACTGTGAGAGGAGAGAGAAAGTGAATTAGTTTTACACTCAACATGCTGGGGTCATAAAGACAGTCTATGGGAATTCCTACTGAACTGTATCTGTCCTTGGTGCTGAAAAACTATTGTTTGACATACAGTACACAACTTAAGTGAACTGTATCTGTCCCTGGTGCTGAAAAAACTATTGTTTCACATAGACAGCTTCACTGAACTGTATCTGTCGCCATATCTATATTTCATACCATGTTTACACTGTACATATTCGTGGCGACCTTATATACCACATCCAACCACCCAGGACATACTAGAGTATGGTATACCTGAGTTGGATCATGACCTGTGACCTGACCTAACCTATGACCTGACCTATATGACCTGAGCTATGACCTACTTAGGTACTGCCCCCAGCACATCACCCTGTGACTCGAGGTGCTTGGCGAAGTGGTAGTAGGTGGTTCTAAGGTGAATCCTGACCTATGACCTGACCTAACTTATGACCTGACCTGACCTAACCTATGACCTACTTGGGTACTGCCCCCAGCACGTCGCCCTGTGACTCGAGGTGCTTGGCGAAGTGGTAGTAGGTGGTCCTGAGGTGGATCCTGTCGTGTGCCTCGGCAGTCTCCAGGGCCTTGCTCCACTGGTTGGTGGACTGATACAGCTCGTTCAGGAGGTCGTACCTCTGGCAGTGCTTCAGTAGTCTCTCTGCATCCTCCTGTAGAAATATTGAATGTATGAGCAGTTGGGATCATAAGATTCAGGGTTCTAATCCCTGCCTAAATGTTGGAGTTACAAGCCTTAAAATGCAAGACACTGTAGTGGGAGAGGTTGAAATATTTTAGGTGCACACTTCCATATCTGTAACTGTATAGTTAGTATAATTGCACTTCAGTGTAACACACCAGCTTTGCAGGCATGGCCTGAACAACCTGATACACCATATCATAACCTGGCACATATAAATGTTAACTTCGTTCAAAGCTATCTGGTGATGATGCACCAACTCTAGTTGGTGGAAGCAAGTTCCACTCTACGATAGTTTTAGGTAAAAATGAGTTTTTGAACACCTCCATCCTAGGTTGATAACTCTGGTACTTAATTATGCACGCAGTATTTCAACCCCTCATTAAGCATGGCTTACAGATTGAACATAAAGCTAAAATCGGCTTACATTGAGTCCCAGCTGTATAGCTAGCACGGCCACCTTGGCATCCAGCTCTGGTTCCTTGTCTGCCTCCCTGAGTGCCCTCGCCCCGCGCGCATGTCCCATGTTTCCCAGACAGACCCGAGCTACGTCCAGTCGGCGGGATTTCACGCACATCTTCGCCATGTTCTCCCACACTGACTCACTGGAAACAGAACGTGTGCATTAGGATTTTGTTAGCTTGTTTACCAGCTCCTGAGTCATATACCCTCTCCACAAAGAGGATGTAGGTTTTAGGAGCTATAATAGGTTTGGTAACCAGGCTAGGCCTTTGTATACCCAAAGCCTGTACCTGTAAAATATCTAGGTAAAGGTCTAGACCTAACATCTGGTGTACCTGTAATGAGTAAAATAAAATACAGTGGGTACCATTTTTTTCACTAAAGGTAAATTACATCCTAATTTTGACAACTTAGCACTTAAGTACAAGCCTGAACCCAATGTTACCTTTGTACCTAAAAATATGATAGTTACACAGCTCTAATGTGAATGATGACCAATTATAATGACTTCACAACAAGGCAAGAAAATGTTTCATAAGTTCAAATTCAGGCAAGAAAAAGTTTTAGAAGTCTAAATTTTTGTCTAGGGCTTTCAAAGACTATTGTAAACTGAACTTCAAACATGCTGGCATTTCAAACACGGTGTTGTTTACCTTTTGATAAGTTTAATAGCCTTGAAGGCTTCGTCCATGTTGCCTATCGTCAGGAAGTAGCTGAAGTTCATCATGGCGTCTCGTGAGTTCTTATCGCTCTCCTCCAGTCCGATAAAGTCCCGCATCGTTCGCTGGGCCACGTTCTCAGGAACCAACGACATGGTGCTGGCCTGGGCGTCCTGGGCTTTTGCAGACTCTCCTGCCTATAAACATAAAATTTCAATTTCAATTTATTTATTTAACCAGTAATTACAGCTCAGGCCATTATGGCCTGCCTTTCAGGTAATCCTGGATACACATAAAAATACACACAACAAATACACAGTACATAAACTATTACTAATTACAACATCCTAAACATCAACAGTGTCAAGTCCTGCACCTAATGCTGATGTATAAAAGTTCTGAGAAGTCCTGCTCCTAATGATCTGTTTAAAAGTCCTGAGACTAAGGAGCTGTTGTTGCTGTAGTGGAGTGTTCCACAGGTAAGGACCATAGTACTGTAGACTGCTCCGGTATGCCATGACTCTTACGTATACATATACATATACGTATATACTATTAGGTACTTAATCTGTTATAATTGTACATGCAGATAAAATCTAAAATATGATGGCTTTACCAATTTCTAGACATTCAATCTTTGCATTCATGCAGTTTTTGCTCTGTAGATATAAATACTTAAAGATCAAAAATTTTTTGGAATTAAGATTAAGAAATGTATCTACTCTTTAGAACACTTAGTGGTAAGTACAGTGGTAAGTACAAACTGTTATGTCTCATTCAAGAAAAAAATTACTGTAACAGCAACAAGACAAGTGTCATCCCTCAGAAAAGTGTACCTTTAAGTTGAGCTTAGTAGTCTGTGCATGTGTTCCATGGGTGCAAAGTAATAGAAGTAAACACAATACAGTGAAACATTGAAGACTTGACTTGACACAATCATTGTATACTCAAGTCAAAGTTTGTGCAAAAGCCTTTTAGTACCAACACCATGAGGAGGCAACACTATGACTAGCTATTTTGTTTTGTATTGCAGTACACATTTGAGACCTGGAGATGTTGAATGAATCAAATTTTTGCTTTGAATGAAACAAGCTAAACTACATGAAAGGTAGACTGTAGTTTTGTAACCGTTACCTTCTTAGTGAAGTAGAAGTAAGGAACTTGCAGGCCGATGAGCGTATCGTGTGCCGTGTCTGTAGCATACGCGTCCTGTAGGAGTATGCCGTGTTCCGGGGTACTGAACAACGATACCACCATCACATCCGGCTGGAACACAGAAAATCAGGACTTCTCAGATCAAGATTTAAATTTCATATCCAAAAAGAGCTTGCTATAGAAAAGAGAAAACCCATGATCTGCCTACTAGTACTAGTTGATAGGGCTCCATTCAGAATTTAGGTACTATAGCATGGATAACACTAAAAACTACTCAGAAACCATTGCCATTATTTCATTTACACTACTAAAATGTAGGTGGTACCAGTACCTGTATTCTGTAGTTAATACCCTTGCAGTAAATACACCCAGTACATGGGCTAGAACCAGGTACATATAGACATCAGACATACTACCACAGCTCCAATTTTACCTGCACGAACCTGCATGTGTACTTAGTCTAGTAGGTGGTATTTTAAGCCCTACTGGATGTTATTAATATAATAAATGTAAGAACATATCACACACCTGAACTTCAGCAACACTGAGTGAAGACATCTTGGAACCTTTCTTGTCCTCAGAAGGAGGCGGAAGGATGGCCTCGCAGGTGAGTAGTTTGGGCTCCAGCGGGTCCCAGTACTGAACCCTGGGGAACCTGCCTGCCACATCCTTAGCTGCCTCTGTTCTACCCCTGGTAACAACACAATATATTATACACTCAGATATGTAAACCTTTAGCACACAGAAGTACAGAGTATGCCCTTGGGCTCCATTGGGTCCCAGTACTGAACCCTGGGGAACCTGCCTGCCACATAGCATCCTTAGCTGCCTCTGTTCTACCCCTGGTAGTGGTAACAACACAATATATTATACATTCAGATATGTTAACATTTAGCACACAGAAGTACAGAGTATGCCATTGGGTCCCAGTACTGAACCCTGGGGAACCTGCCTGCCACATCTTTAGCTGCCTCTGTTCTTCCCCTTGTTATGATAAAACAAACACATGCTCAGGATATGTAAACAAATTTAGTAGTCGTTTGGCTACTGATTCTCTATTGGTTACAGGGTTAGGCAGCAGGGAGAAGAAAAGTATGAAGGCTACACTGATGACCGGATAAATCACTAGTCATAAACATCATAAGTATATCTCTATCTCTCTCTCGGCTTGGCTTCGTTGTCCGAAGATATCAGGGGCCTTTCTCCCTCCTGCTGCATGCCCTCTGGTGGCTAAGAGGGGTCCAAATATTAGACCTTGTGGCACACATAAAAAAACGTGCTGCATCACTGCTATATAGCTTAATCATCTTAATTATAACACAGCCAGGGCAAAGAAACATCAACTAGTTACTTTTTTATTACTTGCAAAATTTCTGTGAAATGCAATTACTCATTCAACCACAAAGCAGTACAAAGAAACATAAAGAAAAGTCTTGGATTTGTGTGTAATACTATATTTTCTGAAATCTGAGTAACCGTTACCTCTGTTCTTCTGACACCTCCTCCCCGGTGGCCTCCTGTGCTGATGTGAGCTCATCCAACTCCCCCATTCCTGAGGAGAAGTCAAAGTACTGAACACTGTCCAGTTCTACATCGTACAGCCACAGGCGAGAGTCCATCTGCCCCTGAGACTGAACACAACAGAAAATCACAAGAAAATTAGTCATTAGCATGAAAGTTCATCTGAGTTGGTAAATTACATTATGAAAAACTTCCCTCCTTATCATTCATTCCTCATCATTTCCAGATCTTTAGTGACTAATTTTCTTTATGAAAAACTTAAACTGTTCTCCAACTCAAAATTTGACCTACCAGAAATTTTCGACTGAATCGCTCAGTCTTCTTCAGCTACTGTCACAAGTGGGAAAAATCACGTGTCCACAGCATTTGGGTCAGATAGCTGAGGAAGACTGAGTGATTCAGTCGAAAATTTCTGGTGAGTCAAATTTTGAGTTGGAGAACAGTTTAAGTTTTTCATAAAGAAAATTCGTCACTAAAGATCTGGGAATGATAAGGAATGAAATTCAATGATAAGGAGGGAATTTCACAATGTATAGATAGTAACAGATCGATCAAGAGATGGGCTAAGGAATTCGAAGATTGAAAATTCTACAGAATAAGTATAGCAAACTACAATTGATATTATGATGATTACAACCAGACTGTGAATTGTGATTTTGCAAGTATGACAGTTGACAGACAAAACACGAAAAGGGGATACATCCCCCCCCCCGAAAAAAAGTACCACCATCATTTCCAGGCGAACCCTTCAGTGGATTCCCAAAATGTTCCACCAAAAATCTTTAATAAAAAATTTCTCATCAGGAACTTACCATCTTATTCACAAACATCAGTTTTTGCGGCTTTTTTTTCAACAAGGATGAAATTAAGATATTAGTACAGATGTACTTGTAATAGGCTATACGAGTTAAAATTCACAAAGCTACATTGAAGCTACACAGGGCTCGAAATACTGCACCCAAATTTGGAGCTGTGCACCCAATTTTTTCTGGTATTTTTGTAGGTATTTTTGTACATATCAAATAGTATACAGGATAGTCTCAGTATCTAAGTCTTGTTGTAGTAACTTGTTTAAGATTTTGAAGTTACATTGTAGCTCCCATTTCAGCTTTTCAGATTCAAGCGCAGAAGAGGAGCAGTAAGATCTGTAATTAGGTTTTGTTTTATATGGTGCACCCAAAAAATTTTTTGGGCACCAAATTTTTTAGGTTGGGTGCACCAGTGCACCTATTCCCAAAAATGAATTTCGAGCCCTGCTACACAAACAACATGACTACGAGACATTTGTCTGTAGACACTTTGTACACACAAAGAAACATTCAGTAGTATTACCTTTACCTTTTTGACAAGGACAGCAACTTTGCTGCCGCTACAGTTGCTCTTGACTGAGACAATCATGCCCAGTTCTGGTATCACTTCTCCTAGGTTCTTAGGGTTGCAGTGTTGCTTTGCTTCCCTGCAAAGAAATAAAGTTTAGTATAATGATAATATGACTAATGACTAAACAGAATAATGCATTTGTATTGAAATTTGAAACCTTCCAAATCTATAGTGTACTTCCAGGTACAGAAGTATTGTTTTGGGTGGCAGATCAGGTGTGGGTTTGTATACAAATGTATGTCTTCACACAGAAGGTTGGCAGCAGAAGGGTGCAAGATTGACAGGCAGAATTCCAGTTCAAAAGGTCAGACACAGGAAATGGGGTGAACTTGACGGTCACAAAATCTCTGATTTCATGCTGGTCATTTGTCAGCTTCTTTTCAAGAATAGAGGTCCTAAATAAGTAGCAAAGCAGATCTGTTTTATCACAGTTGTGGGGAGAAAACTTGTCTCCTCCAAAACACAGGGAAAATTAAAATTTAAATGAATAAACTAACCTCCTGGAGAGGTCCCACATCCTGAGAAAGTTAGTGCTGGTTCCTGCGACCAGGAAGTGTCCGCACACGTCCATGGCGATGGGCTCTCCCTCCGTCTCCGAGAAGGTCAGCAGCTGCTTCACCGTGCCCTGGAAGTTACGCACCTGGAGGCAAGATTGTAAATAATTTCATCAGGTTGGTAAGTCACTGAGTAAAGAGACTCTTTTTACACAACCAAGTCTTTTATTCAGTCAACGTTTTGGTGACCGTCTGTCACCTTCCTCAGGACCTCAGGACATTTGGGACCGCATTGTGGATACAGTTTTCTGTAACCACTCATATGTCCTTCTTATGTCCTATATGTAAATACTGTATGTTTCGGAATGCATCTCTACTATAGCAGTGACACCTGTGCTGCAACTTGCAATGTGAACCCGTCAGAATTGCCCAGAGGAAGGTGACAGACAGTGTCGCTTTTGTAGTGATTCAGATATGAACTTTCCAACGTACAAGTGTGCTGATATCTGAGTAGGATATGAAAGGAGCATATTATTTGATTTTGAAGATATCTGGTTTTGAGTGGAGCAATGTAACATTAGTATACCTGCAGCGTGCAAAATACCTGGTTGCCCCATTGCCCCGGGCAACCAAATTTTACTTGGGGCAACCTATTTCTGAACCTAGGCAGCTCAGTGTGCTACCTGAATTTTAAGAATGCTTTGCCCCCAAATCATGCCCACTTGGCTTGCACCACTGTATCCGGGAAATGCTTTTTAATTTTAGGTATTAATGGCTATAACTAGTATCAGTTAACTAAAGGCTGTTAGAAATATTGTCAAAGGCTTATGTATGTAACATTACTTAATTTGAGGAAAGTAGTAACATATAGATGGGGCAACCTAAAATTCTGATGGGCAACCTAATTTTTTGCTGTAGGCTGCCCACTGGGCAACCTGGTTCAAAAAAGTATTTTGTACACTGACCTGTATCTTGCCGGGCTCGATGGTGTACAGGTTCTGCTCGTGCATGCACACCAGTGCTGAGTCCGTCTGGAACGTGCCTGTCATGCGGATCACTCCGCCCTTGTCTGAGGGGACGTCGTACACCACCAGCTTTTTCCCGTTCCACACTGCTAGGTTATTCTGAAAACACAAGTTACAATCAATATTTACTATACACAGCATGTAGGGAACACAATGTGCACCTGCCACCACAGTAGCATTGGCTCAGCTTTTAATCTAGCTGCAATTTGAAAGTAAGCTGCTAGAACTTAGGCTTTCCCCTGGCTTTGACTTTTTTTGAGAGAACAAAGCAAGGTTCTAGACCAATATCAAGTAAATGTAGTCAAACAGCATGGTGAGAGCACAGATGACTATCAATTTTGCTCAGCTTTTAATCTGCTATTTGAAATACAGTACATTTGTAAGCTGCATGCAAGAGGGTTTCCCCTAACTTAAATCAGTTTACTCAGAAAACAAGACCTACCTATTGTCAAAAATCAGTAAAATCTATGTGCAAATTTTTAAAAAACTATCGACAAAGCCACAAATTAAAGAAACTACAATAGACTATGTATACATGTAGGTCTCCTACCATCATAAGGCAAGCAATGGATAAGACCTGAAGGTGTACCTGTGTGACATACACCCCTTTGACTCAATCAGAAACTATTGACAAAGCTACACGTATACCATACGTATACTATAGACTACCTACATGTAGTACTCCCAGCTTGAAAAGGCAAGCAATGATTTAAGGTTGGAATCCGTTGCCACCAAGCACAGTTGGGGCATCATCACTAGAAAGCTTTAAACAACTCCTGCAATTACATGTGCAAAGAATGAGTGTAACAAGTCGTTCGGTGTGATATAGCTAGCATGTCTAGCAAAGCTGGTGTGTTACGCCGAAGAGCAGTTATAACTTATACCGACTATACAGATACAGAAGGTCTCCTACCTGTGTGACATACACCCCTTTGACTTGTATCTCCGTCTTGAGGTCATAGTGAGCCTTGGTGTTGAAGTTGTCTATGGACAGCTGGGTAGATGATACCTGTACTGCTGTCACGCCGTCTCGGAAGTGTGCGTTCATCGACTGTTCACTCAGGATGATCACAGTAGCCATGATGTTCACAGCCAGCAGGTTTAGGGAGGAGCCCCACTGTAAGGTATGAGAAAAGCCATTTTCAATGGATGATGTTTTTGAAATTCTAAAATGTTGACAATCATCTTTATGGTTCTTAACTAGCGGTGTGGAAGTTTGTTAAACAGTAGCAGTATAGTATACTGTGCCAGCACAACACCCGAAATGTATTGTGCATAACACTTTGGCAGAACAGCTTGTTTTAAGGTCATATTCATGTATTTAAAGATGAAATCCTGTCTATACTTTTCAAATAAATTAAGTCTGCAAAAACATATCCTCTGCAACAGGTAAGACCTAATGCAATTCTGATGTTAACATTGACTAAAAATCTAACAAAAACTGTTAAAAATCCAGGTTTCATGCAGGTGCATATTTATATGTTCCGACATGCTTTTAAAAGTAGTAGCGTACCTGTAAGTTATTTATTCAGAAGCAGTACGACAAGCCATTGAAAAATACTGCTAAATCTTTATAACTGCCGTCCAAACCTTTATTTGAGTGATGTTTCCCTCCAACACTGTTGGTGAAAGAAACTTCCACTTTGTGTCTCCGTCTTGCTTCTTTCCAGCCAGCCCCGGTGCTGGGGCGTACCTCCACATCACCACCTTACCTTCACTGGTCCCGCCAGCGAGGACACCTAGTGGACATCAACAGAAACGCAGCATATTTGATTTGTGCTTGGAGTTCACACATGAACTTTGGATCAAAACACATTGCTTTTCAGAAAGGTGAAAAGTAAAAATTACTTGAACAACAACAAAACCAATTTCCGGTAATACAGTTTTGGAGATGTCAACATTAAGTTCTCAAATATAATAAATGTATGACCTAAGCCAAGACCTTATCCCTTCTTTAGGTTTGTTTGTTTGTTTGTTTAGGATCATTAGTGTGCCAATTTAGAATACTAGTAGTATTCTTATTGGAGTCCTGGTGATGATGTAAATGGATAACATGAGACAGGGTTTCACCATGCCTCCATCCGGGTGACCTGAAGTGAATCACCAACTTCCAGGTTTGAATTTTAGAAACTTTACCTTTTTTTGAGCAGAAGGACAGACAGTTGATGGCCTCCCCGGATGTGAAGGAGACAGTGTTGTCTAGAGGCAGGGGCAGGGCGTAGTTGTCATCTTTCTCCAGATCCCACATTCTGCAGAATCAAAATATACATCAGTATTGTAAAATCAACGATCTAGCTATAGGTGTATAAAAATGCATTTCTGCACTTTCTAGCTCTCCAACTTGTAACATAAGTAACATTTCATCTATTGACAACAAAATTATGATTGGAAAAGGTGGGATCCAACCTGTTGGAACCAAGATTGCCTCAAGCAAAATTTGGTTGCCCCATAACTTGCATAAGGCAACTTTGGAATAACCATTCAATAGATAACTAATGTTGACTCCAAGCTGATGGGAGGTCTTCAATGGTCTGACATGTTGGAGCCTTGGTTGCCTCAAGCAAAATTTGGTTGCACACTGTGAGTAACACAACCTTTGAATAATCGTTTGAAAGACTAAATGTTGACTCCAACCTGATGAGAGGTTCCCCAGTAGCTGTTGCCATCAGCCCCCGTCCAGCCCAGATGATGTCCAACTGTCCTGTTCTTCCACTCAGCTTCACCTGGCAAGAAAAATATCAGAACCATGTGTCAACAAGAAATCAGAGATTTCAGACTTCTGGGAAGTATTTTGAGTCTAGTGACCTTCAAGTTCACCCCATTTTCTGTGTCTGATCTTATGGCAAGGAAAAATTCAGCAACAAGGAGTCAGATAATTCAGACTTCTGAGAAGTATTTTGTGTTTTTGGTGACCTTCAAGTTCATCCTATTTCCTGTGTCTGTTCTTTTCTCATCCTGTCATACTGCCTGTCAATCTTTCCCCCACCCATGTGCTGTCAACCTGCTCTGTCTGGACATACAGACTAACTTGGATAAAAATGGTAAGACTTTGTTGGTTAAAGGGCTAGGCAATAGGTTAAATACTGTAGATAATGACTTTCAAAAGTTTAGAAGTATTGTGTTTCCAACCCTGAAATGCATCAAATTTTCTGTTTGTTTAATATAATATTTGTTTGTATGTTTACCTTGGTTACTTCCTGAAAGCTGCCCTCAGATGACACATTGTGTTGGGTTAGAACCAGACCAGACGTCACCGTGACTAGAATGTTCTTCTCTTCATAAAACAGCAGCTTCTCTATGGGTCCGTCCGCTGTGAAGGCCTTCAAACTCTTACCCTTGTCATCTAGATAGTACACATCTCCTGGAAATAACAGAAAAAATGCTTGCATTAAAAATCAATTAAGGAAAAGCAAATGTAATGTAAATTTCCTTTTGTATTAAAAACTTGCCAATTGTCAAAACAGTTGTTTTAAGACTGCATTGTACTGAATCTATCAACAGCATCAATATACACACAAACTTTATTAATTTTGCATGTTCGATTTACACTGAATATAGAGTATCAAATCAATGCATGTGATATCTATCTATGACTAGAAAGCTTTAATTTAGTATTTGTGCACCAAGATAATGGTAAACTGTAGTCGCTTTTCTGCATTAAAAAAATTTCCATATACTGAATGTCACTATGGTTAATCATAAGATAAGATATGATTTACTTACCGTCTATCCCTCCCAGAAAGAAAGCCAGGCCCTCCGAGGGTCCCATGGTGATTTTGGAGCCGAGAGATTTCTTCCATGAGAACATGTCCAGGGCCTTCTCATCACCACTGACTGCTGCCCGCGCAAGGCCACTGATGTCACTAAACAACAACACATAGGACAGAAAATTCAACATCACTGCACAACAAGAACATGGGAGAAATCCTTTATTTTGAAGAACTTTGATTTATTTTTTATCTATATTACTTTCTTTTATTGGATCTATTTTGAATTCAAGCATGTAGGTCCAGATAAAGATTTCCCTACCACAGTAAGGGAATGAAAACTGTAAAGGAAACATGGTATGGGCACATGTCACAGTCATCGGTACTAGCCAAAACTATCAATATATGCAAGGAAAATTTCAGGCCTGGGGAGGAAGAAAGTGGGGTAAGTAATCGAAAAGATGGGAGTACATCATCAGAGAATGGACAGGCAGGACACTAAGTGAAATAAAGAACAGAAAACCAAGAAGGGTGGAGAAAACTGCTTGTCAGATCATCTGTGGTGCCCCAATGGATAAGATGAGAGAAAAGTATTATTGTCATAGTCTCATATTCTGAAATTATTGGAGGACTTAGTTTAGGCACACTGATACAGATGGCCTAAGGCTTACTTTTCTGGGTCCACTGCTGTCCCTGGTCTCACCAGGCACACTGACACGGACTGTTCCATCTGGTGTTTACAGAAGGGGGAGGCCTGGGCTCTGCCTTTCCCATCCATCTTCCACACTGTGATGAGTCCATTCTGCAAAGAACAGATATAACATTTCACTTTACAATCCTACCAGTGCAAGTAGGTTTAAAGGACTATTATTGGTACTACCACTAGAAATATCCAGTACTATTTTTCTCAAGTGCACACGTGAGCCCTAACAGGAGTTTTAACCACAAATACCAAAAACTCTTGACTTGCATGTTGTCACGGAATTTTAAGTGCCACGAACTTAAAGAAATATTATCACCCAAAAGTAATGCTTGATACAATGGTTATGTGGAGGGAAATCTTTTAGCTTTGTCCCGGCTGTTACATGCCTATAGATGATGGTGATGATGACCTTCTGCCTTTTTTTTCATTTCCGTAACACTAGCACCCCTTTCATAGTTGTTTATGCAGAATCTTGCAGCTGCAGCTTGACTCTATATAGCCTTTCCAATTTATCTTTGTCTTTCTTTGTATATGGATCCCATACTGTCGCGGCATATTCTAGGTTCGGTCTTACAAGTAACGTTTTGAAATATATGTATATTGACTTGACTGTCAAACTCAAACCTTTGACTAATGCAGAGTAATGTTTTATGATTACCGGTATATAGAGTTTAACAATGTGTAATAATGTGCAACAATGTTTTAACAATGATACTTTGTGTGACTTCAGAGCAATTCAGGCATCCAGTATGGTTGCCTGCGAGTCTGTCGTCAAAGCATTTTGTTTGAGTTTTAAAATTGAAATAAACCATTCTACTACTACTACTACTACTACAAGCGAGGTGTAACTTCGTAAGCAAGTGATTCTGTGATACCTTGTCCCCAGACAGCAGCCTTGTCCCGTTGGTGCTCCACTCCAGGATGGCCACCCCCGCGTCGTGAATGGACTTGGCCTCGTGCAGCTCCTTGTCCTGGTCGTTCCACATGAGGACGTCTCCGTTCTCCCAGCCCATGGCCAGGACGCGGTAGTTCGGGTGCCAGCTCATGCATGTTACCTGGGACGAGCGCTGGATACATCCATCTGGAACTGGCTCTCCCTGAAAAAGGAAAAATAATCCTGTCATACCACTTAAATCAAATTACAACTTGTATATTCTCCCAGCCCATGGCCAGGACACGGTAGTTCGGGTGCCAGCTCATGCATGTTACCTGGGAGGAGCGCTGGATACATCCGTCTGGAACGGGCTCTCCCTGACAAATTGGAAAAAATTGAGCAATTTTAGAGATGTCATACTTGTGAGAGGTATTTTTGGTTTTCTTTATTTTTATTCTCCCAGCCCATGGCCAGGATACGGTAGTTCGGGTGCCAGCTCATGCACGTCACCTGGGAGGAGCGCTGGATACATCCGTCTGGGACTGGCTCTCCCTGATGAAATGGAAAAGAATTAGCAACTTTAGAGACTTCAGACTCCAGTTTTCATTTTTATTCTCCCAGCCCATGGCCAGGACACGGTAGTTCGGGTGCCAGCTCATGCAGGTCACCTGGGACGAGCGCTGGATACAACCGTCTGGAACTGGCTCTCCCTGATGAAATAGAAAAAAAAATTAGCAACTTTAGAGATTCCAGACTTGCGAGAGGTATTTTTTGTTTTCTTTATTTTTATTCTCCCAGCCCATGGCCAGGATACGGTAGTTCGGGTGCCAGCTCATGCATGTTACCTGGGACGAACGCTGGATACATCCGTCTGGAACTGGCTCTCCCTGATGAAATCAAAAATAATCCTGTCATACCACTGTAATCACAGATTACAACTTGTATATTCTCCCAGCCCATGGCCAGGACACAGTAGTTCGGGTGCCAGGTCATGCATGTCACCTGGGACGAGCGCTGGATACAACCATCTGGGACTGGCTCTCCCTGATGACAAAATGGAAAAAAATTAGCAACTTTAGAGACTTCAGACTCCAGTTTTTATTTTTATTCTCCCAGCCCATGGCCAGGACATGGTAGTTCGGGTGCCAGCTCATACACGTCACCTGGGACGAGCGCTGGATACAACCATCTGGGACTGGCTCTCCCTGACAAAAAGGGAAAAATAATCCTGTCATAGACTACTAGACAAGTGTAACCAAGTTATGTACAACTTGTACACTCTCCCAGCCCATGGCCAGGACGCGGTAGTTCGGGTGCCAGGACATGCACGTCACCTGGGAGGAACGCTGGATACAACCGTCGGGAACTGGCTCTCCCTGATGAAATGGAAAAAATTAGCAATTTTAGAGATTCCAGACTTTCAAAAACTATTTTGTTGGTTTCTTTTTTAATCGGGTGTTGCACTCACAATTCACATGCTTTCAGTCAAAATATCCAGTCTCAGTATAACAGTGCCAGTCTGTTATTTCTTTAGAAAATATACAATTGACTTACATCGTCCATGAAGAGATTGACAGAGCCGCCGCCCACACTCGTACTTGCGGCCACAGCCAGCACGGTGTGAGTCCTGTGCCAGGCCAGGTTAGAACACGGCCCCATGCCGTCTGGACCCTGGATCTTACTGTCAAAGTACAGAGCCATCCTGGGGGGAAGACATAAAAAGGTTGGCTAGTATTTTTGGTTTCTTTGTGCACATAACCGGTAAACCTCAAGACATTAAATTAAGGCATAACACATTAATTTTGCTGGTAGCCATCGTGATACAAAAATATGCCATCCATGGTTAAAGATGTTTTTTTACTAGACTGATAGAGTAGAGTAGAGTAGATAGAGTAGATGTCTTCGGCCACATAGGAGCTTAGGTTCCAATAGGTTTGAACTCTTAAAAGTACTCACACCAGGAAGGACCTCTGCTCTTATCAATATTTTCATATCACTAACCGTTAGATATCATTCATTCTCCATATTTCATTGAACTTATATTTTATTTTTAAAAGAAATCACAAGCAACATATTGATTTATCTTTGATTTATCTATTACTCTTACAGAGTTACTTACTTTCCGTTATAAAATCAATTAATTGTCAAAATTTCAGTGACTGATATGTATAATTTTTGTCTGTCAGTTCTCAAATATGATAAAAATTATATTCGTAGCATGCCCCCCCCCATATACTACATTTTTCTTATCCTGTACCTACAAAGAAAATCGTAGACAGCTCACCTTTCAGTATGTTCCTCCAAGAAACTGAAGAGAATTTATTCCCAGCTCTTGTGGGAGTGAGGCAATAAGAAAGTCCTTAAACTTCGTAGAAGACTGGACTCTTGTTTGATCACTAGTCCTGTTGCCAAACGACAACCAACTTCAACTCTCACTCGCGATCGCAAAATATCTTGATTTACCTCCTTACTAGTGAAGCTCTAGTAGGCTACAAAGAACAAGTGGTCACAAAGAGCGTGCTGTATCAGTCTTGAAAGAAAAGTCAGCCGTATTTCGCAGGTTAGGTGTGGTTCACATCGCTGCCAAAGCAACTACTCTACTCTACACAACAAGTGAAACTCCACCATTTTGAAACTGCCCGAAATATGTGAAAGTTCCCGGATGTTGGCATAAATTAACTTTCGGCTAACCTCGGCAATCTCCGGCAAAGTGCCGAGAACGTACCAAAATCAGACATTTCTTCCTAAATAATCAAAGAAACAGATGATTTTACATTTTCCATAACTCATATATGATAAAAATCGATGTTTTTTGCCCCGAATTTTGATCTTATAAAACTTTCGTGACAAGACTGTAAAATTTCGTCATCTCGCAGAGCATGCTGGGACAGTCTAAAATTTCAAGATGGCGGAAGGCGGTGATTTTGACGTCTGCTTGCAGACTTACGAGTACATTTACCGGCGGGACTTGCTCAAGTAAGTGTTTTTACGCAGTGACAGTGTGTGCGAACAAATGCTACACAGTTTTACCTTCGTTTTAAGCTATTTTTAGGCCGTAATCTTCAACTGGAAGGAATTTACAGGGTTTGCAAGCAGTGACTGATCGGTCAATGACCCTTGGATCATCGATCACCAATGAACTTTCACAACTCAGAGAGAAATCCAGCAATACTTTGATGAACGAAATGTATGGTTTGATGCGAATGTTTCAATGCTTGCATTTCTGTCTATAGAATTCTTCCACGATTACGTTAATTCCGAAACTGGGTAAAAGTAGCAAGTTAAATAGGTCAGTGACCGTCAGTCCATCGACATCTGGTCAGAGTCCACTTGTGTAGCCTGGAATCCATTCGTGAACGCTTTATCTCCGCTCCGTATGTGCCTTCAGAGCGGAGGATGGATTCCAGGCTACCACTTGTGCAAGTCGTTACGAATTTTGAGAGTATGACACGTGTGTGTTTAATAAGTGTAGCAATTCAATGTGGCACCAAATATATATATGGTATATAACATCCCCAAGTGTAACCCATACTTAAAATTTTCATATCCCTTCTTCAAGTTTGAATCCATAGTGGGAATTTTGGCTGTGAATATAAAACATGTCTCATCACACACAGGGGCAAGGTGGCCTTCATCACAGGTGGAGGTTCTGGTATCGGCTTCAGAATAGCAGAAATCTTCATGAGGTAAGTCGCTCGGATTTTTCTTCATCTGTCAATTATGATACAAGTATGCATATATGATTTACGTAGTCCACTATGTATGTAAAGGAGGGCTGCAAAAATATTCAGTATTTTTTTTTTTAATTTTTTAATTTTTTTTATATTCGTTTATCAAAGAGATGTACATACAGCGAAAAACAGTGTGGCAAGCCCCCCTTAATACGAATATACTAATACACAGATTACATATTTGTGATGTGACATTTTACGAAGAATTTTTGTCTCGAAAATCATGAAAATAATGCATTACAGAAATAAGGTTTCTTATTCAATGCTGTAGATCTTATAGATGTCATATTTTGCAGAAAGTAAACAGTGGTTCAGGTATCTATTTTTTTCCAGCTTTTCAATTATACCATACAATATAACAATTTTTGTTATTCAGTATAACAGGTTAGTAGTTCTAGTAATAATGTACTTGTTTCTTTTACAGGCACCAGTGCTCTGTAGTCATCGCCAGCCGTAACCTAGAAAAAGTCAAAGCCGTGAGTATATTGCTTTGAATTAATTCCATTTAACTATATTGTAACATGAAATCTCTTATACTAGTATGGTTAATTTTGTCCTATAGGAACTGTATATGACATACTAGTAGCCTGGGTACCATCCGGATTTTTGCTCCACAACGCTCGAAAAAATTTTATTCATGTATTCTGTACATGACATGCAAATACTGACTTTGTTCTTTGTTATGTATAAAGGCCGCTGCAAAGTTGGAGAAGGCCACTGGAGGAAAATGTCTCGCTCTGCCCATGGATGTCAGGAAGGTGAGAAAAGATATAATATTATACCTTTCATAAGTTCTTTACATGTTTAGGGTAAATGCTGAATATCCTGAGTGTTTGCTCTATTGATGAAACTGTGTTTTAAGCTTTATTTTTACCTGTTGCTTGTTCCCTTCACACATTTAGGCCGACCAGATCCTTGCAGCTGTGGATGCTGCTTTGTCTCACTTCAACAGGATTGACATTCTAGTCAACAGTGAGTTTAAACTTTACACAGTTATCATTAAAAAATGGTGTAGAATCACATGTGTAATGGCTGTTGTTAATTATATACAGCATGTCTGAAAATATTATACAATATGAAATGTGATATGACCTCCTTGTGATAAATTTAGTTATTTTTCAATAGTACTACTACTAGTACATTCATGTACACAACTCTACCTCTCATACTAATGAACAGTCACAAATGACCTACTTATAACCATACTACCTAGATGTACATGTATGCTCTCCCTGCAATGCAACTATATGGCAGTTATATGGGGGCTATATGGAGGTGTAGCCGGGGCTCATATAACATCTCAGAGCCCCGGCAAAGATGAAGATGAATATCTTCTGTTAGAATACCTGAAATGTGTTAGTAGTAGTCTAAAAAGTTCTTGAGAAAGACGTATATTGTGTGTTGTACATTACAGATGCTGCCGGTAACTTCCTCTGTCCTGCTGGTAAGTTGTCCTTCAATGCCTTTAAGACTGTGATGGAGATCGACGCTCACGGTTCCTTCAACTGCAGCAAGGCAGTCTTCGACAAGTACATGAAGGTAAGATGTGTTACACCCTTCAATGTGCACATAGATATGAATCATGAGATTCAAACTTCTTGTCAGCATGTTTTTTTTCTTTAAATGTCTGCACCAACTTTGTATTGCATGACTAAAGTGAAGGTAAGATAATTGTTCAGGCCCTCAGGACTTCAAACTTCTTGGCAGAATATTTTTCTTAGTTAATATCTGCACCAAGTTTGTTTTAAGTGACTACATTGCAAGTCAGGGATTCCCAGAGTCTGCACACATTAAACTTATAAGAAACAATGTTTTAAAATTAAGGAGCATTTGAGGGCAGATTGAAATACTTAATTAGATGCTTCAGACTAAAAATCTCACGTGACTCACTTCAAAAGCAGGCCCTCTGTGGGTAGAAGTTGCGAGTACAGGTTGCTTTTCTTACAGTGGTAATTATTTAACTTCAAAACATTTTGATATGAATGATTATTCAATCTTAACTTAAGTAAAGAGAAATGTAAGAGCACCGCACAAATCAAGAGGTTCTGGCAAGAGGTGCAAAGGCTCCCAACAGCTCCCAATATTATAATTGTATGCTACCTCTGACCTCCCAAAAGCGTTCTGGTAATGTCGTGTTGATTTGTAGTTGTAATTGTTCATTACTCTGTAGTTTTATGCTAGTTGTAGTCTAATGGATGCAAGTGTTATGTCATGTGCCTTAATTTGTATTCCATTTGTGTACCCTGTGTTTTATGAATCCAGGAAGAATAGATTAGATTTGTTATCTAATCTAATGGATATCTAATAAAACATCCAACATCAAACAGCTCCGATGAACGGTAAACCAGGTGCAGATGTTGGAAGGACCTACAAGTGTGTTGACATAACCCTTGTCTTTGCCCACAGGACCACGGAGGCAGTATAGTCAACATTACTGCTACCCTGCACCATAGAGGGGTGGCCCTGCAGACACACGCTGGATCAGCTAAGGCAGCCATTGGTGAGTAACAAATACCTTTAGAAATTAGAGAGTCAAAATTCCTGATGCATGCCCTATTCCATGTACTATGATGTGAAAACTACATATGGAAAAATCAGTTGTAGAACAAGTAAGATTAAGTATTTTACAGTATAGTACTAGTACAGTATTTACATTCAACATGCCAAGTTGACCATTTGGCCCCAAATTTGTATAACTGTTTATTGCGCTTTGCAGCTGGAGACAGGTTATAATATATTTCAAGTTATTTGTCTTCACTTTGTTTGCATATCAATCAATAGTTAGTGCTTATAAACCTGCATTTCTCCTCTGGTCTCTCAGTCACTGACGAAAGCTAGTGGATACTAGCTGAAACGTCTGACCGTTTCGAAAATCATATCCAGTTGCTTGAGTAATTGCTTTTTGGCATACAGGTTATAATAACTTTATTTTTTTTCTGTATCTGTCCAGATGCCATGACTCGTCACCTGGCCGTGGAGTGGGGCCAGTACGGGATCAGGATCAACTGTGTGGCTCCTGGACCCATCGACGACACCGAGGGCATGAGGAGGCTGGGTACAGGCTACGTTTGTTTGGTTGTACACAGCTCCTATAACCAAGTTGGCAGAATTTACTGTGCATGCATGAAAACACAGTTTCTGTTAGATTTTTAGTCAATGTTGCATCAGACTGTCATCCGTTGCATACAATTATTTTCCAACACAACACAACACAACATTCATCCTTAAATATGCATGTTTCTTGTTATGTACTCCTCCTTTCCCCTTCAACATGTTTCTTTTCTGTAGCCTGGATGCCAGCCTTTTTAGCTTTGGTATGATTTCTTTGTTGCTTCCCTACACAAAATGCCAATATTTCCAGGCTCAGTCTTTTTGGCAAGGAAGTGTCAAAGAGAACAAATCAAAGCTAGAAAGGCTGACATCCATGCTAGCTTTTTCCTTGAACTAAAACACAATTTGGTGCATCTGTGTTGTTTTCTATTCCGATGTCCACAGGTGGTGCAAAACTCAAGAAGATGACGGGCAGCTATGAGCGCTTGATACGGGAGATCCCTGTGGGCCGCATCGGGACCAAAGAAGACATCGCTAATGGTTGCCTGTACCTCGTGAGTCCTGCGGGGTCCTTCGTTACTGGCACTAACCTGATCGTGGACGGCGGCAACTGGCTCACACAGAATATCACAGCTATGCTGGGCAAGCTGTAGAATTACAACAGCATCCATACATTGTCTCTGCCCAATGTTGGAAAACCCGTTATAGTTATTCTTTTCCCAGAAAAGTATGATCTGCAATATAATACAGTACTGTAATTGTCTAAACTGTAAAAATGACAACATTTGAGTTCCTTTAATTTTGTGTGTAGTAGAAAATATTATTCCAGAGGTAGAAGTATATAGAGCGCTCAGAAGCTTCTAAGTCTACCAAAATGCAGTTTGGTACATGTATTTAGTAACCACTGAATCGTATTGTGGTCAATTCTATAATTATCAAGTGTCTGGTATCAAGATTGGACCAACGCTGGACACAGGCAATGGCTAGGCAGAGAATAGGCATTGAAGAATGATATTGCTTATTAGTCTCAGTGTGTTAATTAAACATTAAAAATACTTAAGACAGCCTCTGGGTAGTAGCTACCAGTAATACTAGTTTAATTCATTGCATGAGTATGTCTGGTAATTTCTCACAATGACATCAGAGCAAGAAAGTTTTATCCTAACAATAGTTAAGAAGAAGCATATTTTCAATATTTGAATGATTTTATGAATATATCAATGCATGTTAAGTCAAGGATGATAATTTGTATCAAATTAATCAAACTATATATTTTATAAATAATGTGTCAATCAAAATAAATTGAGGTTCGAAAAAGATCATCACTTTTCTGAGTGAGGTCGCAATTTGTCCAATGTATTTATGTCAATAAAAAGCTAGGCTAACTGAAATCAACTGACAAAGACTTGAACCTTTAGAGAATGTTAACTATATCCACGGTTGCGACACCCTACACTCCATGCCATTGTGCATATGTATTAACTTTTAGCAATTAAGCCACAAAGGCGACAAAACATAAACAAATGTTAAGTAGATTTTGTAGAACAATCGGTTCCATGCAGAATGTGGTACTACAGTTACAAATGACGTCATTAGAATTGCACTGCGCCTGCGCGAATCCCGTTTTTTTCACGACTGTCCTTTATAGTGATGTTTGGTCAACGTTTCATCAGAATTTTGCCCCTTACAGAAGATGTCTTTTCCAACACAACATTTAAAACTCAAGACGGGATGGCGTCCTTTTAAAAACTACGACAAGAGCAACCTTAAAAGAGACGTTCTGTCGAAATGCTATAGACAATACATTACGGGTTTCGTGCAAGCGCAGTGCATTCGGACGACGTGTTTAGCCATGGTCTACACAGTCCATTTCGTTAACCCAAATTCTAGAAATTCAACAATCAAAGGTCCACAAAAGCCCAAATGATACGGAGATCTAACTCATTTGCGCCTTCAGATAAACATCAATACGTTGCCAGGTTATGGCTAAAGCAATTACACGTCGGACTTAAGCCAAAGGTGCCTCAGGGTGTCTGGTTGCTGCTGAACTGTTGAGACAGCTTTGTGGGAGCAAACTGTTTTTGTCCGGTGAAGTACTAGTCAGACACTCAAGACTGGTGCAGACTCAGCAGAGGGAGTGAAGTGTTGGTGGCTGACTTCAGACTTCATGCAGTAGGGACGTCTTTACTCAAGTAGTAGGGCCTGTTGGTTGTATAATCGCAAACTGGGGTCATTCTTGGTACGGTTGTGTACATGTATATGTGTCCTTTACAATTTTAGCTGTCTCTTTGCGGGAAAGTCTGTTTTACGTCCTTGTCGGTGGTTGGTTCTGTCACAGCTTGCTTGAATATTCTCCACGGCATCAAAACCGTGGACAAAACAAAAGACCAGATTCAGAGTGAAGGGCTTACCTATAGGAAGCAGAGACTATAATTTATTAATTGCCCCTGATAGAGCTGGCTGGAGGAACCTGACGGAGGGGAGCAAGGGGCCAGTACCTGGCCTGTGCATATAGGCAGGTACGCATCAAAACCGTACGACGACCTACATGTGCGACGAATGTGACCGCGCCTTTAAGTACTTACCACAAGCTTAAGAAGTCAAGTCAAGATGGACGAGAAGACTGGGAGTATACTCGGGACCCTTCGGGACTACGGAGAGAACACCTCGGCGCACGGCATCCCTCGGGCCGTCACCACCACCTCGGTCCCCCGCCGGCTGTTCTGGACCTGCCTGTTCCTCGCCTCCTTCAGCTACTTCTGTAGCCAGGCCTACGACCTGGTGAACAAGTACATAGACTACCCCGTCACCACGGATATAAAGATCCAGTGGTCCGAGCTGGAGTTTCCGGCTGTAACCGTCTGTAACGCCAACCCGCTTCGGTTCTCCATGCTTCAGAGGCTCGGAGACGAGGCGGGCCTGGGTTTTCAGAACGCCGGGTTTATTCCGAGACAAGCCCAAAACGCGCAGAGCAACATTAACAGGGGCGAGATGCCAATTTTCAATGGGAGACCAAACCAACAGGCGCAGGCGACAACGACACCAACAACAGCGGTGCCAACAACAACGACGGAAGAAACGACGACGCCTGGCTACAGTTCAACGGTAAGCAAATGTCTGGTTAACTTTGATATGATGAGTCTAAATCTAGAGCTACACTTCATCAGAGGAAGGTTGAAGAAGAAGAAATCTAATAATTGTATCTAGGTCTGGAAGGTTGTGTGCTACAATGTATGGAACTAGACATTTGGTTTATATAGTTGAAATCCAGTACTTTTGGTGTCTGCCTTCTGTACGTATACGTGACAACCGCACGTGTTGTCCATACTTGACACATATAACGATGTTCTGTCCTTAACCAACTAGAACACAAAATTCCCTTTCCAACATCTTCACCACACAAAAAGGTTTAAAGCCACATCCTGTGGCCGTTTCCTCAATAGTCATGCCTTGTGACATGCAACGTTGACTTCTGACCATACAGGTGCGTTCAAAGCTTTGTAGGGATTAACTGAAAAATCCAGTATTTTCGACCACGGCTTAAACTTAACTTAAGCAATGTTTTCATAACGAACATGTTTTTAAAAGTGCTTGAAGGACAAACAGTAACTTTGTCTCAAAATGCAAATTACGCGTTCCTATTTACAGTACAGATGGGCGTGGGAACTGCTGTAAGCCCGTATTCTACATGCGATTAGTCGTATTGAAAGGAAACGTAAACCTAATTCCCCGTGACGTTCGACAACAGGAGTGCACTAAATGCTAGCCTCCTTCGCAGTCTTGTTGGGCGTCGGCGTTATTTTTTCTCTGAGCGACGCGAGTAATATGCCGCCGCGAGGGACGATTTGCTGCCGAGGGAGTTTTTGCCACGGAGATTTGTTGGAGCGCGAATCCTTCTCTCCGTGGCAAAAACTCCCTCGGCAGCAAATCGTCCCTCGCGGCGGCATATTACTCGCGTCGCTCAGAGAAAAAATAACGCCGACGCCCAACAAGACTGCGAAGGAGGCTAACTAAATGCCTGTATGGCGTCACTTCACTAACACAACACGTAATCATCACCATCGGGCTCTGAAGACTTTAGAAATGATTTTTCTTCCTATGTTAATTTCTAACACTCTACTTTGTCTGAAGTCTTACCAGTTAAAGGCCTACCTCTACCAGGTTTCACCAGACGGCTGGAAAAAGCAGAAACCGGTCAAATAGAGAGATAACATGCCAATGGAGTTGGTCCTATAGAGAGTACAGAGCGGCAAAATGTACCTTCTAGCGGACCAACTCCCCTGACATGTTTGTTATCTCTCTTTTTGACCGGTTTCTACTCTTTCCAGCCGTCTCCCGAAGCCTGGTAAAGGCTAACCTAAAATATCGAAGGTGTACAAGGACGGGGAGCGATACAAACTTCTTACGGCTACCTGTCCGTATGAGACCTATTCAATTTTGTCCTCTTTCCAGGCAATTTTTTTCATCCTATCTTAACCACCTGTCTGTACAATATATTTGATAAACTTAAAGATTTATTTATTTCTATATATACAAGCGGAGACAGCGTCTAGCAAGAATCGCACTCACGACCTCTCGATCTCTTGCCAGCTAGCTTAGCTATATATATATATATATATTATATATAGTAAAGCATAACCACTAGGCCATTCGACGCGAACTATTAAAGATATGTAAACGTGATCATAACCTGCATCTATGATTGTTTTGTGCATGTGTCTCTATACTCTACTACTGTGTCCGAAGTTTTCAATGGTTGGAGAACTAGATGAAATAGTGAAGGGACGGGGGGCGATACAAACTTCCAAGGGCTGCCTGTCTACCTGAAACCTATTCAATGTTGTCTCCTCTCCAGGGAGATTGAAATGAAACTTTATTGCATGTTCATTCCCCGGGAGGATAAATGCACGGATGTACAAAGTACATGTACAATGTACTAGAGAGTACTACAACAATAGTAATAAAGAAGGGCTAACAACAGGTCTAAGGTATACAATGCTAAAAGAGAAATATATATAAAAGTGGTATCGATATTAGTTCTAATGGCTTCTTCTCTCTTTTCGAAACATTTTCCAGGCAGATTACGAAGACTACGACTACGACTATGACGACCCTCACGAGGACTTCAGGACAGTCAACACTTTCGTGGGACTCATCGCCAACCTCAACACCTCAACTCGCCAGGCCATTGGTCACCAAGCACGTGACTTCATCCAGGAATGCCAGTTCAACGGGAAGGCGTGCTCACCGAAGTAAGTTTCAGGGACCAATCAGCACTCTTGTCTTATAATGTTGCGAATATAATATTTAATTGAATACATCAAAGGTCTTATAGGATTGGCCAGGAATACCATGTTGCCAGCAATATGTTGTATTCGTTGACGATCTTTTTGAGCAGTTTTGTCGCATTTGCAAATTTTTTTCTACTAGTGGGTTTTAGGGCAATAATGACTCTTTTTGATTCGTACTGCAACTAGGCCTCGCTGCTATAGTTAAGGGTTAATGTCCCGCCCCGAGGTGAATATGGTGTGATAAAGCCTTGTCAGTTGCTATAACCACCTCATAAAGCCACCTCGTTCGCTGCGCTCACTTGGTGGCTTTATTCTGTGGTTATAGCAACTGACAAGGCTTTATCACACCATATTCACCGAGAAAGGGCGGGACATTGACACTATTATCATATAGCTTACACAATAGTCTATCCAAACTGATGCAGTAAGTGATACAATGCACATGCTGAATAGAACATAGAACATAGTTCCCTCTGGAGTCACCTGAGGTCACTGGGTAGAGTTCATGTTCTATGTCTTCTATCTGGGTCACAGGCAGGGAACAGGTGTTCTTATGGGAGTCAGCCGAGGTCATTGGAACACAACTAAAGTTATTTTTGGATTTTTTAGAACTAGAGCCCTGTTCTGCGGGTGATTATTTGGGTTGTTTAATGTATGGATTGGGATGAATAAATACCCAATTTTGACTCTATTTGTGACATTACGGCGTCATAATTATAAGGAATGTGGAATGGAGCCTTCTGATTGGTCAACGTCACCTGGCTATATGATAATAATATAAATGCGGTCCCAAACGTATGGATGTTGAATAAAGAACGTAAGATACGTCGGTGAAGGTTAGACATCCAGATACATCAAGATACGCCGAAAACAGTTAGTCTAGCAACCTAAAATACTTTTGAAAATTTTATTTTCCAGTTTGTCTCGGAAATATCATTTTAACGATTATTTGTTTGTTTTTTGTTTGACAGGAATTTTTCGGTGTTTACGGACCCCACGTACGGAAACTGCTTCACCTTTAACAAGGCCAGCAGCAACGCAACTCCACACAGTGCCACAAGTGCCGGACCCTTAAATGGTACCAACGCACTTCAGACTGTTACTACTTCCGTTTGGTTAACCATTGTCTTTCCATCTAAAAGGACTCTCACTCTCTTTAATAATTTGGCCTATAAGCAGTAACTTAATATCCCTGCGAGATTGGTCTGGTCTTCCTTCCATCCTTGGTAAAAAAATCCATCCTGAGGTATCAAATTGGGATCCTGACATTTCATAAAATTTGATCACCACTGTCGTTGGGCCAACGCAAACTCACAGAAAAAAATTATGAAAACCCGGTCGGAAAAATTCTACTTATTTTGTTGACATTTTGTTGACCTGTGAAAAGTACGTCAATGGAAACCTAACCTTCTCTGTAAAGGTAAACATGAGACTAATTCAGTTACATAAACAGGAAGAAAGTACATTGCGAGGGTAAATGGGTCAATGGCTGGGCTCAACAAAATCGGTGGCCCGGGAGCAAATTTGTAGTCTGTCACCTATGCATTTGCTGCTTTGTACTAGCCTCAAACTGTGACTTCAGCGGACTAACTATCCTGGTATGTTATCTGTCTATATATAGCTATTCGATCAATCTCTACTATTTCCAGTCGCATCTAAAGCCTGGTAGAGGCTAGCTTTGTACATGTAGTCACCGCTTGTTTCATGTCGTTCCAGGCCCTTCCCTGACCCTGTACCAATTTCTACTCTTTCGAGCAACCCCTGAACTGGTAGAGACTAGCTTTGTACATGTAGTCACACTTGTTTCATGTCGCCTCAGGCCTTCCCCAGATCCTGTACCATTTTATACTGTTTCAAGCAACCCCTGAAGCTTGGTAGACTCTTTTTAAAAGCTTGTTTCATGTGATTCCAGGCCTTTCCCTGATCCTGTACATAGAGCAGGAGGAGTATATCCCCTCCCTAACGGAGAAAGCCGGGGCGCGAGTAGTCGTGCACTCCCCCAGCAGGTGGCCGTTTCCGGAGTTCGAAGGGTTCGACGCGGCCCCGGGTTTTCTCACCTCGGCTGGACTCAGACTGGTACGTTTTATTTTTAATATTAAAAAAAATCTACAGTTGATTTGCATATTAAGTATGAAACAAAACGATGATAGTAAACTAGCCTCCGTAACAGAACTGGGGGTTTGGTGGTCTTCGGCTGTTTTCTGATGACCCCAGCAAAAAACGGGGGTAATTCAACCAGGCCGGCTATGTTGTCTATATGCAATCAGAAAATAGCACATAAAAGCTCCCAAAGACCCTGAAGACCCCCCAAACCCCCCGTTTTGGCATGCTATGGAGGCTATCAAAATTTAAGCTCTATCTATATCTTTACACGTCGACTTTTGTCGTCAACGATGACAGATTGGGCAAAATTTATGTCTGTCATGAGAGGCAAAATTCCGTCAAATGACGGAAAGACAGACGCTGGCTACGGCGCGTATTACGCTCAGAAGTCTCATATAATACTGATATTAGGTATTGCATACAATCATGTAATATAGAGGCCCCCTTATATTGCCCCCGATACCCCCCCCCCCGCCCTCCTTCCTTCGAGTAAGCCATGGAATCCGATGTTTCTCAATTTTTGCAGACCTCCATCACTCGTCTAGGTGAACGGTACAGCGAGTGCACAGACGGGGAAGGCTACGAGCTTCTGTACCCGGGGACTTATACTCAAACTGTAAGTATCAGAAGAACAATATCGGGTTAACGTTATTAGATGGAAAAGTCCTTTCTTTATAACCAATTGTACTTTGTTTAACAAGATCCGAAGTTTCGATGACCGTCTTTCATCTTCATCGCATCAGGGCAAATATGACTGGTTCACTGTCCACTGGAGCTAGGTGTTAACGTTACTGCTAACTATGCGGTCGCAAACGTAATTTAAAAGTAATTGTGACATGCATATGGTCTGTTACAACAATAGTAAGATATGTGGTTCCATGTAAACCATAAAAGTTTGAAGTTTACTTTGAACATTTGGCTTCCAGAACTGCCTGGTCACCTGCTACCAGGGGCACATGGTCAGTGAGTGCGGCTGTGCGGATCCCAGTCAGAAGGTTCCGGACAACACGACCATCTGCGCCGTTACTTCCACCAACGGTCAGTCATATATATTAATTTCCCTTTCACACACGGTGTAGTATGGTTTGATCTAGTAGACTTAGTATTTATTTCATCTGTTAAACAACACCTGAAGTAGACTTCAACAATAAGTTCCGAGGGGGCCAAGGGAAACATAACATAATACAATTTGTATAAAAGGATACTGATAGAAACATAACATAGAAATGTAACTGAAATCAGTATAGCTCAAAATTAAACTCTTGAAGATTTACCGTGATAGCACATGTATATACTTCCATGCTTTTAAAATAGCGCTACATGGGATGGGTTTGATTATTGATTTGTACCAGACAGATGGTATAAGACCACTATCAAAACATTTGTGCACAAGGGTATATAATGTCTGCAACAGATTTGGTATTATGATTTCGTATTATAGTACTTTAAACTTTAGATTTCACAAATGTGTATTACATGCTTCATTTAAATATGATCACGACACTTATGTTTTTGTGTTTAATAAATAATTTGCTGTTCCAGTGGCGTGTAAGGAGAGAGTGACTCGGCAAATCGCGACTGGCGTGCTGTCGTGTGCGTGTCCAGCAAGCTGCTCGTAAGTTAGCAAACCATAGTACTACTGGTCTGTTGATCTGAAAATAAGATTTAAATTGAAACAACTCACCTCACCTATCCCTTGACCTCGTTGAGGGTCGTTGGAGCACCATGACTTAACTAGCTTGACTAGCATGACTCCACTATCCTTCTTCATTTTAATAACTCTGTCCTCAGCCGCTCTCATGGCTTCAATCCGGTCCACTCTTTTATATACTATGGAACAACTACTAGGCCACACATAGCATGGTTTATGAAGAGTTCGCTCGGGTAGAAATGAGTCAGACATAAACAGTATGCTGACAACTCTTACTGTTCACACAGGGACAAGGTGTACGGAAAGGCGATAGGACTATCGGAGTGGCCTGCCGACTCCTATTTGGTAAGTATTGTATGGGTCATCATCCAAGTAGCTACGAGAGCTACGAGTACTAGTCTGGGTGCCAGGCCGCGAGCGACGCGATACTCCCTACGTCCTGGGAAAGCCGCCTCCCTCGATCCCAGAGTTGGCTTCTAGGTCAATTGTCAGTTGACTATAGGTCAATTGTATACCAAAGCTGTGTTCGGCGATGAAGGTTAGACATCCAGGTAATACGATACGCCAAAAAGCAGTTATTCAAACAACTGGATATCAGACGTTTCAGCTACAATGTAGTACCCACTAGCTTTCGCGCGATCGTCAGTGACTGGCGAATTCAGTTGCAAAGCTGTGTTCATTTTGCTTTATCTTGTATCTAATTATAGTCCTTGTTAAGTTGCTATGACATAATGTATTGACCTCTGTCGTTTCAGTCGAAGCTGCTGGGCAAGCTTGGGACCAAAAGAGCCGGACGCGGTCCGGGAGCAGCCGTTTTGGCAGATACCGACCGGTTCAGGTAAGCGTATGACGATGTATTAATTCTTGGATGGGTAACGTTTTAAACAGACAGTTATTATCATAATTATATTATTTTGAGCTAGAGTACATGTGAATTCTCAGGAAAAATCCATACTCCCCGCATAAATGCAAAGAAGGTAAGAAGAAAATGTTTAAATCATTGCTGTGGATACCTTGGATGCTACATTTTGTAAATTTTGCTCTTTGCGTGGACAGAAAAAAAGTGTAAAACTAACAGATACTGCATTTATTATTCCCCCTACAGGAGAAATCTGTTAAAACTGAACATCTACTATGAAGCCCTGAACTATGAACAAATCAGCGAGTCTCCCGGATATGAGGTAACATTTTGTTTGTTACACAGTTGGCGATATACTGAGTTTGGAGTTTCTTTTTTTTAATGGTAATACTGTTCATCAGTGTACAAGACCACTTTAAGGTTTCCTCATTTTCTGCCTTCAAATGCAATGTCTGTTACCCTGCTGAAGCCAACAAGCCTCTCATCTCACTTCCCCAGGTGTAGAACTTACTGGGTGTCCTGGATGGCCAGTTGGGTTTGTGGGTCAGACTGTGGCCCCATTCCCACTACTAGGATAAAATTGTCCGGATCGAGCCGAATTCGCTTTGATCCGGCTTCGATATGGCTCGATCCGGCTTGGTTCGGACAATTTCCTCCTTGTGGGAATGGCCTGTACCCCTCATACAAACAGTTAACATCCTATTTTTTTTAATTTCACATCCGCAGGTGGAGAATTTACTGGGTGACCTGGGTGGTCAGCTGGGCCTGTGGGTCGGCATGTCCCTCCTCTCAGCTATGGAAGTAGTGGAGATCTTCGCCGATCTTTTCGCCATTCTTTGCAAGAAGATTTCCTCCAAGGAGATGAAGAGTTCTAATAAGAAGGTCGAGGTCGCTCCAATCCACAAGAAAAGTGTCTTCGAATTAGAAAACCCCGCCTTGACCGCCAACGGAAAAACGTAGCAGTAATCCACTCAAAGATGTAATTATGATACTTGATACCTTATTGGGATATCCATTAGTTGCACAAATTGATGTTGTTTGATCGTCTAGGTAATACACACAAAGCAGTAAAACTAGAGAAGTAACATTTGCACAGCAAATGCATAATGTTTACCTTCGGACATGGTCTGCTCTGTTAATTCTTACTCAAACACATTCACATACATGTACTACTGACATGAGCAGAGCAGACCATGAAATTGCAAAATTATGTAACCCAACACCAGTCACCATGGTGACAGACGTCAACAAACCATGCCATTGGTCAGGTCAGAGGTCACTGTTTAGAGAAGAAGAAGAGGAAGAAAACTGACCAAAAACAATATGTTTTCCTTCGGTAAACATAAAAATATTATACAATACACTGTATAATACAGTTGACACGGAGTCATAACACAAGATAATGGCACCGAAATCGTTAAAGTTTGCCTACAAGATATACAAACTGTCCAAACAACTCAATTACTTCGTTATGTAGGTAAAACACACCGTTAATCTGGTAGTAGAATCACGATATGTGTCAGAGCTTGGGCCAAAAATTAGTTGACATTCCGCCGTTGGCAACAGAACTTCGCACCAACGCAAACAGGGATGGTAGCCCGAGCGACGTCGACACTACGCGCTACGCACGGCTGTGTGAAAATGCGTGTCAGTGTACATGTTGTAGTATCGGCGGTTATTCAGATGTGAATGTGATTTTTCCCCTCTTTCGAATTCTCCCCTCTTTCTCTCATCCTTGTCTTTCTCCCTCTCTCTCTAGTTCTGTCTGTTTGTTCGTCTGTCCGTCCGCCCGTCTGTATGCCTGTCTTCTGCTATTTTGTCACGTTATTGTTTGACAGTATCTATGCAAACAATGTGCCACGGTGTGTGTTTAACACTTACACACTTATCCTTGTTATAATATTTCCTTAAGTATCTTTGGAAACCAAAAGCCTCAATCAACATTTGCTTGGTCAACAAAAATCTTAAAGTGCTTTCATCCAAAGGTATGTAGAGCTCTCCCATTTGAAATTTGACCATGGCTTACTACATTGTCAATGGATTACTTGCCAAGGAAGTGTGTATAAGCTAGGATACATACTTCCAATGTTTACTGCATGTGCATACCTTAGAGTATCCGTAAAGGTTCTGAAATTTCAATGGACCTATTTCAGCATGTTTTTAGTGTTGAATCCAAGTTCCACTGTACAGTTACATAGGAACAATGTGTATCTAAATAAATGCTTGTTTGTGGCAACATCGTGTAGCAACGACGTGTAGCAATGGTCGCCATGATTGTTTTATGCGTTCTGTGTGATTTGGATCCTGCAAAGCTGTACTGTCTTTATACAATTGTCTATATGATTTAACGCGTCTTTCTTTATAGTAATATCGTTATAAATGCATGCATGTAGCAACGGTTGCATGTTTGTGTGCGTCCTGATTGGTTCGGTCTTTTAAGTTATATGTATAGTCTTAATACAATTGTCTATGCAATTAAACGCGTCTTTCTTTATAGTAATATCGTTATAAATGCATGTAGCAACGGCCGCATGTTTGTATGCGTTCTGTGTGGTTCGGTATATATAGTCTTAATACAATTGTCTATGTAATTAAACGCGTCTTTATGGTAATACCGTTATAAATGTAGCAACGGTAGCGTGTTTGTGTGCGTTCTGTGTGGTTTGGTACACACGTATAGTCTTAATACAATTGTCTATCAAACTAACTGCGATGTTTATGTGAACATCGTTAGACAGTGTAGCAACGGTCGCGTGTTTGCGCGTGTTTGTGCGTGTTTTGTGCGACTGTTTGTAGCGACACGGTCATTATGGAGCCATTTATTTGCCACGCATCTTAATGACGCAACGACGGTTTGGGTGTTTGAGGATCTGCTAGTGGTTTTATCGAGCATCGGATGTCGAAATAAAATCCCTTAAGTTCTCGTGGCACGAGTACAAAATAGTGTAGGAAATTGTGACAACTTGAACTCATTAATTGCAAGGGACATGTATTTATGATAAACACAATGCTTAAGAAAATGGTACTTGGTAACTAAAAGTGGTTTTCTCCAAAACCCTTCAATGGTCCCATTACGCAACCATTCCCTTTAAAGACTTTAAATATGGAAGGTTTCATCCTGATTTCGGGGTGCATCTGCTTTTTAAAAGTGTTATATCTACAGATTATCAATGCGCGATCAGCCAACATTTAATCAAAAAGCCAAAGGGACTTGTATACAAAATGTATTGTCTATCAAAGTTGCTCCAATGGCAGATGCAACGTTGGTGTATTTTTCCACATCTTCATTGAGTGAGAGATTCCCCCTCTTAATATGTTGGCATGGCCCGTAAACTTTTGAATTTAGGGAAGTGTTGCCGATATAAAGCCACAGTTGTTACAAGGTCGTTGCGTCTGAGCAACGTTTCCCGAGTTCAAGAAAAGAGGAAGCACGCAAAAACAGGTACGTGTTACTTCTTATGTATCCTTTGTTCCTGGTTATAAGAATAGTGTTTCTTTGGGAAAGAAAAACGTATCCCACCAAGTGCTGTAAGTTTAAAATACAGATTTACCATAAAAACCTTAACTTTCTTGTAAGTAGAACAAGGTCGGCAGACTGAAGTGCATTCGTCTGATGTTACTGAAGATATTTTGAGTCTGATACACGGACATTTCCCCCTCTGCTAGTGCTACGCGTATTCTAACGTACGTCTCAAAACGTATCATGACTCTGTTATATACTATCCTTAGTTTTGATAGATTGTAGTATTCTTTAGATATGTTTGAAGGTAAGAAAGGCTTGTAACGTCTTCAGCACCAACGGACTTTTGAGCGGCTACTCGAACGTTTCCAAAGCATTCGTGAATGGAAAGACTAGTTTCTCAATCTGTAGCAATATCATTTTCAGAATAAACTCATGAAGCAAATTGCAATTCTAAGGGCAGTTTATTTCCGTTGCATGGAAAAATATGCCGAAGTAGGTGCGCAGGTGGTCAGCTACGTTTAACTTTCGTTCAGATATGACGCTGATGTCTTAGGAACGGGAAGTTGACATGGAAAAATCCTAAGGAACATCTTACCGATCTAAGCTTGAAATTCCCTGGGGTCTATCACTTTTCGGAAGCGACTGGAAAGAGTAGAAATTGGCCAAATGGACAGATAGGATGCCCGGGGAGTTGGTCCGCTAAAGGAGTACAGTTTGCCGCTCCCGACGCCAGTCGGGGGTCGCCTTGTTCCTTGAAGCAACAAACTGTACTCTTTTAGCGGACCAACTAACTCGTCATGTTATCTGTGGCCAATTTCTACTCTTTTCAGCCGCTCCCAAAGCCTAGTAGAGACTAGAAGTTGGTACAAATATGCACCATATGTACAAATATGCACCATATGTGCAGTACCTTTAACTTACAGAATGTCCCAAGCCCACACGTACTACATGGTAACCCCTAGCAACGCCATAGCAACTAGACGGTGTTGCTATTTTCATTAAATGAAGGAGCCGACTGTATTGGTGTTACCAATGGTAACAGCTAAAACACATTCTCCTACCATTCAATTCCGAACCGTCCTTCGCATTGTGGCCACCCATCATTACTACGTTACCTGCCGCCTGACCGTATCTACGGAGTACAAAACCAACAAATACTTCTGCATCTTTTCAGCCCCATTGAAACGGTCAAACAATGGTAATCCCATTTATATCCATTGTAAGCACGCCGCACGTAAAGGTATGGCGGTTGGTGTTTAAATGGTCCAGTTCTAAGGGTGATAAAGGTGTCAAATCAGCCTGCCCTACTTGTCATGATGTATCTAAAAAAACTAATGTTTTATTTGTAAGCATTGTTCGTTACAGCACATCGTGAGGTTGCCGCGTAAGCGTCGGCAAGATAGTGTGAGAAGCATCATTTTGATAAGAGTGCCATATCTAATCCCCATCGAAAGTTGTGATGCACTTGAAAGTTACTGGACAATATGTATGGTAATTTTTCTCTCTACTTGCCCATTGCAAACGAGTATTGAGAAATGATAAAAAAAGCTATTCTTAGTCGTTGTAACACGCCAAACTACATGTACAAGTATGTAATGATGAAGATGGTTTTCTGTGTTTTTTCCACAGAAAATGAAGCTCTCTGTGATGTTGGCTGTGGTCTGTCTGCTGCTGCATAGCTGCCTGGTTGAAGGCCAAGGTAAGAATCTAAAACGACGTCTCAACTGATTTTCATGATACATGTACATACAAATCAATGATTTTATACCTCAGTCACTACAATTGTTTCATGAAAACAATGGTCAGAGCGATGAGTACAATACTCTTATGTTTAACATTTGATATTTTTAATTGATACCAATTTCCAAATGTTTTCTAGACATGACCTCTTGTCTAAACTTGTAACAGCCCCTGTGATGATACTAGTCCTTCTTTCTTTCGAACAGGTTCAACCGTTGCCGGTACAACTGCTGCTGGCGGCACTCTTCCTCCCGGTGCTACACCACCGCCATCTGTAGGTTACTTTGCAATTGACTCTTGCGCTAGCTGCCAAATTTGATTATCATATTTTGACACGTCTAATGAGAATAATCAATACTCAATCAACTAAGACTCGATGAGACTTAATACGGGCGGCGGACGATTTTTATTTTCATGCAATAAGTTGCCATGGCATAGACATGGTCTAACGTTTCACTGCAAATCGACATGTTATCATGACTAGTAATGTGCAGTTTTTGTCCACATACCTCCAAAGTCACGTACGTCATACACTTCCGATGTAGGTTCGATAGGAAGCTGATATTGCTGTTGTATGTATTTTCCACAGGTAGACTGTTATGTGTGTAGCACAAACGTCACTAATGATGCCTGTGCTAGCGCTACGACTGGGTCTGGCACTTCATGTACTGGAGCCTGCATCGTAAGTATACTCGCGTATTTTTTGTTGTTGCAATTTTAACTTTAGTTAGAAAATTGTCGGGAAATAATGCACCAGTTCATCAACATTATGTACATACTATTACATACAAGTAACTGAATGCATTTTGAGCTCAGTAACTTAACCACGTACTATATAATTTTTGTGTTTATATTTTCCCCAAGGTAATCTCTTATACTACAACTAAGTAACTACTCGCTAGTAGGGAAACCTTAATATGATATAGGAAAGGAAATATTGATGCTTTGTACACAGGTTAAGCTCGAGGACGATGATGCCGGTAACCTCGTGAGCCTTGATAGGGAGTGTGATACCGCAGGCTGCAACACCGACAACGACAATAGTGTCTTCTCTCAAGATACAAGTACAGGCGGAAAAGAATACGAAAAGTGCTGTGCCGAGGACGACTGCAACAACTTCAGTGCTGATGACCTGAGGAGCAGCGCTGGAAAGCTGACCGCTGGACTGGCTGCCGTCTTGTTCGGCGCCATTTGCCTGTTGGTGCTGTAGAAAAAAAGCACCTGGCTCGTGTGTTCTGTGTGCTTTGTTGTTGGTGTTTCCATTTGAGAAAGTATTATACATACAAGTCTCTGATCATGGCAGCTGAAGAGTAAAACGAATGTAAAGCAAAATATCAACACATAAATTAACAAAAGTATGAAAATAAATTGACGGCTGAAAATTGAAGAGGTCACTGTTGAGTGGTAACAATAGATAATTAAAAAAATTCAAAACAACATTCAAGTTGGCAAGGACTCCATGTGACGTCGTAAAATGCCAACAATAAGAACCTTAAAACAATAAAACATATTGCGTTTGCTGATGTTATTTTACTTTTAAACAGTATTAATATTTTGTTGCAAAGAAGGACTACTGTAACAATGCATTACATGGCAGTAAGAGAGGGACGGAGATGACACTATATGGCGGGCAGTTCGGCCAATGACATCACCCATGGAGGATGGTAGAGTCCAGAGAAGTGGGTGTGAGGGTTAGGGCTGTCAGGAGAGGTGTACCGGCCTGGTCTATGTCGGCCATCCATGCATTAAAGTTGGTGAACATCATGCAGATTGTCTTTGTCTTGACTCGTTTGTTTATTAGCCTTATTAGTGTACGTGTATGTGTTTGCCAGTGTTGGTCCCAGGGATTATACGTGTATCTTGTATACTGTACGGTGAGTGAATGAATAATTGCATATGAAAGAAAGAAAGAAAGAAAGAAAGAAAGAAAGAAAGAAAGAAAGAAAGAGGGAGGGAGGGAGGGAGGAAGGAAGGAAGGAAGGAAGGAAGAAAGAAAGAAAGAAAGAAAGAAAGAAAGAAAGAAAGAAAGAAAGAAAGAAAATGAATGAATGACTCGATGATGAATGCAGATGTGACATGAACACAATGTTGCCACAAAATTGCTCAATAAAAGGGAGACGCAGTGCTTTTGTTTATAACATTACATATGAATAGATAAAGTTGTTAAGTCTTTTTCAACTGGATAATTGGAAATTTAATGTGCAAATGTGACATGGGCACAATTTATCGTATTCCTGGATGAGTAACCTTCACCAACATATTACATATGAACGTTTCTGTTAGCCTAAATTTTGTTTATGCTATTCCGCATGACTTCTCACGAGTTCTCAGTAATTTTAGTCTTCATTCTAATTAGGTTTGTAAGTACACACGTCATGACAGATATAACTAACTGATATAGACAATATTTGGTGTATCAGGTTGTCATCAAACCGGGCGGTACGATTACAATAAATAGGTATAAATTCCATATAAAATAAAACCTATGTAACTTTTCTTACAGCGAAATAAAGTCTGTAAATCAATGTGAGAATATCTTGTATGACGTTTATATACATTCTTTTTTGAAAATTATAACTGTAACGCTGGAGCAATGGCAACAGATATTTTGTACAGCCACCCTTGGTTTGTAATGGTTTCGTCCAACGTAACCCGGAAGTAAAGCGGCCGGCGCGCGAGTCGAAACTTCACGAATAGTAAGGCGCCAACGGCAGAACCACTTTGAGTACGTTATTGTAGACGTAACCAAATGTATGGAGAGGGCTGCAGAGTACCTTTGAGGTATTTTTGTGTTGTTTCGTTCTCTAAACGTCTCACAGTTTATAATTATACGTTTGGTAGATTAGAGCTATACACAGGTGCTCTGGAAGACATCAGCCATGAGGGCAACATCAAACTACAGAGAGCCCTTATTGAGTACTTAATGGCAACAAAGAGATTTGAATAGAACTGTGGACATGTAAATATGTAAATATGTTAAACCAAGAAAAAGAAGACGAGTATAGATGCAACAAAGGGAGAACACAGAGACTGTGGCAGGAAGACGGGTACAGCTGGAACAAAGGGAGAAGAGTGCCGCAGAGACTGTGTTGAGGAGATGAGTACAGCTGTGACAGAGGGAGAACACAGAGACTGTGACAGGAAGACGAGTACAGCTGGAACAGAGGAGAAGAGTGCCGCAGAGACTGTGTTGAGAAGAGGGGTACAGCTTTGACAGAGGGAGAACACAGAGACTGTGGCAGGAAGACGAGTACAGAGGGAGAAGAGTGCCACAGAGACTGTGTTGAGAAGATGAGTACAGCTGTGACAGAGAGACAACACAGAGACTATGGCAGGAAGACGAGTACAGCTGGAATAGAGGAGAAGAGTGCCGCAGAGACTGTGTTGAGAAGAGGAGTACAGCTTGACAGAGGGAGAACACAGAGACTGTGGCAGGAAGACGAGTATAGAGGGAGAAGAGTGCCACAGAGACTGTGCTGAGAAGATGAGTTCAGCTGTGACAGAGAGAAAACACAGAGACTGTGGCAGGAAGACGAGAACAGCTGGAACAGAGGAGAAGAGTGCCGCAGAGACTGTGTTGAGAAGATGAGTGCAGCTGTGACAGAGGGAGAACACAGAGCTCGAGACTGTGGCAGGAAGACGAGTACAGCTGGAACTGAGGAGAAGAGTGCCGCAGAGACGGTGTTCGAGAAGATGAGTACAGCTATGACAGAGGAGAAGAGAGCGCAGAGAGAAGAGTGCCACAGAGACTGTGTTGAGAAGATGAGTATAGCTTGACAGAGGAGAACACAGAGACTGTGACAAGAAGACGAGTACAGCTGGAACAGAGGGAGAAGAGTGCCGCAGAGACTGTGTTGAGAAGATGAGTACAGCTTTGACAGAGGGAGAACACAGAGACTGTGGCAGGAAGACGAGAACAGCTGGAACAGAGGGAGAAGAGTGCCGCAGAGACTGTGTTGAGGAAGTATGAGTGCAGCTGTGGACAGAGGGAGAACACAGAGCTCGAGACTGTGGCAGGAAGACGAGTACAGGCTGGAACAGAGGAGAAGAGTGCCGCAGAGACTGTGTTGAGAAGATGAGTACAGCCTGACAGAGGGAGAACACAGAGACTGTGACATGAAGATGTATACAGCTGGAACATAGGGAGAAGAGTGCCACAGAGACTGTGTTGAGAAGATGAGTACAACTTTGACAGAGGGAGAACACAGAGACTGTGGCAGGAAGACGGGTACAGCTGGAACAGAGGGAGAAGAGTGCCGCAGAGACTGTGTTGAGAAGATGAGTACAGCCTGACAGAAGGAGAACACAGAGACTGTGGCAGGAATGACGAGTACAGCTGGAACTGAGGAGAAGAGTGCCGCAGAGACGGTGTTGAGAAGATGAGTACAGCTATGACAGAGGGAGAAGAGAGCCGCAGAGAGAAGAGTGCCACAGAGACTGTGTTGAGAAGATGAGTATAGCTTTGACAGAGGGAGAACACAGAGACTGTGACAAGAAGATGTGTACAGCTGGAACAGAGGGAGAAGAGTGCCGCAGAGACTGTGTTGAGAAGATGAGTACAGCTTTGACAGAGGGAGAACACAGAGACTGTGGACAGGAAGACGAGTACAGCTGGAACAGAGGGAGAAGAGAGCCGCAGAGACTGTGTTGAGAAGATGAGTACAGCTTCGACAGAGGGAGAACACAGAGACTGTGGCAGGAAGACGAGTACAGCTGGAACAGAGGGAGAAGAGTGCCGCAGAGATTGTGTGGAGAAGATGAGTACAGAAGACTGTGGCAGGAAGATGTGTAAATATGTAAGCTGAAACCAAGAAAAAGAACAACTAGAAGAAGAAAAGAAGAGACACCACTGTCACGCCCAGCCGATGGAAAAAAGCAACAAGAGAGCAGCACAGAGAGAACCAACGCACACGAGAAGGAAGAGGAAATGCACATGAGACTAACATCCGACGAAGATGAGCGGAAGAATAGAGACAACAACAACAACATTGGTAGTCGGGTGGGGAGGGGGGCAGAACCTTACCTCCATGCTTTACTTCACTCTATGTAAGTTACTAGTATAGTTAACGTTACATGTGTATGTTACTAGCTATTGTTGCGAACATGATGCAAAATATGCAGAGAGCCGGCCACCAAATTAAAGCACTGTCCTTTTTCATTTTATTTTTTAAATATAGAATATACTAGTATACATTTCTTGTCATTCAAAAGTCAACTATGACATTCAGCATCATATTTCTTTCAGGATCTAGCGTGTTTCTGCCTCCTAACCAACTGAAAAGGAAAGCTTCTAAATGTCCGGGGACACCAAAGTTCGAGTCAGGCAGCTTGTCTGGGAAGTCCAGAACACTCTTTCTACATCTAAGAATCCCTCAGAAGTGTCAGAGGCTCTCCTAAGACTTTCAGTGCTTCTTCCGCACCACAAGACTTCCAAAAGCCAAGACTTTCCAGACTCGAGACTCTCAGAAGCCAAGAAAGAGTTTTCTCAGCACCACTATGTGCCATTCCTGGAGTTTTTGATCAGTAAGCTGTCGGTTGACTGGCTAGGAAGGTTGGGAGAGGAGAGAAGAAGAGAGTTACTGGATGGGTACTTTCTGGATGGAGTTCACCAGGATGCTTTCATCGTACTCTGCTCTGCTGTTCAGAAGTCCAGGTATGTGAAATGCACAGGAATAGGTTTCTTGTCATACTACATGTAGTTCAAATCTGTTTCATAGAACAAATAGAAATTATATAACTGTCTTAAAATATCAAAAGCAGTCTGCATGCAGGTATTATACTTACAATACTGGGGTGGTTAGACACTTATGATGAAAAGTTGAAGGGGCGTGCCTCTAGGATACCAGGCATTGAACATGTCAGAAATGGCTGGAAAGAGTAGAAATTGGTCCATTAGAAAGACAACATACAGGGGAGCTGGCCCGCTAAAGGAGTTGTTTGCCACTACTCCTAAACTTCTGTTAGCAGACCAACTGCCCTGGCATGTTTTATATCTATTTGGCCAATTTCTACTTTCTCAAGACACTTCTTGGTACTAATTACAATGTCTTACTATTTCCTCAGCCCGAGCTACAAGCAGGACAAGTGTGTCTCCCTCCTGGAGCAGTTTCTCACACAGAACAAGCTGACAGACATGTTCTGGGAGCAGTGCAGTAACCTAGCAACCGGTCACATGATCCAGACCAACCAATCAGAGAATTCGAACAGGAGGCAGCCAAGGGTACACAATGCATTGTGGGAAGAGCTGGTGACGATTTTGGCAACGATTCCTGACAGGATGGCCAACAAATTACAGCACAGAAATCGGTTGGTTATTAAACTTTTAAATTTTATGGAATCAGGATATGCTTGAAATCTTTTATGTTCTTTTACACATAATACCAAAATTGGCATGTTATACCCTGCACCTACAACCTTGTCAGAAAAAGCATACTTATTGCTTAATTAAAAAAAGTGCAAAAATGTTTCCTTTTTAAAAAGTAGGTACTTAAGACCTCTGAACTGTTTTTTCCAGTGCTGCCTTTTATCCAGAGCAGTACTTCCAGTCTCTGGCTATGAGCATGTGGGAGACTTTAGAGAAGGTTCACGGTGCAATCAAAGGTGAGAATAATCACACAAAAACTCATACAAACTACCATTTATGCCATTGCAAAGTTGAAAAGAACTTTCTTCAAAAGAATTGTAGAAAATGGTAGTGATGTACATGTATTTGTGTAATGCCTCTACACTCAACTTGTACCAAACATGTTTGTTTCAATGTATATAAATGGTTTTTATTGTCCAAACAGTACCCGTGCAGTCGCAGCCTTTATACGGCTGAATTGGTGCAGGGTATCACATAATAATCAATACAAATCATAACAATTACAACTAGAGTTCCACGATCTCATACCTTCGCCAAATGGTGTTAGCCTTTATGACTAAGAAATTATAGATTAATCCCCCTGATTGTGCAAATAGGATCCTATATTGCAACAATTATATCTGTTGATAATATTCTAAACCAGAAGACAGTCTTATCTTATCAAAGAATGCCATTATAGCATTTCCTCATAAATTATGCAAATGAGGTCCTTATTTGAATACGTTATGTTTAATTATGTTCACCTTCACACAACTTTCAAATATCCCAAGTATGAAATTCCAGGCAGCTACCACTATATAATTATAACATTTTCTCATTAATTATGCAAATTAAGTCTTCACTTGCATAATCGATATCTGCCTGTATTTCTGCCGTTCTTAATTACATGTCACAAGCTTGAATAGTCCTATCATGGAATGCAGCTGATTTATAGAATTTCCTCATTAATTATGCAAACTACATTAATATTTGCATAATTGTAATATTATTATGTCAAGCATCACTTCAGCTACCTACATGCCAAAAATCACGACGATCCATCAATCGGTTCTTGAGTTATCCGCCTTTAAACATTTTTCAACTACCGCCCCTGCAGTTCCAAAGCAAGCAGCTAGGGGGCTCAAACTCATGTCACTTCCTTTACAGCACAAGAGCTATCTACCATCTAAATTTCATGACCCTAGCATGTCCAGATCACGAGATATCAAAACCGGAAGTTCAGCTGCAATACCATAACAAGCCGCTAGGGGGCCCAAAATCTAATCAGTTCCACGTCTCATGAAGACCTACCCACTTACCAAATATCAAGATAATCCATCTTAGCCTTCTTGAGTTATCGTGCTGACACACACACACACACACACACACACACACACAGACACATGAACGCCTACGAAAACATAACCTTCTTGGCGAAGGTAACAATCAAATAATACAAATAATACACATATTTGTTCCACAATCATTTTTGTGGAACTGTCGCAAGGGTCTGTGCGGCTGCCATTCGGCGCCACAAGGTGACCTCAATACGACTTTCCCCAACCGAAATTAGGTACCCATTCACACCTGGGTGGAGTGAGGAAATTCGTGTAAAGTGCCTTTCCCAAGGGCACAACGTCGGGGCGCATGTTCAGACGTGTCCCGGGTACGACTTGGAATCGAACCCGGGTCTCCCGGTTCACAGTCGATTGCTCTAACCACTACACCACCCGACGCCACTATATCACTGTACCTCCTACTTTTTTCACAGCCTCCAAGGACTGTTCCATGGCCTTTCTACAGCTGTTGTTGGGGAAACTGTGTATCCAGGGACATGCAGGTTAGTTTTGGGATACACTACTCTCCAAGCAGAGGTTTGTGGGCAAGATCGTTACCTTTCTATTTATATGCCAAATTTTTTCTGTCACTACCCCATAATTGGTGGGGGAAGCGACAGAAAAAAACAAGCAAATGCAGAAAGGTAACAATCTTCCCCACCAACCTCTGCTTAGAGAGTAGGATACACAACATTGTCCTTCTTGTATCCCTTTTTTTCGCAATCATACTCAGTGTGTATGTACATGTAAGCTTGTTTGTCTGTGACCTAGATGCCAATAATTATGTTTACTGAAGGAAAACATATTGTTTTTACTCCATTTCTTCTTCTTCTTCTGTTCCAAACACTAACCTTTGACCTGGCCAATGGCCTCTTTTGTTGACGTCTGTCACCATAGTAACTGGTGTTGGGTTACATACAATGTTGCAATTTCATAGTAGGCATTTAGGCTCCTGTCACCATATACATGTCATCATGTACATGTACATGTACATATATGTGAATGTGTTTGAGTATTACAGAATTAACAGAGCAGACCATATCCGAAGGTAAACATGATGCATTTGCTTTGCAAATATAATTTTCTAGTTTAGTACTTTGTTTTTTGTTCCTGTAGGTCCAGTTTTGAGAGTCCTGCTGCCCAGACTAAGAAGATGGACCCGGCAGGACTTTGTGTGGCAGCGAGTCAGCTGTCTGCTGCTCACAGGTGTGCAGGACAGGTGTGTGGAGAGCCTGGTGTCTCACCTGGTCATGCAGGTGTCATGGTGAGTAGACAGGTGTGCCAAACCTGCAAGACACTGTGTATAAAGAAAACAGCACTGCACTGACACTGAACTGATATTGTGGCAAAAAAGAATATGTTCATTTGACACAGTACTAAAATGATAGAATGACAGAGGATAAAAAGTCTTGCTGTAATGATAATGTGTGTATGCACCTGAAAGATGACACTAAAAGCTTGTGTACATGTACAGTACATTCAAGCAGATGATATTAGAATTCACATAGTTTTACATAGTTTTTTTTTAAATGTAATTATTGGTTTTAATACTTTTCCACCATAATTCCAGGTATGGTGTCCTGTCCCGACTGTTGGGGGACGGAGTTCTCAGGAGTCCGAAGCTGAAGTACATCCTCACACACAAGTGTCTACTCATCAGGCACTATGAACAGGTGCTGTGTCTGTGTCTGTATCAACCAGTACATGAGCACCCTCTAGCAAAACACACCAGTATTGCAGGCTCATGGTTACAAGTGCATAACCGCATAACACACCAGCTTCTGTGTCTGTATAGCCAGTATAACTGCCCTTCAGTGTAACACACCAGCTTCTGTATCTGTATAGCCAGTATAACCACCCTTCAGCATAACACACCAGCTTTGCAGGCACGTGGCACAGCAGCAGCTGGCTATTTTACACCAAACGACTTGTTACACCTAACCTTTGAACATCTAGACCTTAACATTGTTAAAGCTATATATGAGGATGCCCCTACTTATGCTTCTGAGCAGTATATGTGATAATGACTCAATGGTTTGGTGTAGGAAGTCCAATTTTCTGAACAAAACTTGTAACGTCACATCTTTCATGACAGGATTGTGTGGTGCAGAATATTATGGGCTACCTGGCCGACTCCCCAACCAGAAGACCTCTTCTAATTCAGGTATGAATGATGAAGGCTTGGGTAACATCTGTGTCCATAATATCACCAGGGTCCATAATATCACCACCTTGAGAAACAGTGTGCTTAAAGATATTTTTACTGCAACATACCCACGTAGT